TTTTAATTTATATTTTTAAAATAGCAACGCCGATTGCTAAAGTAGATCCCATTGTATTTATGCAAATCGTCTCTTTCTATCAATTTCTCAGTAGAAATGGATAGATACATTTATACCTGCAAACGTCACTTTTAAGGTGAAATTCGACGCATGTCGGAAACGGGCAATTGAAAAATGTATGGGTATTCTATGTTATAAAATAAAGTTGTTATTTGTCCACGAAAATGCATCCTGTATATTATAAAAATACAAATTTTTAAAAGTGTAAGTGAACAATTTTTGTTGGATATTTTTTCGGCTACAGCGAATTGAATGAAGTCAAAATCTATTCTAAATGTCCAGTTTAGGGTGTAATATTATATTTTTCTACTCCCGTCTGTAAAATACCTAATTACCCACCGATCTAGCGTGCGGGAAGCGTCATTTTACCACGTCAGTTCCGTGTCGGACATTTCCTGGATTTTACCGCACGGATTTGCGAGCAACACGTTCGGTAAACTTTTTAACTCATTCGTTTATTAAACACTCGCTCCGCTGTACTCCGTTCGTGTCAAATATACTCGTGAGTCAAATGCCGTTTACCGCACTTGTTGCATAATATACTATTAAAAGTCGTAATCAAATAAAAGCATCTTTTTGTCAGCCAATTGGTGCATAAAAATATCCTCCTTACTTTGTTCAATTGCTGTAAAAAATGTCAATATTAAAGGGGTCAAAAGAAGACTGCGGAAAATATTTTCATATTTTCAATATGGTCGTCAGGGGGTATAACCACCATCTTTTAGTGATTTTTGCAAGGATTTTTCTCTGAAATTAACCAAGTGAATATATAAAAAAACATGGTTCTTAATGTTATTTATTCAAGTGTTTTTTGTTTAACTCTTTTCCGCCAATCTAGATAAAAGTTGTGAGGGTGGTACATTGTTTCTTTAAATAAACTACTATAATTCCTAAATGACTAAACACAATTCAATAAAGTTTATCGTTTCATCAAACCCATCTAACCTGTGATATGTTTAATTTTGAGTGATGTTACCAGAGGGGCTCTTTTGATATATTAACAAAAATTTATGAATTTCTCTAAAATAAATATGCAGTGAAATGGGACTCAAAAATAGGCTTGCGGAAATCATATTTAGATTTCTTATACCTTCTTATTTATTCTTCCTACTTCAAGATTGAATGTTAAAATCTATAATTTTATATTTTTTTAAATCAAAAAATTTTTCTTTGTTATTTTTAGGTTAAAGCAACTAATAATAAAGCGTTTTTTTGGCTCTTCATTCTTAGTATCTCGTTACGTTGTTGTTCTTCCCGCGACGGCACAAAAAACAAGCGGTTAACGATACTTAATTTAATAAGTAAACGGCAATTGACCAGAAGACGCCGAGCATACATTTAATGGCTCAATAAAAGCACCGAGCATAATGTTCGGCGATAAAAGGTAGGATCAATTATCCACTTAGCCGCCGCGTTGAGAAAATTAAGTTAAAGTTGGCAGGAATTTTGCTGACTAAAAAAATCTAAATTTACATTATGGCGGATATAGAGTTACTCAGCAGTTACTTTTCGAAAATAGTTACGCGCGGCCCCTCATAGGAATTTTGGCGAATGTCACCACGCGTAGTCGTATTTTAAGATGTAATCTTATTGACAAAACATTTTAGTGTTTAGCAAAAACCAGCTTGGGTTCGCTACTACGTTCACTGAGGAATGTAGCTCGCTTCTGATATCGACTTCCGCTAAAAATGGCCAGCAAGCCCTATAAACTCTAGAATTCTGTTATAACGTTTCCTCGAATTTTGGTGTAATTAGGGAATTATATTCAATAAAATAACTATTGTGTACTCAGGTAGCAACGTAGATGTTGTAAAACCTCTAACATCTAACATTGGTATTCAGTCTCCGTTATCAGTGAACGAAAAAGTAAACATTTAATTATCGGAATTTTACTATAAAAGTATTTATAGAGAGTGTTCGAAAGAGAAGGCATGGACTAACGATAGAGTTTTACAGCTCTTGGGTGAGATGGCACCAGATAAACTGTCACAAAGAATTTAAGTTTGAAGTGGACTAGGGATGTTCCGATACCATTGAAGTATCGATACCTACTCATTTCGATAGTACTCAAATCTTTTTTCGATACTACTCAAATAAATACTCCTAAAGTATCGATACTTACTCATATCACTACTTTTAGCACTTTATTATTTTTTAATTTATTTTAAGGAAACTAACAATGAACTTTGAAGGACAATAATTTAAAGAAAATTAAGAAGGAAGAGCATAAAGGTTTGCGTCGCGTTAAGCACGTACTTTAAACAAAAAACTCCATGATAACATTGGAATAATAAGCTGATGATTACAATAAATACAATTATTCGTAAGCAATCTCTTGTATGTTTGACAATGAAAAAAAATGAAGGGCGGACGTCTTTCTTGCGTTTGGCTCGGGCTCGGTGGAGTGAAGTCGGACGAGTTCGGCTTGGCTGGCGCGAGACAACGCGCCACCATAGATCAGATAGAGATTATGTTTGTCTGATGCGTTCGGGTTTTTTTTTTTAATGGTGAGGCTGATTCGATTTGATACCAAGTACTTTTGTTTCGATACCGAGTAAGTATTGCAAGATTGATTCGATGCTATAAATACTTGGTATCGAATCAAAAGTATCGAGTACGTACTCGTATTTACTAGTATCGGAATATCCCTAAAGTGGACAAAAGTAAAGAATTCAGTTTTTCGCGCTTGTTTAAATGAACTTTTATTGTATTTTACACCAAGTTTTGTGTTATTTGGGTGACATTTAACTTAACAATTCAAAATGGCATCCAAATATTTAGCAATAAAAGGGTTTTCAGAAATTTCAGTGAAAAATAATATATTGAAGAGTGTATTGAGACGTGGAACCTTTTCGACTACTAAAAAATGGTTATTATTTCATGACACTACGGTTACTGCGTCTTCCGAAATCGGCCTCCAAAGCTGCGCAAATTTTCGCATAGTTCAGTATTTAGATGCTTATAGACCGGACTAAAAGGTGATTATGTCGTTGTTATGGTGGCACGTGATAGACCAACACGTGTTCGGTCGGCGTACTCGTGTATTAAATCGATTAACCGAAGAATGTCAGACGGATTACCGTTAACGATCCGCTTGTTTGCGAATGTTATCGGAAACGTTCATGTGGACATAATTCGAATTAGCAGAATTGAATTATGTTGGCGACAACGAATCTAAAAATCCGAGAAATGTGATTTTCCTGGCATGGGCGGAATCGTCCCACACGAACGATCGGCAACTTAAATTATTAAAACCGGACGACTCAAAGGAAGTAATTTTGTTATTTTTCCATTAGACAAAGTAGCTCGATAATTGTGCATTATTAAACGGTCGTTTGTATTATATTTTCTGCCTACCGTGGAATAGTAGGTTCGATTGCTTCCGTCAGCCGGATTAAGGGCGTCCATTATCGGAAGTAATGCGAAATGTGACGTGTCATTAAATACATGCGTACTTCATATGCCAATTTTCAATGTAATTTTCACCCACGCGTTAATGAAGGAAAAAGATATTTAGAAATAAAACTTAATTTTATCACCCTTTCTCGAGCTTACTAGATTCTGTCTCGTTTTTCTGAGCCTTCTGAGCATTTATTACTTTACTTCCTTCAAATTTAATTTTATTTAAATTTTTTCTTTTTATTTCTTTAGTTTTGGTTAGTTCATTTAAATTAACCTAATTATTTTAATATATTTCTTTTTTTTAGTGTCGACAATTTAGTATACGTTATTAAAATCTTTTTTTTGTTATATTATTATTATGAAATTAGTTTTAATCCTTCGGGTGTAACTAACAGGTTCTCTATTTATACCGGGAACATTAGATAACCAACATTAAATGCCATTGGTCTCTATTTATATAGGATAGCGCTATATTGCTCCTTTTTTGGCAAATGATTTAAATAAGTAATTTGAGAATTTGCAATTGAATTTAAAACTATGCAAATTTATAAACAAATTGACATTTATTACTTTCGTCTTTTTTATTATTCTCTTTCAAATTTTCTTTTAATTAAATTTTAAATCTTTTTCTTCTAGTTTGTTGGTTTTTGGCACTCCATTTATTATTTATTTATTTATAACCTTTTACCTACAATTATTATATATTTTCTCAATTTTTATTTATCGACTGCTTGAGCACAATTTAGCATACTTTCTCAAAATGTATATGTTTTGTCTTTTATATTTTATGCAAGCTTAATATTTTTGTTTTAAAAGGAGTTTACAGTGTAACCGGGAACGTTCGATAATCAGATAATCAACCACCATTAAAGCCATTTTTCTCTGTTTAAATTGCTGCTGTTTTTCAAAGGTTTTGTAAAAAATAATTTAAATAAGTGATTTGAGAATTTGAAATTTATTTTAAAATAAAGGAAATTACAAACAAATTGACTTTTAACTTATTTTGGAAATTGCTGTTTTTCTGGAAAATCTATAAATATAACAAGGAAATCACTATGGTTGTGGAATTACCCGGTCAATTGACCAAAATAATTATAAAAATACTATAAAATTTATATTTATTTATTTATATTATTGAAATTGCCCGAATCGCTAAGCATCTTATTTAAACTATATTTAAAATATTATTTTAAACATTTTTTAACTAGTCTAGGTACAACTCTAATTTGTATTTCGCTCTACAATTTAATAACTGCGTCACTCCCCACAACTAAGCAAAATAGTATACTGACTCACAAAGTGTCTCTTTTTGAACCCTCTTTCTCATTATCTCCCAAAATATTCAATTCTGAGATAAAGATTCCATGTTGCGGTGTAGAATCTTATTTGTCGTTTAAAGTTTAAGAAATAGATCAATAATATGTATTTTGAAAATGTAGACATTTTGCACCAATTAATTATTCGAAAATTAATGCAATACCTATATAATCAGATTAAAACAAATAAAAGTGAAGTAATTTTTATTTATTTATTTTCAGGCCTAACGAGGTGTCCGCCGGATTGACGAGCGGGTCCGGCGGGGGCGGCAAGCTCCGCTGTCCCGCCCCAATTTCGCGACTCAAAGTCGAGAAAATCGAGGGCGGCCTAATGGTCGCGGGGGTAGTGGTGGCTGCCAACTGTCAAATCATTTTACCCATATTCGGGTTCCTGTTTCTTCTTGTCGGCTGCGTCCTCACCGGTAAGCAACTTTAAAGTTTATCAAAATGAAAACTCCTCAATTCATAAATCCTATATTCCTTAATTGAATTCGCATAAGGAATATTAAGAGTGTCATTTTGTATATGTATAACATGTAGTGACCAAAGGCAAATTCTAGCAAAAGAACATTTGGTTACTGAAATATGCTATACCAATTATATCAAAGATATTTTCTTAGCCCTGCAGATGAGAAGAGTAAATAAACTACTACGATGCGTTGAGGGGGGAAGAAAATACAAAAATACACGAACACGGGAAAATCTAAATATTATAATTACGAATAGGTGTGGAGAACAATATCCAAAAATGCCAGAGATTGTCGAGATTGATGGACATTTGTCAGGTTTCTCGAAATCATTCTAGTTTATAATTAGAAGCGGTTATTTTTAATTCCTTTACGTAGATATTGCTGAAACAAAGCGGTTTATAGAAATTGACAATACTAGAACGGAGATACCGCTACTGATTAGAATGAGGGTTGCTTAATTCTCGTCTTTTTTAATTGCTATTTTACCACATGCTTTAGCCTCGTTATTTACATTTGGCTGGATTTCTTGGATGAATTTTATATATATATATATATATATATATATATATATATATATATATATATATATATATATATATATATATATATATATACATATATATATATATATATATATATATATATATATATATATATATATATATATATATATATATATATATATATATATATATATATATATATATATATATATATATATATATATATATATATATATATATATATATATAATTATTATTATTTATATTTGACCTGCCTTTTTTTTGGAGACAACAATCAATGACAAATGTTTCTTGGAGACTGAAAGTGATTTTTTTTTTGGTAAACATACATTTTATTGAGTAATATGATTTGCTTTATCCTTAATTTTCACGGCATAAGTTATAAATTAAGAAACACCTATAGTGGTTTTGAGAGTTGTCGTTCAACGTAATATATATGTATATATATATATATATATATATATATATATATATATATATACATATATATATATATATTATATATATATATATATATATATATATATATATATATATATATATATATATATATATATAATATATATATATATATATATATATATATATATATATATATATATATATATATATATATATATATATATATAGTGTTTTTATGAGTTATCACGGAGTTGGGAGGGGGGCGTCCTGGATTCATCTCTCTCTGGTCACAGTTCAGATAACCGGTTTAAAAAAATGCTTGGTATGGTCTGTTCATAGATATAAGAAAGTGACCAATTGCTTTTGAATGGGATTATCCAAGGGTGGTCATTAACATACAATGCAACAAGATTATTACCTAAAGTTTCATAATTTAAATTCAGGTAAAATTGTATTCCGTAATAGAAAATAATTTTATACCTACCTGTGTTTAATATTCTTTTCTTTGGTATACTACTTAGTTTAAGTTTATTAGTAATCATTCTTATTTCGTGTGTAATACAGCGTGTGTTGAATCGTTTGCGAATTATGCAAAATATGTGCGAGCCTAGTGTATCTCAGGAGATGCTCCTGCCCAAATGTAAAAAACACTATTCTATTGGGACTAAGGAAGTTATAAACAATGTTTATTTGACTCTCATTGAACGTGGTGCCAGCAAGCAAGCATCTTTAGAAGAAACGGCCACATTGACGAAAATTCCAACATCAACTGTATGGAAAATTGTGAATAATCCCATTTCAGCGAGGAAAAAAAGAAGCGATGCTGGCATTTTCTCGAGTGTAGATGAAAGTGATCAAGATATAATACGGCGTAGAATTTACCAGTTATGCGAGGAACAAAGCGTGCCTTCATAAGATATCTTAATTAGGAGGCTGGAAAAAGAGGAAACCGGTGTTAAATGTGGCAGAACTACTTTATGGAAGTGTATTCAACACATGGGTTTTAGTTTTAAAAAAATTGACTACCTATTTTGCATGCTGGCTCTAAAGATTCCAAATGGACTTTCTCTGTCTGCGAAAAATATTAAAGATTCTTCTCTGGATTACCATGAAGACACCACCGCTGATTTATTTGAAAGTTGGTTTAAAAACAAACTAGTTCCAAACATTCCTCCTAATAGCGTCATTGTAATGGACAATGCAAGTTATCACAGTAGACAGTTGACTAAAACCCCTTCCTCATGTGACACAAAAGCTACATGTATAATAACCACATTTATTTTCACGAAGATTATACCAAAAAGCAATTAATTGAGGTCCTACAAAGTTTGAACCTACAAAAGGAATACGTCTGTGAGAATTATGCAAAAGATCTAGAGCATACAGTTTTAAGGTTTCCACCTTACCACTGTATATTTAATCCCATTGAACATGTTTGGCACCAACTGAAATCTGCCATTCGTCGTAACAATGTTTTTCCCCGTGTTAACTCCATTGTCCTCAAACTTATAGAAACCGAAGTTTTTAACATCCTTCCACAAAGATGGGCAAATTCTGTTAAACATATAAAAAAAGCAGAACAATCTATATTGCAAATAATATAGAACAAATAATAATTAGAACAGGCGATGATGAATTTTAAGTAATTTAAGTAGGTAATAAAAATAATTTGTAATTTAATTTTAGATTTAAACATAAATACATACATAAATAAATAAATATTGTTTAGTATCTTTCCTAACAAAAACCTAAATAATTAAATTCTAAGCAAAGTACGGACCTGTTCGGCCATATTTCATGCTTACAGCTTGCCCGGGACTTTCCTTAATTCGTATCAGTTAGTCACTTTCTTATATCTATGAACACACTTTAACTTAAATATGGACCAAATGCTCAATTAAATTATATAAGATAAGCTTTCCTTGTTAACAAAAACAAACTTAGCTTATTTTATTTTACGCCTGTAAATGTATTTTTTTACCAAAATAAATAAATTTACGGACTTAGCTATGGGTCGCTTGGATTTATAGTTATTATTTAACTTATAACTACATATAGGGTAATCCGAAACTTTGGCAACACTGCGACGTCAAAATTTCAATTGTCTCCGTACTTTTAATGTCATACATGACGACGTTAACATTAACAAACAATGGCATGATGGGATTGTTGTGTGCGATCCACTAGCCAAACTCTGTGGGTTGGTAAAATTAAGGTCGCAAGTGGGTCGTATTAAAACACGATCAATTTTGTCGTGACCAAGTTACCGTAATTCAATCGCTGTTAGCTGACCTTTCGCAGATTCATTTCCACCGACCTTTCGCTAAACAAATTGTTTAAATCTTCGTCCCGATCTGCTCCGATTCAAATTTAGCCGCGTTGATTTTTATAGTGCCGATTTGATTTACCGTTATTTATTATATTTATTAGTTAAAATTTATTTTCGCCCGGATCGTGTTATGTCTCGGTTCGAGGTTTTTGTTATCGAAACTCGAGCGATTTATCGGAAGTAATTGTAAACAATCGACCACTAATTCGAAAATAATCGTTGACTATGCGTTGCTGGTTTTATGGAGAATTTAAGAGCGAAAGTTATTTGAAAATTTAACATTATGTGCATAAAAATCTCTCTAATCTGGGTACAAGGACAGGTTCGATTTTTATTGCGCCATAGGATAGAATATTAATTTGACCGAATAATGCTCATTGCCCGCAAACTACATTTGTACGTCTCATTGTCTGTAGAGTAACTTCAGTGCCCTAGGATAGTATTACGATCTTAGAAATTTGAAAAAAAAAAAAAGTAATACTTGTATAATTTTTAAAGCCCGTGGTTTCCACAAATTTTCTTATGTTAACCACATTTCGAGTGATTGCTGTTTTAAAACTGAAACTAATTTAAATCTTTTGTTTAACGTTTTCCATTCTACCTTTGAAAGTAAAGATGCGACCTTTTCACTAACGATGTGAGTTCCCATCCCATCTCAATATACTTATATACTAACCTAAAAAAATGAATAAAAAAACTAAAAACTAAAAAAGTTGTTATCAATGTCTAATTTTCTATTTCTATTTAGGACAAATTTTTATTTAATTAATTTTATATATTTTAAATTAAAATAATTTAATCAACTAATTATTAATATTAATTAATTAATAATTGCAATAATATTCGCAATTATTCGCTCCGTAGCTGACACTATTACTACATGTTACCTTACCCCACCCAAACTAACCATGGTTGCTGAGTTATTTTGGGCACCAACATATATATCAAGGTATATTTCTTATTTTTTATAATATTTATCGTAGTACATTTAGTACACGGATTAAAAATCCTTTTCATTTAGTATTGAATATTAAAGAACTTTATAAGATAAGAGCATTCTGAATTAACCAATGACTGAAAAGTAATATAAGCGCACTAGCGTTAAAAAATTGCAATATACGAGGTGTGTTCAAAAAGTAAGGCGACGCACATTCGATCTTCGATATTTTTTTGTTATGTTGGTATACATGTCCCTAACATATGTTCACAGTTTCAGCCAGTTTGCACGTTTACCTTTTCTTTGTGTCTGAATTTGCATAAAATTTTGTGTAAAAAATGGAATACAGTACACTTGACATGTTGACAACGGCATATGAAGAAAAAAAAAATGTTTATAAGTGGTACAAGCTGTTCCAAGATGGCCGAGAAGACGTCGATGACGACCCTCGCTCTGGACGCCCCAGCACGTCAATAACTGATGAAATCGTTGAAGAAGTGAAACAAATGGTATTAAAAACTCGTCGAATCACTATTAGAGAATTACACTACGTCAATTATGATCCTGATATGCTCAAAAAAGTTATAACTCATGACAAATCATGGATATATGGTTATGAAGTCGAAACCAAAGCCCAATCGTCCCAATGGAAGAACGCTTACTGTTTTCTTTGATTATCGTGGCGTAGTACATCCAAGAGTTGTTACCACGAGGTCGTACAGTCAATAAAGGGTATTACCTTGAAGTTTTGCGTCGTTTGCGAGAAGCAATACGAAGAAAACGTCCGGAATTGAGGGAAAGCAATTCGTGGATTGTGCCTCAGCCACCATATTCACCAGATATGCCCCTCTGCGATTTTTTTCTGTTCCCAAAACTCAAGGACACCTATGAAAGAAAAGAGGTTTGGAACGATTGAGGAGATCGCTGGAAGAATTTAATGGTATAACAGAAAGTGCTTACCAGAAATGCTTCGAGGATTGGAAAAAACGTTGGTTCAAGTGTACTATATTTGGAGGGGGGATTACATTGATGGGGACAACATTAATTAAATTAATTAAATAAATAAATACTTTTTGATAAAACTTAGTCGCCTTACTTTTTGAACACACCTTTTGTACAAGTGGTTTCCAAACTGCTGGGTAGTATTTTATCGCTAAAAATGAAACCATTTCGTCAAAGCCGCTTTGGGCACAGCGTTGGTTTTCGAACTATACTATATGGAAAACAAAAAATCTTATAAACTCCGATGGTGGTTTTTTATCCATATTGTTTCAACGAGCTATTTCGTGTCGTTTGTAGCCGCATCGTATAGAGGACCAGGCGAAGACGAGCAGCCGGATGACTATGCCGCCCGGATTGCTTTTACCGGCAACTCCCGGATTCTGGGACCCGCTTGTATGGTCGTCGGATTCCTCATGCTGGTCGCTGGTAGCGTGCTATGCGTACTAGCGCACCGGGCTAGGCGACGACAGCAAACGATCGGGTTCCACTGTCCGTTGCACGGTGATTTTTATCCCCTGAGTCCTGTCACTGGATCTAGAACTATAGGTAAGTAGTTGAAGGTGTTTCTTTTACCCTAGAACGGCTGCGGTCATTTGAATAGAGCGATTTTTGTGGGGTTGTTAAAAATCGATATAGAGAAAACAATGTTTTTTGGCATATTTGAGCCGCACTAAATTTTGCGCGTGGGTTTTTCTTCACTAAAAACTGCCTCTTTAGTTATTGGAGTTCATTTTAATTTATATTTCGCAGACTGAACTACATTTTTATTTATGGGAAACCGTTTTTTTTTATTCGCTTTACAGGGTGTTCCAAATTTGAAAGGTAGGAGAGACTAACAAAAACTTTTTCATATTTCTTACAAATAATTAATTCTTTTTTTATTAAAATTGTTTTTTTTTGTGAGCAAGATATCAAATTTCTTGCAAAATAACCAAAACGTCTATCTAGGTTCGTTAATTCAGTAAAAACATTGAGATTAATGATAATAATAATCTGTCACTGGCGCCTGTTAACTTAAAAATCTGCTCTATTCATTTTTTATTATATTATTTTATTATATTATTATATTACAAGGCAAGCTCGTGTTTTGTGAAGAGAAAAAAATTATCTAACGATTTACAATAATTATAATTTATAATTGTAATAAAACAATTAATTTGGAACATTTTCATTTCAATTAGCAGAGAAGAGAAATTTAAATTCAAAAAATTAAATAAAATTATAATACACCAAGATTTTTTTCGGAAAATGTTTTCATTTGTTGCTTTTATGTTGTTCATTTCATTGATAAAAATGTAATACAAACTAGACTTGTGCTGTATATACAGTGTGTGATTTTAATAATTTTTTGTTGCATTGTTTTGCTTATTGCTTCAACTGACCTTAGGCCAACTGGGACTATTTAACACTAGGGAGAGAAGAGAGTACTATTACGGATTTTTAGAAAAATTGGCAACGAATTCTTATTCAGGAGTACTTAGATCGCAACTATACCAATTTTTATAATGTTTTAATACAGAACGTTTGAAATATCATTTGCGCCCCACGGAAGGCGTTGTAAAATGTTTGATTACGGTTTGATTTTGATAACTTTTTTTTGTTGCATAGATCTCTCAAAAACGCACTAAAACCGTATGTTTCTTTTTACATCAACCTAAAGTCATGGCCAACTGATGTCAAATATCGAGAAGGGCTATTAGGGACCTAACCTAACTATACTAATTTCCATACAGTTCGAATACAGGGTGCTCGAAATATCGCTTAAGCATTACCCCTGTAGAATGTCCGTTTATGGCTCAATTTTGATAATTCTTTTTTGCTATATTTGCTATATATTACTATAGAGAAATGAAACGGTTTATTCATATATCATTGACTAAAGTCATAGCTAACTGACACAGTCTTTTGAAGCGGAAAATCGAGACGTACATTTAGAGATTTTTCAAATTGAAGATGACAACAGATTCGTATTCAGGACTACCTAAAAGTAACTAGACTAATGACCACCGTTTTGAATATTTTGAACAACTAAATATTGTAAACCTTAAAAATAACGATTATTTTGTATGTGATTTTGAGATCTTACAAATCTTAATTATAAAAATATGAAAAATAATAATAAAAAAAACTTTTTAAGATTTTACAAGGGCGTACAGTTCTTAGGTGGGACACACTGTATATTCCTATGTAATGTACTTTTTCGAATTAACCTAGTTGATTAGCAACCATAATTACTGGCATTTTTCAAAAATAAATTAATAAATTATTATTGCTCCATAACGAATATTTGTAAATTGGTTGTGGAAAAAAACGTTTCGCGTGTTAAAAAACAATCCAAGCGGAGATAGATATATAACGTATGTCAATCTTTCGTGCGTCGTAAAACATTTACACTGTAATGTCGCTGCCTATCTCTAGATCTGAACTTTGCTTGGCCGATTAAAATGCATCTGGGCTACCTAACGGCTTTATAAGCGAACCATTTATTTCCACGTCCGTTCCAAAAGTAAAAAGATGCGCAAACTGCTGGAAATTTATTTCGCAACGTTTACGCGAACGCAGCTTTTTAAAACTCTTTGTTGTGATTGTGGAATGAGTTAGTCATCGCGGTTGAGAAAGGTCAGTCTTTGTTTAATAAAGACGTTTATTTGTTACTGCCGGTGAAAGTTGCATCGCTTATACGCGCGCACAAACGCGTCGCTGCAGTTACATGATTAATAAACATTTGTAATTAGTTTTGGGTATGTTTTTTTTTCATATGTTTCGCATTCCATTAATAGACAGTTGCGTCCTTTAAGTTGCTTTTTCTCTATGCGCGGTTATAATGTATGATTGCCTCACGCGTATAATTTTTGAGTTGGCCGCAAAACATAGACAAGAAAACCGTTTTACAGATTCAAAATGCGGAAGCAATTCGACCCAAGGACGACATAAATTACACCTCATTACATTACATCTCTTGCGGGCCGTTAAATAATAAATCGAGCCTAACAACATGCGATGAACGCGCAGCAAAGCTCGATAAAATGGGTATCTGTTGATATTGTCCGCCTCCCATCGGATATAATTTCGAAAATCGACATTTTTAAAAATACTGCAATTACGCCAGAGAAATGTTACATAATATAGTTTATTTTGTCATTTAAAAGGAGCTAATTGCACGATAATTAAAAATAACAGTAATAGTTCTACTATTAATTAAATATTTATGAAATAAAAGACATAATTAAATAGACTATAAAAATATGTAATATTTATTTCGTAATATCCATAGATTAGCAGCAAACTGAATAACGACAAATGATAAATGAACTTGATCTTAAGAAATGAGGAAAATTTTACATAGAAAAGAATACTAATGGGATTCTTGCCTTTCTTTTGCTGTTTGAGAAGCTTATTCGTAAGCTCCCTCTCAAAGATCAGTTTGCCTCCTTAACTATTTTTGAGCAAGCACATTTTTGACAGCAGAGAACGAGCATCTACATAAAATAGTTTATTTTATTTACAATGTTTCTTGGTTAATTTCTTAATATTTCTTTTTACATATTTTTCCTTTATATTGTTATTGTTGTTCTGCTTAATGTATCTGATATATTATTATTATTATTATTATTATTATTATATTTTATTATTATTATTATTATTATTATTATTATTATTATTATTATTATTATTATTATTATTATTATTATTAAGTATTATCATGTTGGACAAATGATAAAATCAAATATTTATTATGAAATCACATTTACATCTTTTATTTATGTAACAACTAGAGGAGTTATTATTTATTAATAAAATAAATTCACATTAATATACAATAATAGGTGTAAAGGCAGTGCTTACCTATAAAATAAAATTTCTTTTGCCGGTTATACAAAATATACATACTATATTATTAAAGAAAAATTAAAAATATACAATCAATAAATCCAAAAGTACAAATAAATGAATTAAATCAAAAAGAATAAACAAACCAGCATGTAATTCGATATATACAAGATGGTCACCGTCAAAAACAGTCAAAATATTTTAGAACTACTTAGATTAAAGACTTGAAGTACCCGTTAGCAAAGGATGTACTCCCGAAAACGCAAAATCCAGGAAGTAATATAAACAATTACAGCTATCTGCCATTTATATTAAAGGGTATGACAAAAACTACTCGAGTCACTATTAAAAATATTTGCCTCCCTATGGGTGTGATTTTCAAAAAAATTAAAAAGAAAAGAGGAGTGGGTTGCGTTGCGATTTGTTCAGGTTGGATGGCAACTGATTGACTGCCAAATTCTTTGAGCAAATTGTCGCCAAATGATTGTTCCTAGTTTCTGAATAATTCGCGTTTTTAAAATTAAGTTTCGATAATGATAACCGAACCCTAATTTAATTAATGTATGACGTGACGTATATGTATATATAAAAAAGGAAAACGATCTTCGTCAGCGCCGATTGACGCACGTATGGAGATAGACATCGCGCGAAAGAAAAAAAATAATGAGGGTTTCTCCTAGGGATCCAATCCATAACGTGTGCCTCGAAAATGTCGCACGGTGGGGGATGGTGCCTTAAATAATGTATGGGCGAGGGCTATAAATAGGAATCTAAGAACGCCTAAATTTAGATATTGGAATGGGGTTGGAGGCCGGTATTTGCGGGATAACAAATTGCTTATACGAATATAATGGTTTTCGGAATTTCAAGCTTGTCGTGTGAAGCGGTTCAAAGCGATTTTTGCACGAAGTATTAAAAAAATACCTCTATAAACAAAGAGTTAGTGATATATCTTATCCACCCTATTCAAGTCAACAAATTAAATTGTAAAGTAAAACAATACGTCAAAATTATTGCTAAATTTGTAATAATATTTTTTTTGGGGGTTTTCTGTCTGTAAATAATTTACTTTTTGCGCAGAAGCACTTGTAAAATAGATGAACTCTCTCTCTCATAGCAATCGGGTTTAGGCGTCAATAAGACGAGAACGGTTATATTTTAGTGAGACGCGTGACTGATAAGTAGTTGATGACGGCTCTAGCATTTTTTTGGCGAGTTTGCATTTACTAGAGGCCCTTAAATTGAATATGCTGGTGGCTTAGATAGACTTTCTACTTAAAATTTAAAAAAGTACCCAAAGCAATAAAAAATAGTAATTTTTTTAATGAAAAAAAGAACTGGAATACTTTTTTATTAAAAGAAAATAACGCAGTATGATAACAATAAATGAGATTTAGAGTTTATATTTCTGAAACAACAAAACAGATCTTTCAATTCGACCAACAAACATTTCTTTAAGAAAAATATTAAACAGTATACAGCAAATAGGATTTAGGATTTTATTGCAAGGAAGAAATAAACTTCTTATATCTTAGAAACGAACTTTACTCAATGGGCAATTGCAAAATAAGCCAAATACCGGGTGACACAAGAAAGTGGGAACACTCTATAACTTTTAAACGGATTGAGATAGCGATTTCAAATTTGGAAGGGTTAATTTAGGCTGAATGTCCAATGACAGTAACTTTCGAATTTTAAGTGGCACAACCTATATTTTTTTGCACTTTACTTGTCTAATGGCAAAGAGCATTTAATATAATGAACTATTAATTTTTTAGGATACCCTAGTTTTTTCAAATAGCACCATAGTAGGAACAAAAACTTTTTAAAACCGGTCCTTTTTTTTTGCAACATTTTGACACCAAAATTTTCAATATCCTTTAAAAATTAAACTCACAGGAAGAAAAAACCCAGATAAGTAAATACATTTATTTAGGTGGCTTTGCTTCTATCCCACAACACTGATTTCGATTTCCTCACTTATATTCAAATTATCATGTCGATTATTTTGTGGATTTCACATTTTCAATTCCAGTTTTCTAAAGAAAGAATGTGCAGGATAGGGGCTGCATACAATGCACGTGCCCGCCGAGAGTTTTTTCTGCATTCGCCGTATATCAGAAACGTATCAGAATTTTCAATCATGCCGACTTGATGATGAATAGAAACAAAGCCACATAAGCAATATTTTGTTTTTGTATTTGGTTTTTGTCCTTTCTTTAGCTTATGATTTTGAAAATTTTGGTGTAAAATTGTTGCAAAAAAAATACCGGATTTACTAGGGTGCTATTTGAAAAAACTAGGTTATTGCCATTATACAAGTAAAGAAAAGTTTCGTGATCAGGTCACCCGGTATTTTTGATGGTCACAGCCTCCAAGACGCAAATTTCAAAAATTAAATAAAAATTTAAAAACCCAAAAAAAAAGAAAAGTTGTCCTATCTTATGTAGAATGATTTTCCAACCATTGACTACATATTGTCAAAAAATTGGATATTCAGCCTATATTAGTGCTTCTAAATTTCAAATCGCTATTTCGCTATGGAGAGAAATCAGAAACACTATTACCAAAAGGCATGCCAGAAAATTAGTCTTTTTTTTTTCAGGCATCGTCGAGAAAAATGGCAAATGCACCCTGTGCTGGCCACGCAAAAGAGGTCCAGGAGTGATCGCAGTCGGACCGCCTCAATGTCCTCACAGTCAGATTTCAAGCACGAGGAGTTCGGTAGCCAGCTCACCTCATAGCCAGTGTCCGACACCGCTTCCCTTCCTAGTCAATTCGGGAATTATAGGGTAAGCTACTATCTTAGGAAAAATAAAACAGACTATGGAACATTGCGCATGCGTCATTTTCAAGCAATTAGGCTTTGCGTGCCATTACGGACATTCAACACTTGGGCTGGACGAGATGATTGAAAAAAAATTGTTATAAGATCATAGTCTACTATTAAGATATTATCCACCTTCAGGAACATTTTTTAAATTTCAAAGCAAACGTAAAATTATTTTTCCATTTTTTTTTTTTGCAACTAGATACACATTACGATTTTTTTGTTCAGCCGTAAGTTGACCTACATTTCCGTAAAATTGCAATTAATTCGCGTCCCTTATCGTTTGACCGTAAAATTTGATAGGGCAAGTCCCAGTTGGGCCGTCGTGCAAAAACGACTGCCGCAAAACTCATTTCCCGGAAAGGTAATAATGTAATGACAACATCGACGTTGGATTTCATTAGCGGCAAAAAAATTAATTTACTTTCATCGAAACGGGTTTTTTTACAAGGTTCTCCAGAGCCCTGCGACAATATCGCATTTCGAATGCGCGCAGACGCATGAGTTTTACGGATGAAACGATGTGGAGAGAATATTTACTCCTCATCTGACACCATTGGTGACGTTTATTATTAACCAATGTATTATTACCACCAAGTAATACCTGTTCCTAAGGTAGCTTCAGCATCTGAAATCTGACATTTTTGCCCTATGTGCTTACTCTGTGTCATGTCCAAAATATTGGAGAAGGTTATGTATGATCAACTTAATAATCATGTTGCTGATTAAAATATTTTGCTTGCCTCCCAATCTGGGTTTAGGTACGCGCACAGTACGACCACAGCACTGCTTAATTTCACTGATGACCTTTTAAGGGCTCGGGATGTGTCAAGAAATTCTTGTTTACTTTTGTTCGACATAATCTTCTTACTTTAAAGTTGAAATTCTTCGGTTTAACCGACACCGCTAGTACTTACCAATTTTAAGGGGAGTTCCGCAAGGCAGCATTTTTCTCTATGTACACCTCTGACATATCTAGGTAAAGTCTGTTCATAGATATAAGAAAGTGGCTAACTGATACGAATTAAGGAAAGACCCGGGCAAGCTGTAAGAATGAAATATGGCCGAACAGGTCCGTACTTTGCTTAGAATTTAATTATTTGGGGTTTTCTTAGGAAAGACACTAAACAATATTTATTTAGTTATGTATGTATTTATGTTTAAATCTAAAATAAAATTACAAATTATTTTTATTACCTATTTAAATTACTTAAAATTATTCACATAATATATCAGTAACAGTATCGCTATCATCGCCTGTTCTAATTATTATTTGTTCTATGTTATTTGCAACATGGATATACGATTGTTCTGCTTTTTCTATATGTTTAACAGAATTTGCCCAACTTTGTGGTGGGATGTTAAAAACTAAAAAACTAACCAAAACTTCGGTTTCTACAAGTTTGAGGACTTTGGAGTTAACACGGGGGAAAACATTGTTACGACGAATGGCAGATTTCAGTTGGTGCCAAACATGTTCAATGTGATTAAATGGTAAGGTGGAAGCCTTAAAACTGTATGCCCTACATTGTTTGCATAATTATCACAGACGTATTCCTTTTGTAGAACCTCAATTAATTGCTTTTTGGTATAATCTTCGAGAAAATGAATGTCGTTATTATACATGTAGTTTTGGATTGTTGCTTTTGTGTCACATGAGGAAGGGGTTTTAGTCAACTGTCTACTGTGATAACTTGCATTGTCCATTACAATTACGCTATAAGGAGGAATGTTTGGAACTAGTTTGTTTTTAAACCAACTTTCAAATAAATCAGCGGTGGTGTCTTCATGGTAATCCAGAGAAAAATCTTTAATATTTTTCGCAGACAGAGAAAGTCTATTTGAAATCTTTAGAGCCAGCATGCAAAATAGTTATTCTTTTACCTCTTTTTGATGGCGCGTTTGTTTTACACTTATCAGTTGAGTCAACCCAACCCTTTTCCGAGATATCATAAGTGTTGAACCAGGTTTCATCCAAGTAAATAATTGGCCTTTGTTGTTCTCTTTAAACCCTAATTTTTTCTAAATAGTCCAGTCGTCATTTCCCTATTCTAAAAGATTCCATTAAAACTTGCCTTTTGTCAATTTTTCTAAAACTAAAACCCATATGTTGACTACATTTCCATAAGGTAGTTCTGCCACATTTAACATCGGTTTCATCTTTTTCAAGCCTCCTAATTGATATCTAATGTAGGCACGCTTTGTTCCTCGTATAACTGGTAAATTTTGCGCCGTATTATGTCGTGATCTATTTCGTCTACACTCGAGAAAATGTCAGCATCGCTTCTTTTTTTCCTCGCTGAAATTGTATTCACAATTTTCCATACAGTCGATGTTGAAATTTTCGCCAATGTGGCCGTTTCTTGTAAAGATGCTTGCTTGCTGGCACCATGTTCAATGAGAGTCAAATAAACATTGTTTATCATTTCCTTACTCCCAATAGAATAGTATTTTTTACATTTGGGCGGGAGCATCTCCTGAGATACACTAGACTCGCACATATTTTGCATAATTTGCACACGATTCAACACACGCTGTATTACACACGAAATAAAAATGATTACTAATAAACTTAAACTAAGTAGTATACCCAAACCAAAGAATATTAAACACAGGTAGGTATAAAATTATTTTCTATTACGGACCACAATTTTACCTGAATTTAAATTCCGAAACTTTAGGTAATAATCTTGTTGCATTGTATGTTAATGATCACCCTTGGATAATCCCATTCAAAAGCAATTGGTCACTTTCTTATATCTATGAACAGACTATACCTAAATAAATGTTATTCTCGCCAGTATGCTGATGATATGCAAATATACTTATCATTCTCGGTCAAAGATGTCGCTTTGTCGTCATCTTGTTCTTTTTGGCAATAAAAAACAGGAAATTATCCAGTATAATGATCTGAAACTTTCCTTAAATGGTACTCCGCTTGATTTGTCGACAAATGTAAATAATTAGGAGTCTTTCTTGATAGTAAGCTGCTTTTTGATAAAGTCTACTTATTTACTGAGATTAAACTTAAATTGTGTGACTTTCTTATACTCTCTCTACTGGGATATGAGGACGGTGTATACTGGTTGGCTCTAAGACGGGAAAGACCACTACAGCGTACAAAAAATGCAAAATGCCTGCCTGATGTACAGCTTTGGTTTGGGTAAATTTAATCATATAACGATAGCACTGGAGGATTCTCAGTGGTTAAATCTGTCTGAGGGTATCTTGTGCATCTGTCTACATTAGTGTATAAAATTATTAGGTAGGAAAAGCATCGGTATCTCTATGATAGACTGGTATACATAACAGGGTGACTCGTCACTGTAACCTGTTCTATGTTCCCAAGCATGGTACGACTGCGTTTCAGAGCTCTTTCACATATAACGTTAATTAATAATTAAAACTTACTTACTTAATTCACTTCTGCAGGATTTTATTAGTTGTTCATCTACTTCTACATTTAAAAAGAAATTAAAAGGGCTGCTGAGGTTAAGGAGAAGCCGAACTGCTTAATTTTTTTTGCCTATTGTTTTTCTTTTAGTCATTTTTGAATATTGCCCTTGCTTTTTCTGGTGTCTACTTTTTTCTTTCTTTCTGTTTTTGCATTTATCCCCCTTTAATGTGTTTAAAAATGTCAAATTGTGAATTTAGGTGGAATTAAGGGACTTATTTATATTTGTTCGTTTTTTTTTCTTGTTAAATTCTGGATATTCTACTACATTTTATCAGTAGTTAGGTGGCATAGCGCTGCTAGACCTCGCCACCTGTTCAACTCTATTGTGGTATATCCTTTTTGTTTTATTTTAATAAAGGCTTCTTGCTCGCTCGGCATTTTTCAGTTTTAGCTGCGTTTTGTCTGAAATGTTGCGTTCAGTATTTGTATCGCAGATGAAAGCGATTTTTAATCACGTGATCACAGATTTTTCTGACCAAAGAGGAGTTAACGAACATCCGGATCAAATAGCCACCGTTGGTCAATCATTTACTTATATTTAATGGTTTCATTCTTTTTTATTCACTTATTCCACAGTGTTTCTGGGCCGCATTTTTGGTCGCCATTCATCGTTATCAAATGAAACTTGTATACTTGGTCTTATTCAGTATCATATAACCTCCCAATCACAGATTAATCTTTATGGTCGGGCTAAATGTCGCTTCCTACTGGTCTCAGCACCGACGTATATAACGAACGCAGCTTTTGTGACGCTCAGCTGATTAAAATTACTGCTTCTACGTCTGCGCTAATTCAAGAGACGGTGGGAAGTCAAATCTATGGTTGACATTCGCAAAGTATATAAAATAATGCTGGATTATATTCCACAGGTTAATAATTCACGAGGGCCACTTAAAATAGTCGTCCTCGTGTATTTCGGACGCCCCCATATCACATACTTTTAATTTTGCATTAATAATATGTTAAAGTGAAATATTAAGGCGAGTTTTTCCGGGCTAATGTATTATGTATGACTTAAAGCGTTTAGGCTTATTAATAGTGTCTCGTTATCGAACGACAAAGCCAATGTTGTCCAAAGACGTCATTCGATCAGTCAGTAGCTGGCACCTGTTTTGTTCGTATTGGAAAGTACAATCGATCTAAATATGTATTCGATGTTTTATTTAGTCGACCTCCACATCTTCGTATACAGGGTGTTTAATCACAGCAAATTTCCGTCGTAATTGTAAAGCTCAGCTATTGAAATCAAGAATCAATCGTTATCCATTATAATTTAATTTAAAAATCACTCAAACACCCTTTAAGCGGCAACCAAACTTTCAGATTTATAGTTAAACAAAATATTTTAAGATAATAAGATAAATTACATGGATCTAAACCGAAATGACAACAGCGTGATAAAAAAGTGAGGCAAATTTATCAGTAGAAATAACTTTATTTACTGATGAATTGTTATTGAAATTTTTTACACATTATTATTTCACGATAATGGATAAAATGAAAATTATTATAATAATCTACCTTCTTTAAAAAGATCTTTTTACACTTTTGTGACAATTAAATCAATTAAATCGATTTCAAAATACAGATTTTATCTACTGACATTACCGTGTCATGCAATTGATAAAATTAAATTAATAATTTTCCTTAATAGAAATATTTGTTATATAATAAACTTTCTTTCGTCGAATCTACAGGATGTTATTTTATTGAGGCACTCTGTATATATTCCTGTAACCATATGCAACGCAAGAAATTACCATTTTAAAAAATGCTGCAAACATAATCGTCAAAATATGGCACTACCAAAATCAGTGATTGAAATAATTTTGAGAAATAAATATAAAAAATCTCTTATAGTTATTTTTTTATTACTGTTATCTGTTAATAGTATGTATTCTATAAACATAAGATTGTCACCGTCAAAAATAGTCAAAGTATATAACAATCTCTTACTTCAAAGAATTGAAATATTTTTAGAAACTATCCATTTACTATTTACCCGCAAAAATTGGAATTGGAATTAACGTGTATAACAAAAAAAGAGAATCCCCATTATTACGTGGCTCAATCTAAATTAAATCCGTAATTGAATTTACTGCCTTCTATAGTCGCAACTCAACTTTTAAATAACGAATGTGAGAAAAACCCTGTGGAAGCATGAATGAAAGTTTATTAGACGATTTTTTTTTTCGATGAGAGGACTCGAATGCACTCGAATTTGCTTCTTGCCATGAAATACGGCTGTCATCAAACGACAGCTTGTTGCGGACGCGTTCTCCCGGTTCATTCAAGAGGTTTATCGATTTCAGGGGTATATCGACGGTCCCACCGGTACAGCAATCCCCCGAACAATCTTTCGGATCAATCCGGTCTCTCACTGTGGGACGCGAGGTTGCCAGCTTCCCCATGTCGAGGACTCCTACTCCTCCTCCAACTACGTTCGAGAGGTGAGTGTGAGTGGGTCGCCGATTGTCCCTTTATTTTGATTAATCGAATCGCGTGGGTTTTCTTTTGCGCTGAATTAAAGGATAACGATATTTTTTTCGCATGCTCGACAATTCGTATCGTCCCGAGGTCGTTGGGTATTTTTATTTGGGAGAGGATGCACAGGATATCCTTTATGAATTAATGATGAGCGTCGTTGGACGCTGGTAACCGATAACTTAGTTCGAACAACTCTAGAGTTCGCCTAACAACTTTGTTTTATTAGAAAATCAAATTTGTGAATGAGATTGCTAACGCCCATATGGCTACTTGAAATATAGAGGCTATGCCGATAATACAGGAATCTATGAAGCAACTAGGAAAAAATTGAACATGCGCATACGCGATATTTAAAACTTCGTTTTTAAGCAATGACCTTGAGGTATTTAACAACCAACATGGCCGCTGACAGATCGTTAATAAGTTTGGATATGGTCTTTTTACGGCTGTATTTTCGAAAAATATGCCTAGATTTCGTTAAATGTTAAATTTTAAACGCGATGCACAGAAGTACAGGAAACATTTCATCATAAAATAAAATGTGTAAAAACTTACCGTACAGTGTTAAAGTTGAATTTTTTGGCACGAAAAGAAATATTTTATATAGCTACATGGTTTTGGAAAACGTTTTCTCAATTTTTGTTATATATATTATGCTTCGCAAAACCTTCGAAGGTCAAAGTCCCAACGCATCATCACAGAACATAAGAGAGAACTGTGACTATAGAACATCTGAATAAAATCTCAACTCTGATAGGTCAAAATTTGTAGGTATTCTATACCTATTTTCTCCATTCAACGGGGTGGACACCTTAAAGGTTCAGGCAAATTTCAACGGCAATTTCCCGTAGTTTCCCAGCTCGAATCGTTCCTAAATTAGGGTCACACTAATTTGCATACATACTACAAGTAGATTATGAGAATAATAATTATAGATTATTATAATTATAATTAAATAAAAACTTATATTAGAAGTAAGAATAATATAATAGATACACAAGTCGAAATATTCTTGAGTCTACATCTCCAGCCATACTTGAATCCATTTCAACTATTTGCAACTAATTCTGAGTTTTGGTGGCGTTTTAAGATCGAACTTTTTCAAACAACTGCTTAAAAGTTACTATTATTTTCACTTTAAACACTAAGGCCCAAAATAGTCTATTACCTCCTACTCTCGGGAAGCTTGACAATCATCATATGTGCAATATTACGCCTAAATCCACCAAAGTTTTACAGTTCAATAATGAATTATCACACTCTCGCATTAAGAAACAATGCAAGATGCGAATCGCTAATAGTAAGCGTGTTTGTTTAGAATGTAAATAAAATGGTGTTGTTGGGTCTATTTTGAATACAATTTCTTAGGTTATTTGAGTGCTTTGTAACAAATATGTTGGTTCGATTTCAGGAGTCAGAACTTGGTGAACATCCCTGACGAGGAAAGTTTGGTCAATTCTCAATTCGAGACAGTGCCGGTACACCGAGAAGTGCCAAGGAAATCGGTATCGATCGTGTTACCGACCGAGGAGAAGGGATGACCAGTGGAACTTTAGTTTCCAGGAAAATGCTCGGGAACTAACCCCATTACATTTTTGTAGTAATGCGGGCGGCTATAATTTTACAAACGCCTAACTAAAAGGGTATAATTGCGTAAAAAAGACGTAGGCTTAGATTATTTACGTATTGTTATTTATGTGTAATAATTATTGAGAGGTCGTCGATTTTGTAAACCAGTTTCAATTTAGTATATAATAGTCCCGATTGCACGAGCAGCTTAGACTGAATGTATTCAATTATAGGAAATATTTTTTAGGTATAATATTTTTAATATTAGGAAAACGGATTCAAAAGTACCAGATCAATTTTTGACTTGTGTTAGATTGAGACCGAATTTTATGAACGATTGTCGAGGAGAAAAGACTGATTTTGTTCTGTATTATTTGGTATTTTTACCTGCCTCACTATCAATTTACCTTATTTTGAGATTTTGTTGCAGTTATTTGATGCAGTTTCCATTGTTCGGGTAGGTATTTGAATTTCAAAGGAAAGCTCTCTCTTTTAACTGAAGGAAGTTAAGGTATAAAATAATTTCTAAGTAAAAAATGCGGGAGTCGACACCTAGAAAATATATAATAAAAACCCATTGCCCGTATTTCGCCCTTTCAGTGTAATGTCGGCGCTGACTTCGATATTTCTACTTGGAAATTGTTTCACAAAATTTGAAAACAGTTTTTTAGTCCCCATTTTTCAGCATTCCTCAAATTGAATTAATCCGAGGAGAGTCTAGCATAGTTCAGTAACAACATTCACTGCACCACCCGATTTTTTATAATAAATAACTGTATACTATATGTAATCTTAGGTGAAATTGTACATATAATGATATGGGATAATATATATTTTTTCTGTTAGCACTAGTCCCTCAAATATCAAAAACTAGCAAATTTACATAATAATTGCGTCAGTATTCGGTAACTTTAAGAAAATCAGTACAATTTGTCTCGCTGGCAGTTGTGAGGGGTCTAGTTTGAAATTTTAAACTGTAGTGTTGAAATTATTGTAATACAAGTGATATGTGGTTAGATATTGTGTAAGGCTGATTATATTGTAAGATATGGTAGACATTTTAAATTTTCCCTTCTAGATTCTGCTCAATAAAATTTTAAAAGAAATTTTTCGTTCCACAAATAACTTGTACTCGGATTTAATGTCTTCGTCTGTTTACAAAGCACTCGACTACATAGTAGTCGACCGGAAATGTGGCGTCTGATTTTTTGAGGTTTTGCAAAGTATTCACATTCTTTAAGAATACTCTTCAAATGATGCTCTTAATTGTTACTTGCTCACTCATAATTATGTAACTAATAGTTTTAGCTAAGAGGACAAATGGCGTGTCCTAATGTGAGGAACAAATCAATTAAATAAATTTATTATAGCCCAGAATATGTGTTTTTATACCTAATTCCTTTGCAAAAAGATGTAAGTGACCTGATTATGATATAAAACTAACCAAAACTTGGATGTTAGGTATTACTCTCGTATTTTAAATGGATCACCCTGTATATTACTGCATTTTTCGTTTCATTTGAAATAATCGCCCTTTCTGATAGTTCGCGATAACATAAATATAATTTTGTAAAATATTTAAAAAAAAACCTTAAGCAAGATAGACAGAGTACAATTTCTATATGTATTTTTGCATATAAATATTGCAATGCGTCTACTACCAAATTTTTCATAAAGTCGCAATCACGAAAGATGAAGTGTAGATACATGTGTTTACTATAAATACTTGTAAATTCTTTGTTTTTTTTTAGTCACATCCGGCTAAACTTGATAGATCTGTTGCTCATCAAGAAATCCTATTTTCGACAAAACGAATTTTTCATTTTTGATTCCCAATTTGTTTTATTACCCGTGCTTTATTGCTGTAATGGTCTCTGTATATACCACAAAGCACCGAAAAACTTATCAATAATTTAACTTGGAACACTTTCATTCTTATCTACAAAATTGTAACCCCATTTGTAAAAACGTCATTATTGTTTATCTTTATTTAATATATTCCAAACAACGGTTCACTGTCAGACAAAAAGTTTGTTAACTTGTCGAAAGTTACCTCAAAAAATTTTAAGTAAGACCTACAAAAGGTTTTAATAGGCATAAATAACAATGTCGCCTTAATATTATTAAGGGAATATAATATTCTTGTCTAACACTGTATAATGAAAATCTCACTCAACCTGTAATTTGTAATAATCAGGGATTTTTTTTCTTTACGCTTAATTGGGCTCATCTCAAATTCGGATATGCATTTTCCGGCATCCACCGACGAAAATTGACCGATAACAATTTTTCACGCACACAACACCCAAAGCTTGGAATCGAACCCACGACCTCCGGCAAATTCGAGTTGGCAGGTCAACGCATTAGCAACCGAGCCATCCTCGGTACCAATCAGGGAATAACAATTACTGTTCGGTACGACTGCTGAAATAATTAGCCCATTGCCGACTTCTGTCGAGGATTTTCACTTTTTTTTGGTAAGAGACCAACACGTAAAAGGAAGAAAAATAGCCAAATATTCCCTCAGCCAGCAAAAAATCAAGTTTGACCGATACCAAAAAAAAAATACCGGCGGTTTAAAACATTCACCAAACACAATCACACAGAAACCACACACAGGAACAGAATCACACGAAAAAGACCGACATCAAGATTTTTGGGACGAATACAACGGATTCTGCTAGGAGCTGCAATGCTCCACCACAGAATCCCATGAGGGAATATTCTTTTATGACAACCAACATGACGTCATTACAAATGATTATAATTTCGACTATACATAATCGATGATGAAGAGAAGGCCAGTTGCGTGGCGATAGACAAAATCTTCTCACTTAAACACAAGTTATTTAAAACCTGGTAACTTTTTTTTCATAAAGTTGACCTATTTAATTAAAAACTCCGAATTTAAATTGTTTATTAAAAACAAAATTCTACCAAAAGTATATCGAGTCTTCCAAACAATAAATTTCAAGTTGCAAAAGCATTTTTAATTTTATCTAGTAAAAATATCGTCTGTACTGGGATATACTTTAAAATTTCCGCTAATTTTAAAGTATTGGTCAATTGATCCTGATAACCTTTCAACAAAAAAAAAGAAGAAGAAATATTTCATTATGTAGTGTGTTTTTTCTTTACTAGATGGCACTATCTTTGGATTTGCTGAAAAAGTGGATAGTTTATTCAGAGATGAGTTAATTGGTTATTAATAAAGCAACGATTTTGTCCGTTTGCGTTTATTTCCATATTCCCACAAATTAAGTGTTTTAAATTAAAGAGATTTTCGGAACCTTCCATGTTAGAGAAAACTATTTTTAAGATAGGTAGTGGCGACAGTGTAAGTAAGATGGCGCCATCAGAACGATTCGCAGTGGCAGAAGTCGAGTACGGTCTCTCCCTTTATTTAATTACCATTTTTGTTTTCGAAAATTACGAAAAGCTACTACCAACAATAATGAGTTGATGTAAGTGAACAATTTTTCTTGACCTAGACGTGGCAGACACTATCAAGATGGGTTGGCCAAGATTTTGTGTCAGATTTTGCTTGTAGGACTATAAACATCCGCGCTTAGTTGACATGGCGCTTGGCTTAATGAAGATATTTAATTAAATTGAAATAATCGTATATAATATATAAAAGGGTATTTAGTTAAATTTTGGTGTTGTAGCACTACATACCATGGATGAAATGAGCTCAGGCTTGGAGCCTGATGAGTTGATGGACCTGGAGGAACCAGAACCTTATGAATTGGAAGAGGAAGATGAAGAACTTACTGAAGATCCATCTTCTTCTCCTTTTCAACTTTTATCTTCTGGTCCTGGTTCCACAGCTACCTCAGCAGCGTCATCACCACCAAATACTGAAGATTTTCCCACCCCTTTCAATTTTTCTGGAAAGCCACTCAGTGTCAAAAGGGGGAGAGGTCGTCCTCGTAGAGAAGGAGGTAATGTACCGTTTTTAGAATTTGTTTTATTTACGTCTGGTGTCTAGTTTTCACTTAACTTTTTCATTTTTTCAATAATTTGTACTTTATCTATTCTTTGGCCGCGAGTACAGCACCAAGAAGTTATTTGTTAGTTTTTTTGGAGATGTTAGTTCACAAAGCTTAACTGGCCAGCTGTACCCGACAGCGCTCTATTGTGTGTACTTCACATAACCAAGCTAGAGTGGGAAATCATCTGCTATGACCGAGTGTATTTAAGGTAGTCTTGATCATCCTCTGGGAAGCAAGACTTTAACCCAGGCAGTTAAGATTCTTCATAATTTGATCCTTTCGCTTTTGCGAGTTCTTGTTGTGCCAACTGCTGCCCTTTTCTCTCCGAAAAAACATTTTTTAGGATTTGTTCCTACCAAATAATTGTTAATGCTACCATTAACCCTAAAGTACATGAGGTTGATGTACCAATTTTAGAAGTGATTATCGAGATTGGCTCATCTTTATTGACTTATCTAATAGTTTAATTCATAATAATGCGTACATGATGACATTTCAAACATTGTGAGAATCAAGCCTTTAACCTATTAAAAACTTATCAGATATTGTGTAATAGGTACCTTAATAAAACAATGCAACGCTGCTAATATGTTATATTCGGTTTTTAACCCGAAAACACCTCGCGATAAGTACAGCGTTGTGAGCAACATCGCTTATGCACATTATGTTTCATTTCGCGGCGCAGCGCTAAGAAATGCGTTAGTGCCATATCTTTCCAGATTTGCGTTCCAAAAGCAGTTATTAACGGATTCATCATTTGAGAGAGCAAGGATATGCTTCTTTTTCGGCAAACATAAGCAATTCAACTTGCACACTTGCTGGGGGCAGTTTATTCAGTCATATTACTAATATTGTTCCTGCAAATCACAAATTTGATAGTCTGTTATTTTCTCAATAAATATCTGTCTGCTGGTTTTCAGACTTTACTTTATTTGTGCATGTATATCGTTGTTTTTTCATCTGCTTTTCAGTCTATCCAGCTTGAATTAGTGTCCGATTTATTATGTGATACATTTTTGGCAGCATAAGTTTCTGCTTTCCATAGTCACTGCAGAACAAATGTTATTTCTGCATCAGAGTACATAGCCAACAAGGCATTTTAATCCTCCATCTAGCCCATACTCTGGTGGACTGTAGGAAACCGGAGTAAAAAGCGTAAAAAACATAAAAGAACAGGCTGACTCTTTGTCTCTCCTATGTCTGTGCACAACGTAATAACGTTGCTATTGGCAAAGTTGTTACTTACATTTTTCCGAATGAGATTTTTAGGGTAAAATACATACCGCATTTTGGTGGGCAGTATGTTTAGTTTTTGCTATTCTTTTCGATTTTCTTTTTTTCATTTTTTCCAATAACCCATACGTTCTCCATTCGTTGGTCGCGAGTACAACACCAAGAAGTTATTCGTTACTTTCTTTTACGGTGTTAACTCTAAAAGTTTAACTGGCCACTTAGCCAACCTAGAATGCGAAATCGCAAGGTCCATATGGTTAAAAAAGTGCCGTTGAACATACCATATTTAAACGAGTGCGGAACATCAAATTTTGGCAGCACGGGCATCTCTGGGAACGAAGTCTTAAACTGAGGTAGGGTTAGTTAAGTTTAGTCATAATTTAATGCTTTCGTTTCCCGACTTCTTGCTGCCCCAACTGCGGCCAAATTCCTTTTTGTCGCGGACAAACCATCTGGATTGGTAATACCTAAAACCTATCAGTGCATGTATTTGTGCAATTTGCAGGAAAACCAAGCCAAAGAAGAAGCTGTGGAAATTCATCATCTAGAGTTCGGCGAAGCAGACCATCAAGTTTATCTAGATCTAGAGGCTCTCGGAGTGTTAGGCAGCCTGACAAAATGGACTTTGATTTTTCATATTTTAGGTATCTGTAATATCTGTATTATTACAAGTCAGATGACAAAATTTATTTTTAGTTCATCTGCTTTGGATGATATGTCCCTTGATCCGGATACTGGAGCTTTGCTGTTTCCAGAGAGGGACAGGTTTCCACCAGTTGAGGATGTTCCATATGCTCCGGAGGCTTGGCCTGGAAAAACTTGCGCCTTTTGCAATTTACCAGAGCGCAGTCAACTCGGCCAAGGAGAAATGGTACGTTTGAACTGTCCTGAAGGGTTCACTCCTCAAAGGGTTGTTATGGATCAAAACAGTCAGACGCCTCCTCAAGCTTTAGAGAAAGACAATGGGGATAAGAGTCCCAGAGGGCCAGTTACATGCAGGTAAATGTTTAATTTTTAAGATTTGACAATGTATAAAAATGTCTATGTATATGATTAGGAGGAACAAGACTTTCAATAGGTTACGTAATCAGTCAATGACCAATGAATATGTAGATGAACTTAGCATAATTGGTTACAATGAGGAACCAAGTGTGAATATCCTGTTTGAGACAAATGGGCAGTTTTTTGTACACAGAAATTGCGCCCTCTGGTCTAAAGGGGTTAATAGAACAGGTTAGTCAATTTTCTCCATCACATCTCTTTTAATTTGACAATTAAGGTTTGTTTTTAGAACAATTTGCTTTGGAAAATGTGGGTCCCGTTGTTCTTGAGAGTTCCTCCAAAAAATGTTCATTCTGCAATCACTATGGGGCAAGTCTTGTGTGTAAAATGGAAGGCTGTACAAAAGTTTTCCATTTCCCTTGCTCCACAGCCTCCGGTGCTTTCCAAGAATTGGCCTCGTTTAGTGTATACTGCAGCAGTCATCTTGGGCAAGCTGCTTTGCATTGCGAGTGTAAGTTTTTTTTTTTTTTTTGAAGTGTGGGGGCTAATTTATATGTGTCCTTTTTGTTATAGCCTCGGTTTGTTACACGTGTAGAAACACCGGCGACGTAGCCAACTTGATGTACTGCTCTGGCTGTGGAGCCCATTACCATGGAAGATGTGTTGGGTTGGCTCAATTACCAGGTAATGCTGTGATTTTGGTTATTGTTTTATTTTGGTGCGTGTGGGTCTCTAAACTGACATGGAACAAATGGAATATTTTCAAAAATATATTTTAGGGGTTAGAGCCGGCTGGCAATGTCGCAAGTGCCGTATATGTCAAGTATGCCGTATGACGGGAGACGAAAGCAAACTTATGACGTGCGAGCAGTGCGATAAGGTTTACCATGCCAGTTGCCAAAGACCCATAGTCACTTCAATACCTAAGTATGGCTGGAAGTGCCGGGTAAGCTTGTTGTTGCACCAATTTGTTCGATCGTCATTATAATGTGCCACTTCAGTGTTGCAGGGTGTGTGGGGATTGTGGCTCCAGGACTCCAGGCGCTGGATTGTCCTCCAGGTGGCACCTACATTATACCGTGTGCGATTCATGTTACCAGCAACGCAACAAGGGTTGTTCTTGTCCCATGTGCCATCGTGCTTATCGGTCACACGCGCATAGAGAGATGGTGCAGTGTACCATGTGTCGAAAGTATGTGCCAGATAATTGTCTAACCATTTGTGTGACATACGAAATGTGTGTTTTTAGGTTTGTGCATGGTACTTGCGACCCGGACGCAGATTTGGCTACCTATCACCAAAGGAAGGAGGCAAACCCGGAGTATGAGTATGTGTGCGCCATTTGCAAAAACCTGGCTCTGCAGAGCCAGCATCAAACGTCTCGCCAGCTGACCACTAAAAGATTTAGTGAGTGGTTTTTAAGCGTTGCAACGGACATTTTAATATTTCTTTTCCATTTAAGGTACTGACGAACCTGGCGACTTATCCGGCTCCCAAGAGTCTCTGTATGATGACATGTCCGAATTTGACGTGCCTTTGGAAGAGAGCGTGCGCAACGTGGGCCTCGGCAAGGGCAAACCGTTTGCCAGCAAAATTGCCAAGAAACGTCTTAGTTTTCAAACGGGAAAGCCCGGCAGACCGAAGGGCAGTTACGGAAAAGGTACTTTGCAAAAGGAACCGAGTTTTACTAGAAATCTCTTGAATTTGAAATTTCAGGTGCTCCCGGAAAGCAAGGCTTCATGAAACGCCAGCGATCGTCAGAGTTTGTTAGGAAACGCGGCCCCAAAGCGAAAATGCGAGGTGTCTTCGGGGCGCCAGGGGTGGGGCTCCAAAGACCCGTGTCCGATGGGAAGGGCGAGGACGAACCGGGAGTGGAGAACCGCTTGGTTCTCTGTTCCGCCAAGGTATTTAGAGTTAAAATGAAACGTTTCAAATTAAATGATGGGAATGTGTCCCTTTCAGGATAAGTTTGTGCTAACTCAAGACATTTGCGTAATGTGCGGGGCGTTGGGAACCGATCAGGAGGGTTGCCTCATCTCCTGTGTGCAGTGCGGCCAATGCTATCATCCCTACTGCGTAAACGTTAAGATTACCAAGGTCATTTTGCAGAAGGGTTGGAGGTAAAGTTTGTTTGCTCTTTAGTATGAGGTAATTTATTTGGGTTAGTGAGAAAATTATAAAAAAATTGATAAAAGGACAAAGAAAAAAAAGGGTAAATTTGGAGAAAAACAGATAATATTAATGAAGATTTCGAAGAAAATTAAAAAATGGGAATTTTTAAAGGAATCATTAGTATGTGAGGCCTAGTTTGGCAGATAGACATTGAGCATAAAACGCAGCAAGAATTTTGTGGTGTTTAGTGTGTAAGTTCTTACAACCATCAGTTGACAGGCAAACATTTTTAAAATATAAAAAAAATTCGAATGTCAGTTATTTCATTACAAACGAGATTAGTGTGAGGTTTTGCTATCCTGGTTTTTTGAGTCATTGTATATTTTAACTGGATCAAAAAACCATTTTATATTTTTGAGTTAAAATTTTTTAGATCCATAGTTCAATTATATTTTGGGTTGAAATAAAATGGATACTAAAATTACCTGCTGCTTTAAGAATAACAGGTCGTTTCATTGTAATGATAGGTAAAATTGCTAGGCATGGTGGTTTTGCAATGTTACGGGAAAGGTTTTGAAGGAAGCAGATTGATTAATGGTTACCTATTAAAAATGAGTAATAAATAATTTTAAATTCTGTTGGTGTTGATTTTATTGTTTTTCATTGATGGAATTGATTTCATCAATCAAAAAGAAGTTGTAAATAGATGGACCGGAAAGTAATCTCGTTTTTCTGCATGCGAATATTTGTTCATCACTTATTGTATTACCGTACCCTTTAGAATGTCCATCAAGATAGATTTAAAAGTAAGAGTGGCTTATTGACTTGTGATCATTAAAAAAAAATTACTTTAAAACAATTTTCATAGAAATGTCAAGCGAAATACGCGACGAATTGCAAATTCGGCATTGTATGCTGTTTCAGTTCAAGGGTGGGCAATAATACAACTGTTACAAAAAACAATTGTGATGTTTGCCCAAGTGCGTTAGATGTTTGCAAATGCCAAAGATGGTTTGCATAGTTTTATCGTGTCAACCCATCTCTTATGAAACAACGTCCAGTTTTGGGTAAACAGCAAAGGCTGCCACATGACAATGCCAGACCACATGGCGCAAAGAAAAAATTAATGATCTGGGTTGGGAGTTACTTTCTCATCCAACATACTCACCTGATATTGCGCCCTCTGATTGACATTTTTTTCTATCACTGCAAAGCTTCCTAGCTTGAAGGAAATTTAACAATTTGGATGATATCAAAAATGCCCTCTCCACTTACTTTAACAATGAAACAATTAATTTTTTTAAATCGGGCATTGAAAATTTATTAAAAAGATGGCAAAAGGGCATTGACAAAGATTGGACATTATGTTATTGATTAAAAATAAAACCAAACAAATATCATCATCATCCTCAGCTATCCATCCATCGTCGGACGTACGCCTCCCCTAAGCATTGCCACTCCTTTCTATCCTGCGCATGCCACATCCAATTGTCTCCCACCAGTCTCTTTATATCATCTGTCCACCTAGTCTGGGGGCGTCCTCTGCTCCTCTTACTGCTCCATGGTCTCCACTCCATCACTCTGCGTGTCCAACGATCATCTTTGCTCCTGGCTATATGTCCTGCCCAGCTCCATCGCAGTCTACATAATCTCTCTATGACATCTGTCACTTTTGATCTTTCCCGGATTATATTATTGTTTATTCGGTCCCGGAGGGTTACACCTATCATCCTCCTTTCCATAGCTCGTTGTGTTGTTTGTAGCTTGCAAATGATTTCTTTATTAATTGCCCATGTTTCTGTACCGTATGTTAGTGTTGGAAGTACATATTGATCGAAGATTTGCGCTTTGAGGGTGTTTGGGAGGCCTGAACAAAAAACCTCTCTGAGTCTTCCAAAGGCTGTCCATGCCAACGATATCCTTCGCGGTAGTTCTGCTTTTAAGTTGTTTTTTGAAACTTCTATTTTCTGACCTAGATAAACATAGGATTCTGTGTGTTCTATTTTTTTGTTATCTATTTCGATTCTCGTTTCTTGTGTGATATTATCGTTCGTCATATATTTGGTTTTTCCTATATTCATCTTGAGGCCTATCTTTTTAGAGTTTTGATCTAGTTCCAATAGCATGTCTTGCAAATCTTGTTGATTATCCGCGAAGAGAACAATATCGTCAGCAAACCGTAGGTGACTTAAGTATTCTCCATTTATTTTAATGCCCTTAGTTTCCCATCCGATATTCTTGAACATATCCTCCAACGCAAGCGTGAACAGCTTCGGTGAGATGGACTCTCCTTGTCTAACTCCTCTGCCTATATCAATCTTATCTGTGAAATCTTTCAACATAACTTGGAGGGTTGCGTTGCTATATATATTTTGGATTAAGGTTGTGCATCGATAGTCGACTCTGCTGTTGCTTAATGCCTTCAATACAGCCCATATCTCTACAGAGTCAAAAGCTTTTTCATAGTCAATAAAAGCGACCCAGATTGGGATATTGTATTCATTTGTCTTTTCTATAACTGTTCTTACTACTTGCAGATGATCTAGTGTGCTGAAACCTCTTCTAAATCCGGCTTGCTCTTTAGGCTGGTAACTGTCAAGTTTGTTGGTCAATCTTTCTGTTATTATTTTTATAAATACTTTATACATGACAGACAACAGGCTGATTGGTCTGTAATTGCTTAATTTAGTTTTATCGCCTTTTTTGAAGAGCAAAACTACTAGGGCGTTCTTCCAGTCTGCGGGGACGTCACACTCCAGCAGGCATTTATTGTATAATATTTTTAAAATGTCCAGAACTATTTCTCCTCCATAGATCAGCATTTCCAATACTATACCATCCCCTCCCGCTGTTCTTCCTTTTGGCATTTTGGACATGGTTCTCTCAATTTCCTCACTTGTTATGTCTGGGATTTCTTCTGAGCCTACATTCATTACCTTCTGTCGTTCTTTAGAAGATGTTTCTAGTGGTGGTTTGGCTTTGCTTTCGTATAGCGATCGATAAAATGCCTCAGTTAATTCTTTTAATTCTTCCATCCTGGTACATTCGATGTTGTTCTCATTTACAAGCTTTGTGATGTGGGTCCTGTTCTTAAATTCCCTTTGCAGTACTTTCAAACTTTTTCTCTCCTCTAGCGTCTGTCTAACTTGCTGGTTCTTATAATTCCTTGTTTCGAGTCGGATTTTCTTTCTTATTGTCTTGTTTAGTTCCGTGACTTCTATATGATTCAATGTAATATCTTGGTTTATCGTCTTGCGTTTTTTGATTAGATCCAGAGTTTGTTGGCAAAGCTGAAGTTTTTTCTTTTTCTTATTTCCTGCCACGTTATGTGCTATTTCTTGGATTTGCTTTGAGATCTCGTTGTTTAGCATATTAATAGACTGGGTGTGTAGCATATTTCGATCGATACAATTTTCTAGTTGACGTTGGTATTGCTCCTGTTTTACTCTGAGTTCCTCTGTGTTGATACCTTTGGGTCCCTTTGAGATCAATTTGTATCGTTCTATTTTTGTATCGAAGTATATCTTAGATCTGACCATACGGTGGTCACTTCCCAAACAAATATATATGTAGTTTAAACCAAGTTTTAAACTGTCATTTCAAAAAAACAGAATATACACTTAATTATAAATTATTATTATCAATTATAAATCTGAAAAAATAATCAAAGTACAAAACAGATCTAAGTACTTCAAGATTAATAAAACTGTCAAGCTGCTCCAAAGAAAGCCTATATAAAAATTACAGCAAAGTAACTAATGAATGTAATAAGATCTACAAATCGTAAAAAAAGATTACAATAACTTTAAGGTAAAAAGAAAAAACAACTATTATTTCAAGCTAGCCCAAAGACTAAAATAATTAAAACAATTATAGAGACCAATGGCAGTTCTCACACAAGTTTTAGTGGTGTGACATGTCACATGCAAAGCTATTTTAGAAGTCAACTATGGACAGTTAAATTTAGAGGTTATGATCACAAATTTTTTAATTTTTGTATAAACTATTAATTGTGGACATATAATAGGGATATATTAGTAAAGTACTCTTAGGAACAAGTGTCATCTTATCCAAGAGGCCAGGACATTTATCGTACCATTATCCAATCTAAAAAAAATCCTTACTGATCTCACATTTGGAAGGTATGCTAATGATGACTGATATCCAAGATTACTATGATCTAAGATCTGCGCATCACTTCAATATGTCTTAAAAATTTGTGCTCTCTCTAACCTACAAAAATGGACCTCGAAATAAGGGGACCGAAATACTCCCTTGAAATTTGTTTAAAAAAACGCCTCTACGTGTCGAAGGTGTCTGGATTGTACCGTGTGCGAAGGATGCGGCCAGCGTAATGACGAGGGTCGTCTTATACTGTGCGACGATTGCGACGTATCGTATCACACGTATTGCATGGATCCACCCCTAGACTACGTACCGCACGGTAACTGGAAATGCAAAGTAAGCCTTTGCCATTTTATTCCTCTCCAAAGCATATTTAACATTTTTCGTCCAGTGGTGCGCATGTTGCCGGAACTGCGGGGCCACCGATCCCGGATTCAACTGCACGTGGATGAACAGCTGTACCGAATGCGGGCCCTGCGCATCTCATACCGCATGCCCAAGCTGCACTGAACCTTATGCCGAAGGCGATCTAATAATACAGTGCGTTCAGTGCGAGAGATGGCTACACGGCGCATGCGATTTTATCAAAACGGAGCAGGTGCGTTTTTTTAAACAATACGAACTGATTAATATTAATTTAAATTTAATTTACACTATTTAATAATTTGTTATTTTAATGTTTATAAATCAGTTTGCTTTACCGTTTTACCTAAATGTTCCTGAAGTATATATCCGGAACCTAAACACATTTTCTTTCCGCATCTGCTGAACGTGTTATACACAAGGATATAAAGACGTTCCTTTAGTACTCAAAAAAAATACTGCAAAGATTGTGAAAAATATACAAGGTATATATATATATATATATATATATATATATATATATATATATATATATATATATATATATATATATATATATATATCGCTAATGCAAATTATTTCGAAAAAATGACAAATGACTTATAACAAAAAAGAAAACATCGACCGATTTGATTTTTTTGCCATTGTTTTTATGATTATTATTATGATATTTAGAGAAAGGAAAGAGAAGAAAAAATAAGTAGAAAAAAATTGATTTTCTTTATGCTTTTGAAAAAATGTTTTAGAAATTACCGCAGGATTTTTTAATTCAACTTTTCTTGGGACTCATTGAATAAAATTATTAATATTGTTTGGAAGGGGAAATACGAGGATATAATAACTTTTTATCTATCTCCAACACGTCAGTTCAATTTTGTTGCCAAATCAGCGTTGTATTTCAGAATTGTTAATAATGCAATGTAATTGCTGATTGTTAATATTTATATTTATAATCAAATGAACAACAATAAAATATTATTATTATTATGCTTAAAATAAAAACAATGTCTAAAGAGAAAATTGCCCATTTCTGCACTACTGTACATGGAGGTTATTTATTCTAAAAATCTAAAAAAGTATTGAAAAACACAAATTTTTAATCTAATTCACAATAACATAATACCACCAACAAGCAATGCTAATCTTGAACTAACATATTTCTGAAAATATTCAGTATTGGGTGTAATTGTCAGGTCGGGATTTCCCAGAAATACCCCTGCGTGTCCTCATTCTCTTTTTTCCCACTCTTTTTTGTGTCCACCACGCAGGACGGTGAGTTTTGAGTTGTTGCATTTCCGAGCTGTGCTCCATATGCCCGCTTTTTATTGGCGACCCATTCTGAATTTAAGGATGCAGAAAAATGCGCCGAAGAAGGCTACAATTGCATTTTGTGTCGCCCAAGAGACGTGCCGCCGCCTCACATGGTGCCGCAACCGATCGCCCCGAAACCCCCGACTCCCACCAAGAGTCCTGAGCTAAAATCCCTCACCAACTATTTCATAGACGGTGTATGTTTGAGTGAATCGGGCCACAACCTCATCAAGTCCTTGTCTTTGGAGTATCACGGTTCCAGGAAGAAGCGCAAAAAGGTCCCGACTATGCAAGACAAAGAAGCCGGAATTATGGCGACCATAGAGTCTGTGGTTGCGGGGGGAAGTGCAGGTCGGTGTTACTTTAGGTGGTTAGTATCGATATATGATGTTGAAACTTGAGGTTTTGCAGCCGACAACAGTTTAGAAGACACCAAGCTGGAACTGGTGGATGTTAAGGAGGAACCGCAGGAACTTTACAAAGAGGGAATGATATGGACCAAAGAAGATGGTCCGCCGCCCGAGGGATTCACGGTATTTACCATGGAGAGCGGCATATCTGTTTTGAGAAGGAAACGGCAGAGGAATCTTCAAAAGTTGGGCATTGGCGGCTTCTTGGTGCGCATGAGAGGGTTCCGTACCGGGCAAGACAACGACGATATTGACACATTGCCCGGTCAAACTACACCCACTAGTAGGCCTAGTTTTCGGTAGTATTCGGGAACAATATAATTTTGCCTTCCTTATAGCACCCGATCTGCCACCGTCGTTACCGCCTGAAGGTGATAAACCCAAAAGGAAACCGATAAGACGCAAACCAAAAAGTAAGCTGGCGGAAACCTTCCCTGCCTATCTCCAGGAGGCATTTTTCGGTAAAGACTTGATGGACGTCACCGACTTGAAAAAGGAAGTAGACAGTGGCAGCAGCGACGACGATAACAAGGACGGGAAGTATCACGCCATCAAATTATCAGCGGTATGTTAAAATTTTTCGCTAGTTTTTAATCATTTGTAAATTTAAAATATTTTTTTTAGGAGGAACTTATGGCTGTGGCATCCGCCAAACAAGAATCCTCTGATTTTGTTCCAAAAGAAACCAAAGATGCCGTCGACGGAGACAAGTCGAAATCTTCATTAAATTTGATACCTAAAGATGAAGACGAAGAAAACACCGAAGACCTGAAAGATGTTCTCGCTTTGCCGGGCGATTTGTTGGATACGGACTTGGTGAACAGTATTATTAACGAAGATGATGACGATCTTGCCAAGAATACCGAATTGGAAGCGCTAGGGGGTAAGTTGAAATTTGTTGATAAATTCTAATGATTTATGTGTTTTTGATCATTCATTAAAAAAATTTGGCTTATTCAGGGAAATGTTATATTCAATGGATCATGATCAAAAAAGGGCAAAAATTGCAATTTTTAAAAATTCATTTGAAGGAAAGAGCAAAAAAAACAAAATTTTTCAGATGACACCGAACTCGGTGATACTTTGGGCAGCTCCGGGAATTCGAAAGACGCCAAAGACGAATTGAGCGATATCCTGGGTTCCCATTTCAACTTGGAATCTATACCAAACATAAACAGCAAAGACGTCGAAGACATATTTAAGGTGGGGCCGGTTCGGTTCTTTCTCGGTTATTTTCATTGACTGATTTTACTGCAGGGCGTGCTGACCGATGAGTCTCAGGAATCTCAGCTTTCCCAAGAGGCCAACATTTTCCCGCCGGCCCAGCAACCAAGTGCCGGAACTATGTTCAATAACGTGCCACAGCCCTCGCCTTTGTCTATTCCTCAGATGTCTCTACCATCGGCCCCAATCAGACCTACGGCTTTACCGTCGGTGAACCACAGCAATTTGAATTCGCCCGTCAGTTTTCCACCACCCTCCCCATACCATTCCGAGTACAGCAAGTAGGTTTTTTTTTTACTTCTATAGCGATTAGTTTTGACCCATTTACATATGTAGTAGTCCGCAATTTAGCCCTGCCTTCTCGGAGCCTCCGAGTCCGTGGATTAATATAAATGAGGGACCCGAGATCGACAGTACCAGCGTGGGGGTGCCGTCTACGTACAACCAGAGGTCGTCAGAGAAGATGAAGGCTGATGAAGGTTTGGGTAGCGGAGCTACTATTTCGGCCGTACTCTACGCCAATATGAACCATCCGGAGTGGAAAACGGAGTACCCAATTTGGTCGGATAGGTATGATGGGTGGAGTTTCACCGCCCGAAATTTGTATAATGAAATGCAAAAAATTATCCAGAACTATCAGATTTTTCAAAAAAACAAACCTTAAAAGTGTTTTTAAATATTATATCTATAAGTCTTCTGTTCCCCACAAATTTTCAATATCCAACAATACTCCTAAAATTTTTAAAAAATACCCGTAGTACTTTCCCCTGGTGTTTTAAAAATGAAGGGAAGAGTGGAGTTTCACTGCCTGATTTTTGTAGAATAAAATACCAGAAATTATGCGAAACTATCATATTTTTGAAAAACAAGCCTTCAAAGTGTTTTTAAATATCGTTTCTGTAAAGATTTTTCTGGTCCCCAAAAATTTTCAAAATAACCAATCAATATCCAACAATATTCCTAAAATTAAAAAGAAATACCCGTGGTGTTTTGAAAAGGAAGACAGGGGGTAATACAATGGGTGGAGTTTCACTGCATTAATTTCGTAGAATAAAATACCAAAAATTATGAGAAACTATATTTTTGAAAAAACAAGCCTTAAAAGTGTTTTTAATAATCGTTTCTCTAATTATTTTTCTGGTCCCCAAAAATTTTCTAAATACCCAAACCCAATATATTCAACAATATTCCTAAAATTAAAAAAATATATAACTTAAATATTACAATAAATAACGTTTGATTTAGAAACAAGCAGATAATCAAAAAATGGCGGACGCTGAGCCAGGACCAAAAGGCGCCCTACTTGCAACAGGCAAGGGACAATAGGAGTCAGTTGCGCATGAAAAAAGCGCAGCAGGTGAGTTACCTTTGCGAAATGGAGCGGTTGACTAATTTTCAAATACCAAATAGGACAAAAGTATTTTGAAGACAAAAAATGAAGCAAAAAAACAAAATAATTTAAGATTTCTCGATGAAAAGTTGAAAGTTCATTACTTCGATGTCATAGCATGAACTGTTAAACAATACTGTTGTCTGAGTTAACTCTCTTCTCAGCTGAGGGTATTGTTGCGATAAATTCTTTTGACAAAAATTTGAAATGATGTGAAGTTTCCTGCATATAATTTAATTATGATTGCTATGAATTTTTTTTGTTCAGAAATAAATTCAAATAACTAAGAAATGAAAATTAGGAAACATAAATATGAAAAAATGATCTAGCAAAATGTTATATTACTTTGATACTAGGAGATGCAGTTGCAGTAATTGCAGTATTCATCTCCCATATCAAGAGGTCTCAAAGAGATAGACATTTTAGTTCCACAAAGAGTTTAATTGTAGCTTTGGTTTGGGTCCACTTTAATTTTGTTAAATTTATAATATTTAATTATGTAAGTATTTAAAGATAAATTTATATTTAATTCATTTGTTACTATTATTAATATTATCATCTATTTAATTTTCAATATCACTATTATCAATATAATCATCTATTCTTTTTCTTAGGTATTTGGACCTATTTATGTTATTTGTTGGCTCATTATGCAAGAGCAAATCGGTTATTTTTTATATTTAATGAAAATTGGTGTAGGTTCTACGATTTTTCAGTTTTCGTTGTTATTTTTGAATATACATATACACATTGCCCCACCCGACGGTAGTTCCAGCAATTTGCATATTGGGTATTATTCAACATCGATGGCGACACTATACCGTTTGTACCAGAACACCCTGGCAATTGTTTACGGTGATTTTTTTCTAGTGATTGTTTTCTTATAAATATTAGATCGAAGAAGTGTTTTTCTATGCTACACCCTTTATATTAAATAAGTTGATTTTATTTATCGAAAGTGTGTTTGGTTATTTTTAGGAGGAAACTGTTATTATTAAACACGTTTTTAATTTATTTTTTATAGGTAAAACTTTTCGAGAATTGTTACTTTAAAATTTGCAGACACCCTGCTACAACTTTTTTTCGAATATTTTTATATAAGCTGCTCTTTTGGTATCCTCAAAAAAATGACTAGTCGGTATTTAAATCAAATTTAAAAAGTTAATCGTAAGGTTTATTTTTTATAACTATCTCCACTATACAGTGTGTTATTTTAAGCTATGCCTATATTTTATAAATTTCTAATTGTGTGAATGAGCGATGAAACCTGACAATTATTATAAATTGATTTTAATGATGCTGAGTATGAGACGTTGCTTTTTACTTCAACAAATCAACTGACTGCTTAAATTCTATGGTCCATATTATGAAATTAAAAATTCATGGACATACTTATGGTTTTTAAAAATTATATTGTTTGGTTGCCACAACAATGAATTTGATATGTTTTTAATGTTTCTCCAATAAATATAAATACTTTTGTCATATTAATATAATAATGAATATTTCAAGATATTTACATATTATTGATTCACACCTTGTGTGTATTGAGTGAATAACACCTTGTATAATTATTTCTAAAGCAAAATTAAATGTTGAATGATTTTTAAATTGGTACATATACTACAATTAGGCGAATTAGTAAAAAGTGTTACGCGTGCGTTTGTCACTTGCCTAAATTCTTCAAATCTATAAAGGCCGAACGTAAACAAGGCAAGAAGGGTCACTCTAAACTCCGTCTCCAACGTTCCTTTCTCTCTCTCTACCCTTATTAAGTGCTTTGTGGTATTCCAATACAGACAATCAAAAATTGTCCCTGGAGAGTGACTCTTGTTGTCCTTAGTATGTTCTGTGTTGTAGCCTAGACCAAATTATGTCCTATGACGAAGGTTATTTTTAATGAGCCCATATATTTTGTTTTTAATAACAGAGCATGCTCATTCGAGTTTTAACTCGGCCTGGGGGTTGTCACTAACAAACCGAACGTCACAGTTATTGGCTAGGTCGCGCATATCCTCGATTACTTTAAGCATGTAGCAAGCTTGCAACCCGCTCGAACCATACTTAGAATCTCAGCTGACGTACGTTTGCGAACCCGAACCCGAATCGAGTTGCAAACAGTGTCGGCTTGTGTTTATGTGCTATCACACGTGCCCCCATTTAGTCACAGACCAACAAGGACCCAACCGCACCGAGCCCGGCCGCTCCCGTAAAGCAACCCCCGACGGCGTCAGCCGCCACCAGCTTGCCACCCTCATCCTCGGGACCACCGCAGCCCGTCGTGTTAGCGCCGTCCGCGTCGGCATCGTCAGAGGTGTGCAACCAACAGAGGCCGCCTGCGCTGCCATTAACCAACGCTTCCACTAGCTCTGTGTCTGTTTCCCCATCGCCGACCCCACCTCCGACCAAATCCCCTCCCACGCACCAACAGTTCACGGTGCACGGTCACTTTGCCGGACCCGGCGACCATGTAGGCCCCGCCCCCAACGTGACTGTTAATCCTCATTATCAACCAGGCGAACCCCATCACATTCCTCCACGGTCCCTACTAGTAGCCCATCACCAAAGTAGTACATTAGCTTCGGATCAGCAGATCCGGGTGCTGACCCCTTCAGAGATTATGCGTACTCTACCCTCTCTATGTCAGGAAAACTATGAACCACCTCAGCAGCTGGTGAGAATCTGTATTTGGTGTGGATTGACCAGTTTTTTTTCATTTTTCTTTTTATTTGTTCGGCTTTTCGATCAAAATTGTTTTAAAAGAGCTACTAAATACTATAATGGAACAATTCCATCGCAGATGAGATACATCTTTTTTTTTCTGCTTAATATTCGATAAAAATTTCCGAAAATGACTAAATTGTTTCATGGGTTCAATTAGTTGTCACTAGAAACATAGTTATTGTTTCATTTTTTATATGGAATAAAACACTCATTTGCTTGATTTTGCGTTCATCAGCGTTTCATCTATAAACTGAAAAATCCGTTTCAAATTCAGCAGTTGCCTCTCAAATGATCATATGATCAAGTTCCTGGCTGTTTTCAGATCAATGGATTGGATTAACATAAGACAAATTTCCTATCTTCTAAAAATATTTTTTCTGGCATGTATCCAGTTCTAGTTGCATTTTCTACATATTTTAAAAATATGCAACGAAAATTTTCTTTGCTTTCATAATCAAAATGTCAAGAACTAACCAAAAATACATGAAGACTCTGTCCACCACATTAGAATTATAATAACATTAGATTTTCAATTCTGAATTGAAATTTTTTAATTTATAAATTGCATTTTTGCGTTAAAGGAGCTCATGGAAATAGAAATTGCCAGAATTGTTCAACGGTGGAATTTAGTAGTGATCAGCCAATTTTTCGATTATTTTCTGTGCTTTTTTTTTTAATTTAAAATACATGCCGATGTTTTAAGCGCCGTTTTGTTGAATTAGAACAAACACTCGTTATCCTTAATTTAATATCCCATCCACTATCCAGACTACGGAGCTACTTCTGTATCCGTTAGTACTAACGCTGGGATGAACTCGTACCTGTCTAAATGCTTTACAAGAAAGTGGTGTTTTTGGTGGAGGTTTCGCGAAAGTAGACATGTCGGCGAACCGATTTCCGCTCATAGTTTTTTTTTTGTTTAACTGTAGCCTGTGATATTACTAAGCATGACCGATTCGTTCATTTTAAAGGTGTTTAGACATCGATCCGCGCAGAAACGACAATTGCTTATGTTCCAGACATCATTTGTCATTTCTGCGGCGCTTTCTCCTATGTTGTTTGTAGCTGTCGAAGTTCTTGGTAAGCCTTCCGGCGGGTTTTTGCTTGATATCGTATTTTAGGACCAAGAGAAGATTTCCTTGCAGCAGAAATCGGCGCGGGAAGCTGAACAGGAGAGGCAGTGGAAACAGTTACAGGCTCTGAGACAGCAGCAAGCACAGCAACAGCAGCACGTCATTCATGAACAGAGAGTTCAAGGTAATACAATATAGTAACAGAGTTACTTCTGAACCGGTATATATTATTAATTATTATCCACTTATTGTAGCTATCGCAAGGGTTCAAAGAACCGTCTCCGATCCGAATCAGCCATTCGTGCAGGGTAATCAAACTCTGCCGTTGCAGGTGGCAACCACGCCGCAGGATAACAGCCCCGCGGCGTCTCCATCGCCCATTTCCCGCCAATTCATCGGTATTAAATCACCTCCGTTTTCACACCTCTCCCCGCAACAGACAGCGACCCCACGTACCCCAACTTCCTCTCAATCCCCTGTGCACGATTTTCAGCAGCAACATCAGCCGCAAGTCCAAGCGCCACAAACGGATTCCCCGACAGATCCTTATCCACAAGCTCCCGCCACTCCCAAACCCATTCAGTTTGCTCCTAGATTAGCCGGTGCAGGTATCGTTGATGCATTTGGGCAGCCGCCGACACCGAGACCACAGTTCGTGGCCCCACAACAGAGACCGTCATTGCAGGTACTTAGGCTTTTGAAAAAAACGGCATCAATCAATCTAATACAACGTGCGTGATCTCTAGGTTCGGCCCGATCAACCAGAAATCACCCGCCAATTACGAGAGCTCCTTCAACGACAGCAATTCAAGAATTTGGATTTAGTCCCCGGTAAAACTGGGCAAAGAGTGTGGCCTCCTTCCGAAACGCAAGAGTCGGAAATCGGAACCCCTAGCGCTTCTTCCGGATCAGACAACACCTTTAGGCAACCATTGCCACCAACAATCAATCGACCTAGAATACCTTTGCCTGTCGGTGCTCGAGGAGCGATGAACATACGACTTCAACCCCTAGAAGGAAGGCTCCAGGGCTTGGATCCTCGAATGAGACTTATTCTGCAGCAGCAACAAAGACTTTCGCTGCCTAATCAACAGCATCAGCTGCAACAGGATTTGGCGGGCGGGGCGGTTCGGTTTCCCCATATCGGATCGGTTAGACCTTCTACTGTGGAGCAGTATGAGCAGCTGCTCCATCAGAGGCAAATTCAGCTTCAAAACAGGTCTGCCGGGTCGCTCGACCAATCAGGTGGCTCGGTGGCAAGGTTGCTTCAGGGTGGACCTGGGGTCGCGCCCAGATCTGCAATAGCGACTTCTGGAGCGCATACTACAACTACAACTTCGGCAAACGCTGGCGCTGTATCTCAAACTGCTTCCAATGAACAAGAAATTCCCGACAACGTAACAGCAGAATTGGAAAAATTGGAACAGGAAACGGGTGAGTATTGTATTAGTATGCATCCTTAACATAAGAACGGTTTAATTATTCGATTTTTATATAACACGTACTGTTTTATAAAAGTTCATAAAATTTAAAGTTAAGCGTTTATTTTAAAAAAAAAATACAATTTTGAAATTAATATTTTTTTTGTCGTGTTTGTTAGGTACAATGGCAGAACTGCAAGGTGTCAGCGACATTTTGGGTGGTTTAGGGGACGATGACGATGAGTTATTAGCTGAAATGGGTGCCGATTTTAATATACTCGAATACGCTGATCCAGAGCTTGAAGCACTGGCCGGCGAAAAGACAAACATTCTAGACTTGGAACTTGAAGATGACAATCTGAAACAGAAGAAGAGGCAAGCGGAACTACAAAAAAAGAATGCATCTTCATCTTCAGGAACCGCCGTCTCTACCGCTACAGCGTCAACTGACGAGATCAAAAAAGACGCCACTACTGTTCAAGCTCAAGAATCCAAGGCTATTACTAGTGCTACGTCGGAGGTAGCAGCTTCCTCGCAGCAACAAATGGAAAATGTTCAACAGCATTTGCCTGTTGCGAATTCTGTCCACACCCCCCAGTCCTCTCAAAATACCCTTCAGCAGTCTCAAATGTCACAACCTCCTCAGCAAGGCCTACCTCAACCACCACTGCAGCCTTTGCATCACCCGCATCTCACTACTCAGCAGATTCATCAGCAAATGGTCCATCAGGTGTGATGAATGGTTCTTGGTTCAATCTAATATTTTCATTTTATTAATTTTATTGCAGGTCCAACAAGCTGCTGCCCAGGGCAGACCCATGCCTCCGGGATCAAAACTTCAAACTCCCGATGGCATTGTCGGCGTCGTTTTGCCTAATAATAATGTCCAGTTACAGATCCCTTCAAATTATCCACAAAGGTTGTTGCTACACCGTAAGTTTCATGCACCATATCCACGCTGGTGCGTTGAGAAGCTAGTTTTTTGTCTCTTAGTTCAAAATCAAAAACTGCAAATGCGTCAACCCGTACCTCGCATGGTGGCCCAGGTGGGGATGAATCAGACGAACGCTGGACTGCCCGGCCCTGTCATGGGGTTGGGCACTCGTCCCAGGTTAAATTTGGCCGCCCCTCCGCCGCCGCCGCCCCCTTATCCGGGACCTCCGCCTCCCTATCCGGGGGTGGTCAATCCTCAGCAGCAGCAACAGGTACTTTGGAGTGTTAATTTTTTTTGGTTTAGTCGGTGGCATGTTTGTCTTATGCTTGTAGGGTGAAACGCTGGGCGTATCTTTGATTTTTTTGCCTGTTGGGGGGTAGTTGGAGGGTGGTTCATTTCGGTTAACAATTTGATTAAATTAATTGGTGATGATTTGTCTATTTAGTCGCGTATTATAAACAGGTTAATTACGGTTGATGACAGAGTAACGTTTAACTGAAAACAAGACATACAATCATTCCGAAAATTGGATTGTTTGTGGGGAGTCATATGAAACTTTTCAGGGACACGACATTGCTGTTTTTTCTATAAAGTAACATCACCTCTGATTGAAGGCGGCCCCAATGGTATTGCCATTGCATTTTTGTAACTATAATATTTGCCTACGTCGATCTTTAGCGCTTTTTAAGAAGTTCAATTCATAAATTATGATAATATGTTTACCATTTATTTTTTTTAATGTAATAAAAAAAAGTGGTCCCACCCGATGACCCAAAAAAAAGGAGTAACTGTTTCTTTAGTCGCAGATTTTTGTGAAGAAGTTTTACCTTGCTAGATTATGGTGTGGTCAACGAGTCCGGTTTAACTTCCGCGGTTGCGGGGGTATCCACGCATTGTTTTGTTTGATTTTTTTCCTATTAACTATAATTTGACATTTATTTCAAAGAAAAAAAATCATAATATATGATAAAATAATTCAAAACATTCTTATCAGTAAGGGCGACTGATCAATTTTTTGTGTGTCATTTGACCGAAATAATTTTAAAAGTGCAATGAAATTTATAATTATTTATTTAAATTTATTTATATTGTGCGTTACGTCGCTATCGCGTCGTTCTGAGAACTAAATGGAGTGAATATTTTTATTGGGCTTCTCCCAATTGCTAAATATCATATTCGGGTATCTCTTGAAAAGGGTTATAAGTAAATTGGACATCACAAACTCATAATAATTTATTATTAAAACATGTTATTATTAAATAATGATAGATAATATTCTACAATTGAACCAAATAAGTTTAAAAATGCAATGAAATTTATAATTATTTATTTATGCTGGGCGTTACGTCGCCATCGCGTCGTTCTGAGAACTAATTGGAGTGGATATTTTTATTGAGAATTGAATTGAATGGGATTCGGATATTATAATTATATATATAATAATTTGTTATAAAATACATATTATTGCAATTGTTGTTGATCGAATTTGACTAGTCAATTAAGAAGTGGTCAATTGGTCAGTCCCAACACTAACGGTGACTATATATATGCACGTTTTTATTGTGTAGTTTATTTATGCTGTTGTAAAAAAATTTTGCTTTTCGCGCAGTACTTGTCTAGTGTTGTTTTTAAAATCTTTTATTGGTTTTATTGCTTTATTGGCGAAATAAGATCAGTATTTAAATTACAAGAGAAAAATTTTGCCACGATGGACTCCGTTTAAACATTATCACGAGTGATTTTTTGCTCTTTGAGCTGAAAGTAAAGGATCGGTGGAAAAAATATCAAACGAGAAAAAATATTGAACAACGCAAAAGTGCGTGTATGAACGTTGTGGACAATATTACTGGCTGACTGTATTTAGTAGTAACTAACATCGGTTGAGGCTGTGGCGGTACGTTATAACTGTTTTGCATGTGTGTGGTAGATGGGATTGAGAATGGGGCCTGGTTATCATCTTCCTATGGGACACGCGCATCCCATGGCACTGCAGCGCTATCATATGCATCCACACTTGGAGAGGAGGCCGCTCCTTCTCGAGGTGAGATCAAACAGTAGTTGCTTTTCATTTTTTTTTGTTAGCTAAACGTAGGATGATGTCGTGCCCCCACCTCGGAGAATTATCAGTCGTAATTCCAACGTGTCTCTACTTATACCCGTGTCTAAGTATTTTAAAGATGGAAATAGTGCGTTAGTATATCCCTCATTCTCAATACTCAGTTTTATTTTATTTTTTGGTTTTGTCGCGCCAGTATTTTAGTATCCGTCGGCAGTTTATGCGTATCTATAGAGGAATTTGCATGTTTTGTTGCTTTTAACTTTGGCGCAAAGCTAAAGGCCGTCATTTTAGGAACAGCCTCTACTGTTGGAAGATTTGCTAGAACAGGAAAAACGTGAACAAGAAAAACAGCAGCATCAGAATCAAACCGCGGGTCAGGAAATCGCGGCACCGAAAAGTATGAATACCTCGGAGCCTCCGTTACTGAGCGACCACGATTTCGAGCGGCTCAAAGCCGACGTCTTCAGCGGCGGTCCCGCGGGAATCTCGGTTCCAAATCAGGGAAATACCGGCGGGATCATCCAACAGGGCTGGCAACAAACCAGAGCTATTCCGACACCCACGCCCCAACCTACCACGGAACTAACAGCTCGTATACAAATGTTTAATGCAAATCTGAGACCGGCACCGCCGCTGCCTCACGAAAATATCGTCACCGAGCAGGACAAACAGGCGCAAATCGCTTATGAACAGTGGCTGAATCACCAAAACAATGTTCTCAATCAGCAATTGAGATATTTTGAAACCGAGGTGCAGAAATTGAGAAAAAGTCGGAAGGTGAATTGGTCGCTTGTTATAATTGAAGCGCCCCCATCACTTAATCTCGTTTCAGTCATTAAACAGCAAGCAGCGGCAACTGCGCAAGTCGGGCAATCAATTGAACGAAGTGGACGCGACCGAGTTGCAGCGTATCTCCGCGGAACAAGCTATTTTGCAAAAGCAACTCGAATCCAGCAGAAAACAGAGCCGTCAGCACGGCATGCTGATACAGGTACCTGTAATTATAGGCACTGCTGTTTGTTTAGGTCTCACGTAGTACTTTCCCTTGGAATGGCTTTCACCAATTCGTTTTCGCGTCACACATACAACTAGCAATGTCTATAACTGAAATCGACGTTTTCATATAATTTTGTATTACCCTTACTGGTCTATATGAAGGAATACCGGAACAAACAGCAAGCGACCAAGACTGGATCATCGTCCGCCATCGGGACGCCCCAGTCTATGTTGCATTCGCCGCACGGGCTCCCTTCCTCTTCTCCGATTCACCATCCGAGCACCTCGCAGTCGCCAATGATGTCTCCTCAGCCGTCACCCTTGATGCAGCATAACTCACCGATGCACAGTCCTGGACACGTGGTATCTCACTCACCCGGTCCCGGATCGGTTGCCAATTTGCTTCAGAGCCCCGGAAGTATGACCGGAAGCAGCATGTCGCCCATGCAGCCTTCGCCAAGGATCGGGACTCCCTTATCACAAGGTAGCTCAAATGTATCTTACAGTCTTCCGCCTCAATCGCGTATAATAACAAAGACTACTTTCGGCTTCTTTCTGCCCTGGTCCTGCCGACTGCTGTTGCATTCGCAAAAATCAATGGATTATTTTTGTGTGCACCCAGTAAGTACCCTTACAATAAGCACCCAACCTAACTTGAAAGTCATGTTAAACCATGCTAAATATAACAATTTGGACCAGTATGCCACACCATGCTCGAAGATTGCTCAGCCAAGAGACTCCTGGAATTTTTTTCCTGAAGGATACAGTGCAGTAATTCATATCTTTCTTTGTTCTTCACGATGTGACCCAGGTATTTTTTGCGGCATTTGACGATACTGACTATTTCCATGGAGGTTAATTTTCATTCTCCATAGCACTTCTTCATTAGTAACCTTTTGGGTCCATGGTATCTTCACGATTCTCCTGTACAGCCACCATTCAAAGGCTCTGAATTTGGACATGGTGTCTTGTACCGAGTACATGTAACACTTTAGGCGTCTTCTTTATTTCCAGTGAGAGGTTGTTGTTTTTGAATACTTGACCCATAGCTAAGAAAGCACTTTTAGCCTTTCCATCTCTCGAGAATTTTCCCACGATTCATTAGTTATAGTTCCCAGGTAATTATATTGTGAGACTCTTTGGATTTTTGTTTGGTTTATGTATAGATTTGATATTATAATTTTTGTTAGTTTTAGGTGTTAATATCAAGTCCATATTTAGCTTTTACAAGTCTTCTATTGTATCCGCGAATTTCAGGTTCGTTACCTTCATCTATATCTTTTAGTGTTTCTCTAAAGATACATTCAGAATATAGATTGAAAATCAGGGGAGAGAAATGATACATCTCTGTCAAACACCTCGCAAAATCTCGACCTGGTTAGTATGCTGACCATCTACATGGTCAAATGCCGCCTTTTTACAGTCTATTAGACAGGAAAAACATCACAGCTCGCCTCCCTACATTTTTGAAATAAAACTTGCACTCTGACTAAGGAAGGCCTCTCTTGTGCCTACCGCGTTCGCAAATCCAAACTGATGTGATAGATCCTATTACGAATGATCTTTACAAATAGTTTGAACAACACTCAGTTTTAATTCTTTTGTCCATACAGGCACACCCTATAGATTTTTGAATCATATACAAAGAAGTCTGTGACTCGAAAGTGTCGCCTGTGTTCTGGTTCAAGAATTTTCCCATGAACCCCTACAAATGTGGTTTTTGATTTTTTAAATACTTCTCGACCTCCCACCCTACAATTTCCACAGTTTCCGTTAAATGAACAAGCTTCATAGCTCCACGAAATATAAAATCGATAACTTTAACTTTCGAAAGAAGCTAAGTTTCGCAATTTTAGCTCTAACGCGGTTCGAAAGTTATCGCCCTAAAATACAGAGGACAGAGAACAGACAAACAGAAACAAAATTTCGACGTTGATTATTTTTGAAAATAACAAGAATGAAAATTTAGGTGAAGGCAGCCCAGGACCCGTTCCATCACCCTCTCAGGTGTGCTTACCCCCGCCCGTTCCGCGGATGACTTCGCCACAACATAGAAGGGTGGTTACTAGTCCCGTCGGTTATACCGGAGATTTGCGACCCGGCACGCCTCAAATGCGCTTCGTCCGCACCCCTTTGGACCATACGAATTTGCAACAAAGGATTAGAATCCAGTCTCCGATTCAAAATTTTCCGACTAAAGGGGGTACCCCTTCGCCATTAAATAGCCCTCCGCCCCAAGCCGGCATGACGCAGCAGCAGTTGCTCCAGAAGCAGTTGCAACAGCAGGTGTTGATGCATCAGCAGCATCAGATCCAGCAACAGGCTGGCGGCGACGCCACCAATCAAGATCAGAATATTTTGCATTCTCAACGGGTGGCGCAACTAATTCAACACCGAAATTTGACCAGGCAGCAGCAGGATCAGCAGCAGATGCAAGCTAGCGCGCAGCCTCAGCCGTTAACGCCTCAACAGCATCAGTTTATGGTTCAGCAGCAGCAGCAGTTGGCGAAGCAGCAGCAGCAACAGATAGCGATGCAACTACAAGGCAGGATGAACCACCAGCAGCAACAGCAGCAACTGAATAATCCTCCTCAGTCGCCGATGCCTCCCAAGAGTCCACTGATAGGGCAGCAGATTATGTCCCCTCCGTCAATGCCGGCGTCTCCGATGCCACCTTTTAGCTCTGGCCAGCAACAGAACATGCCGAGCTCACCCGCTTCCAGAAGTCCATTTCATCAAAGCATTAGTCAGCCCCCTAGCAGTCCCATGATGCACGTGCAGTATCAGACTCCTAGTTCCCCAATGATCCAGTCTCCTCATAATATCAGGAGACCTCCCAGCGCTAGCAGCAGCCCTGCTATACCGGAAAGACCGACCAGCGTGGAAAACCCGAGTACACCTCGGAATCATTTTACCATGGACAGTCAGATTCAAGACAATATGCACACCGGTGGGGGTAAGTTTTCTAAATTGATTTCAGAAGCGTTTCAATAAATCATTCAATTTATTCTTGGCATGGTATCGAAAAGTATTTACATGCGTCGATAAGAAGAATATCTAATCAATCACAATTTAAATTTTATTAGAATAGGTACCTATTCAATTATAATAAACTTACCACATTTGTTGTTTTATAACGGTAACGGTTACATTTCGATTACTTATTTTAGAAAACTTGAATGAATGAATCCCTGTATATAGCAACTAAATGGAGGATCTTATAAGGCAACAGTGATCAAATTTTAGTGCCATATTATTTATTTGATTTATTTGAAACTAACAGGTTATGTTTATAAACCATAAACACGTTTTATAACTGCAAACAACTTAAAGTTAAAATTGTGAAATGAAATTTATGTCGATTCGGAAAACATAACAGTGGCGGCCATATAAAAGGACGCCATGTTCTTATAGTATTTTATGGGCTTTCTAGTAATATTAAACACCTTTGAAATTTTTATATAACTTACTCACGTTTGCAAGGGCACTATTGCCCTTGCAAACGTGAAGTGATTTTGGAATACTTAAAGTTTTAGAAGTTACCATTTATAAAACATTCATAACTACTATAAAACTAAAAGTAACTTGAAAACCAACTAAAATGTCAATTATACAATCGTAACCTCACTTTTCCGTTGTTCTTTTAAAATTGTGCAAATAAAAGAAGTTGTAAAAACACTGTTGTTCAAAGTGCAGCGCGTTCAGGTTTTGTACTTTTAGGTTAGTGCAAGTTTTATAAGAACGATATAAAATCTTCTTTAATGAAGTAACCAACATAGCAGGCAATTATATAAAACTTAAAGTGTTTTATTAGTTTTCCTATATACCCCGTCAAGTAACAATAAAATCCTAAGCTGTTTTAAAGACATTTACAGACTTAAAATCACACTTAAAAAATTCAACAATTTTTAAAAACGTTTTATCAACTAACAGTTTTAAATTGTTTAAATTGTTTAACTACCAAGGTTTTAATATTTTCTGGACCATACGCTGGACCATTTTGACACCGTAATTTATTTATAATCAAATTATTTTTCATATTATTTTTGTGTCCGGTAGGTAACCCCAACAATCCGAACAATCCGATTCCGTTGCCACCTCCCGGCTTCGGGAGGTTTGGTTTTTTTAAACTGGGACTTAGAGGAGGATCGCCCATGTGGGCTGGATTCGGCAGAGGGGAGAAAAGAGTTCCGACACCTCCAAATATCAACGTTAGCACATCGGGCGGGAGTACTAATTCGAGTATCGGCCCTGATGTGGACAAACACAGCGAGTTGTCGGCGAAACCAAAGAAGGAACCGCATATTAGCAAAGTGTCAATCTTAAAAAAGAAAATGCCTTTGATTAAGAAGTCTTTGGGTGGCAATAAATTGAGTCCGTTAGTGGGTATGGACTATAATGAGTCCGACGATAGTTCTTCAACACCGCCGGTAACTCCACCATCCGGACCTGGTCGTATGTTAGGTCAAAGATTGATCACAAAGTCGGATTTGGATGATAAACAGATGCACGTTACCGAAATCGTAGATTACGAGGACGATAATAGTACCGTACTATCGTCCGAAATTTCGCTGAGCTCTGCAGCTCAACAAAATGACGACGAGATGGAAATCACGGAGACGTTGTCTCAAAATGATATGGGCGAAATTTTATCCAGTCCTTTGGTAGAACCAGATCAGATTTCCGAGGAGTATTTGCTGTTCCAGGAGAACATGGATATATCCTCTGGGGTTCAGTACTCTGACAAAGAAGAAAATGAAGAAGATTATTCTGGAGAAAATATGCATATAGTAATTCGCAGTCCGACTACCAGCGACGACGAATTCATAATGCAAGGCAAAACCAAAAAATATATACTGAATATGGCTGATACTCCCGAATCCCCAGAGCAGGAAGCAAGTACTGAACCTTCCTCGGAGCTACCGGAAGAAAATTTCGAGGAGTCGGAGTATGTTGTTATAGAGCAGCCAGTGAAATCTCCCGAGGAGCAGATTTCCACTAAAGAAGACTTTGAGGAATTGATAGATGAAGGTTCTAGAAAGGAGAAGTTGTTGAAGCACGAGGTAACCGCGAAACATATTTCGGAATTTCACAAGTATGCCGCCAGCAGCGTCTACAGTTTTCGAGCAAAACCGACTGCGACGACACCCGTTAAACATACGAATATTATCAATCAGAAAATGCCACAAAAAATTTCGCTCATAACAGCACCCATTATAAACAATTATACTCGCCCCGAGAAATCCGGTACAGAGCAGCAGTCACAACTAATTTTAGCACCTTCTTCGAAATTAAGCACGAACAGCAGTTCGCCCAAAGTGACAAGTATTTTCTTGACCCACAACTCAGTGAGAAGTAATATTTTGAATGTAGGTCCCAAGATAGTGACCCAATCTCCAGCAATAACCATCGTCAGTGCCAGTACGTCTCAAATCGCATCCATACTTCCCAATACTAAGTTTACTGTACCGGTAATTAGCGCTAGCGCCGTGAGGCAGCTGCCCAATGTTAAAGTGATAGATAAACCCTCTACGTCACTTTCACTAACAACGCACGACACGACGTTACCTAAGAAAATATTTGAAGATGATTCGGTTTCTCCAGACAGCTCGAACTTTGAAGAAGAAAAAAAAGATTCTTCTGATGAAAAATCAAAAACGGACTCTCCGCCTCTCGAGACAAAAGCTCCCATCTTTATTGCCAACAAGAAATCAGACATCAAACCCTCTGTTGAGCAGGGCAAATACGAAATTATAATGAGCGACAATAAAAAAGATATATCCTATAGGCTGGACGAATCTCATCACCATCAAATAACCCACATCATAGCCAAGGAAACGCTCCAGCGGACTAGCCCCGTATTGAGGACAACTTCGCCAGTGATTATTCACCATGCTACTCCAGAGTTGAAGATGACTGCACAAGTAATCCAGGAAACTCAGCCTCATATGCAGATAACGGCCACAGAAACTGTGGGTCCATATGATGGTTCCACAGAAGATAAATCGGTTGTCATATCTATCCCCTCGCCAACGCCCTCCCAAGAACAGATGCTAGACAATATCGCGATGCAAGCCTTGGAAAGCAGAAGAAGGGAGTTTGACTCATTTGAAGATGTTTTGGATATGATTGAAAATATGCAGACTCCTGAAGAATCTGAGCCTATACACGACCAAAACAAAATGGTAAAGCCGAACGCAAAAATAGAGGCAAAAGAAAAACCACCCATGCGCAAAGACTCGGGCGATGCGCAACCCCTGGTAAATGTTAGTGGTGCCTCCAAATCGGTGGTACCTCAATTATCTCCACTATCTCAACCTACAGATCTGACAACTAACATGGCCAATGCTTCTCAACAACTGAGGACTCTTCTGTCCTCTGTCCAGACTACAACAAGCTCTAGTTCGTCTAATATAGAGACGGTAGTCAAAACCATTAACCACAAATTGATTAATAGCTCCTCTTCTATAAATACCCCCCCTATTGTAGCTTCTAGGATAATTCAGCAAGCTAACAGAGATTCTCCACTAGTTACGACAATCAGCACTGTAATAGTACCAAATATCAAGCAAAAGGTATCTCTATCATCTCCAAGTAAGACCAGTACAACTTCAGTTGTTCATTCTGCTCCTGGTTTGAGTTTTCTGTCGAACAGAACTGTTTCAGGAATCAGTATTATTACATCAGATTACTCGAAGTTACCGTCAGTTACCCAACAAAACGCGTCGGTTATAACGGCCCAAACAAGTCAAAAAGCAAATATTATTTCCACTACGAATACAGAGCAAAATGTTAAACCCTCACTGACATTGACGGCTATGCTTCAAAATCAACCCGCCGCTACTGCTAGCACTAATTCTTCAGCCGACACCATTACAGCAGCTAGTTTGCTGGCTACTCCAGTAAGCTTATCTAGGAGTGGCTTTTCTACAGCCCTGGTCCAGGCTCAACCCAATGTTGTCATTGCCTCCTCAGTGGCCAGCACTAACAATTCTTCTCCTGTGTCTACCACCACAAACTCAGTTATCACTTCTTCAGCTTACAGAAATATAGCGGGTTCAACTAATTTGTTACATACCCAGCTCACTAAAGTCCGTACAAAATCTGTGGATGACATTAAAGACCTTAAGGGTGACGACATTGTGAAAACCGAGTCTGAGATTATAGAGGTACCTAAACAAGAGGCAGTGGGCTGTAAATACTCCACTGTAACGACAGCATTGGCCAGTAGACCTGATGATTCTCAGAATGTTCTTTTAAAGAAACTTCTGCAGAACACTGCATGTGCTAGCACTCAATCATCACCTCCTTCGACGGCAGTTATTACAACGGCAACATCTGCTTTCTTGAGCTCCGAACCACCAAAGCCACTAACCCCTACCCTATCTTCCTTGTTGCCTCCAACCATCAAGTCTGAGCCTCAACCAACTGCGCCTCAACCGCAACCGAAACCTGTAGTTCAAAGGGCGCCAATCCGAGAAACTTCTTTCGTCTCGAGTCCTGTTATACCGCAAATTCAAACCACCATAGCTTCTTCAGTCGCTTCTACTCAACAGCTTCACATCGACGTTAAAAAGTGTGCCCCGCCAAGTCGGACATCCAGCAGGGATGAACTGTTGTCTCCCTTAACTCCAAAATCGTCCTGTAGCCAAGATTCCAGTCTACAAACTCCTCCTTTGATCATTAAGAAAGAGTTTCCATCTATGCCGCAAACCATCAGCAATCAGGATCTCAAAAAAGAGTTGTTTGACGAAACTTCTCAGCATTCAGAAGTGTCCGATCAGGGAAAATGCGACATTCAGATAAAAGAAGAGCTTTTGGAGTCGCTGGACAGTGCTGCAGAAAAAGTATTGGACAAGGAGGGTTTGAAGAAACAGAAGAGAAGGATGTATCAGCAGAAGCGTAGGCAGAACCAAATATTAAATAAAGAGGTTTGCAAACCCAATAAGCGACCCCGAAAAAACTCGAAACTTGAGGAAGATTATGATACTTACATAGACGGGGTACTGGCACAAATTAGGCACTTGCCTCCCATGATGGTGTCCGAATCGGTTCTGGTTCGTAATTATGGAGTCTGTCCCGTGTTTGGTTCTGGCGATTTGTCCAAGCTCGGTACTAAAAGCTTCGATTCTCGTACTGGAGATTTGGTGGGTACTTACGGCAATGCGATGGTGCCTGGATATTCAGACTTTTACAGCACGACACCTTATGGTGATGAAGAACCTTTACCTGAGAAGCCTCCGCCGTCAACTCAACGAGGTTTCTACGATCAAGAGTTTCCTCTGATCCGTTTCGATAATGACGATGAAAAGAAGTTTGATTTGTTCTCCCGTGAAGATACTCCAGACTCTGTAGTTAGTAGTTCTTCGCCAGAGTGTGTTGCAAGATCCGGATCGCCCAATAAATACTATGGACTTAAATTAATAAGCGACGAAGAGGATGAAAACGAATACCAATGCGAAGGTCGCGTTTCTCCTGAAATTCCTTTGCTGAAACCTATACCCATACGTCTTAAACCAGCCGGTCTTTACCTCAAAGAAAATTCCGATGTTGACAATAAGGAAAATATCAGCAAAGACTTGCAGCATGACAAAATGAAACCAGATTCAGAACCATCGCCTTTAAAAGATTCTGGTAATGTGACTGTCACATTAACACTAACATCATCTGCTGCCGAAGATATAATCGGTGTATTGAGAGATCTGGCCAACATTCTTCATATACCTGCACCAAAGACCTACCAAATTGTTGGGCGTACTTCTTCACCTCCTGGGCAGAAGTTGGGAATGTACCGGACCAAGGGCAAAGATGGCAAAGAGGGTGCTCCTATAGATATACAAACTATTCTCAATGGCGCTGCCAAGTTTTGCAAACACTGCGATGTTGTAATTTTAAATAATATGATTAGGAAAAGGTTATCTGATCTGCCATTCTTAAACAAAGATTCAGAGTTGTTGAGTGAAGGTGAAGAACTATACTTCTGCAGTTCGACTTGTTACATGCAGTTTGCTCTAATGCATAGATCTCCATCAATTTCGGAGGATAAGGTAATAACAACTCACAAGGGTTGGAAAATCAAATTAATTTTTTTGTTTCCTTAGGCTGCCGCGATAGTTGATCATTTGTCCCAAAAAGACAAATTTGGCATGAAACACAGAACTGACTCGACTGAAAGCAAACATATCATAGCCAATCAACTTGTAACTGATCAAAAAGATTTCAAATCTGATGAAATGATGGACACGTCCAATTTTGGTTCATATTTTATGAAAATGAGTCGGTTTGGTGAGCAATTAAAGTCGCAGATGCCTCCAAAAACGCATAAGAATGTCAGCTACAAGTACTGGGCGGTAGGATGCCTTCACCCTAACCAGAAACATAAAAGACTAACTGACAAGGAACTCATGGAGATGTTATATCGTATGGGCATAACGGTAACCCCGCCAAAGATGCCAGACGATACGAGGAAATGCATGTTTTGTCAAGGTAAACTTGAAATATTTTGTAGTAGATAGAATTTAGTTAGATATTTTAATTGTTGTGTTAGGAATCGGCGATGGCGTAGCTGACGGGCCAGCTCGCCTCTTAAACTTTGATGTGGACAAATGGGTTCATTTGAATTGTGCGCTATGGTCGGACGGAGTATACGAAACTGTTAACGGGGCTCTCATGAATCTCGAGAATGCTATCCAACAGAGTCTGATCTCCATCTGCATCCATTGCAACAAATTTGGGGCTACTATTCGGTGCTTCAAAACTAGATGTTCTAGCGTATACCATCTTTCCTGTGCAGTCAAAGACAATGCGGTTTTCTACAAGAACAAGACTATGTACTGTACTGGACATGTGCCGAAAAATGAAAAAGATAATGAACTGACGACACTCTCAGTCAGCAGAAGAGTTTATGTTAACAGAGATGAGAACAGGCAGGTGGCGGCGGTTATGCATCATTCGGATTCTAACAATTTGCTGCGAGTGGGAAGTTTGATATTCTTGAATGTAGGTCAGCTTCTACCTCATCAATTGCAGAATTTCCACACATCCAATTACATCTACCCTATAGGTATGCGATACAATAATCCGAACCTTTTAGGGTCACAATTGCGTACGGTATTCTAGGTTATAAAATTATACGATTCTATTGGAGTATGCGCAATTTGAACAAAAGGTGCCGATACATTTGCTCGATTCACGACCTATGCGGCCGGCCAGAGTTTAAGATTGTTATTCAAGAACCTCCTGAGGAAGATGTGGAGTACAAGGAACAGTCTCCCAGGGCCGTTTGGGCTCTGGTCCTGGAAAAAATTGCAGCCATTAGGCGCGAAAATCAGTGCCTACAAATGTTCCCCAAGTTTGTAACCGGCGAAGATTTGTTTGGACTGACCGAACCGGCAATTGTTCGCGTTTTGGAAAGCCTGCCTGGAATTGAAACATTGACGGACTACAAATTCAAGTGAGTTCAAGTTCATTGAGGCGATATTGTACTGAGTAGTTTAAATGTACCGTGCATCGGAAATGCGTATTTGCAGATACGGACGTAATCCACTTTTGGAACTCCCCCTGGCGATCAACCCAACAGGAGCAGCCCGAACAGAGCCCCGCCTACGTCTGCAAACCCACTGGAAGAGGCCGCATACCCAGAGAACCACCGGTTCTACGTCTAGACCACTGTTTGGACCGTCGAGTTCGGGTTTGATGCCCGGTAGTTCAATCGGAGAAGCTGCTTGTCCCTACAGTAAGCAATTTGTACACTCAAAGAGCTCCCAGTACAAGAAAATGAAATCCGAGTGGCGGAATAACGTTTATTTGGCGAGGTAACGCGGATGACATTTTTGGGATTACACGTGCGGGTTTGGCTACGGGTTATTTTTTTAGATCTAAAATACAGGGTTTGGGTTTATATGCGGCGAGAGATTTAGAGAAACACACCATGGTGATTGAGTATATCGGGGAGGTAATTAGGACCGAGTTGTCGGAGTGCCGAGAGAAACAATACGAGGCAAAGGTACGCGTGTTGTGTGACGTATGTTTTCTACACTCTTAACTTTGTTCATTGTGTAGAATCGAGGCATCTACATGTTCCGACTAGACGACGACAGGGTGGTGGATGCGACCTTATCTGGGGGCCTAGCCAGGTACATAAATCACTCTTGCAATCCCAATTGCGTGGCAGAAACAGTAGAGATCGACAGGGACCTAAAGATTATTATTTTTGCCAAGAGACGGATCCAGAGGGGCGAAGAGGTAAGAAGTCTTCATTTAGCATATTTTTCTACGTAATTGTTAATTCAATTTAGTTGGCGTACGATTACAAATTCGACATCGAAGACGATCAGCACAAGATATCGTGCATGTGCGGCGCTCCGAATTGCCGTAAATGGATGAACTAATTTGTACATGTGCGAAACATTGTGCGCAAAAGCGGTAACATTCCATATTTAAGATTTGTATTGCTCAATCAAATAGGACGAGCCGTTCAAAAATCGTGTACAGCGCATTTGTACTTTCATACTTCGGTAAGAATCAGGCTGAACTGTGGCTTAGATTAGGGACCAACTTTGTGTTGTTACACGCCCCGCCCTATTGTATATATTCCCGAAGAAGTCAGTTACCAAATCGAATTGAGCGCTAGTTGTTTTACTCTATGCCCTTTTTTCCGAGCTTGTCGCCGTGCCTGCTAGTTGTAAATCGATGAAGTTGACGTGAAAATTTTCGCCTTCATTTGTTGTTTGTTGTCTGGATAATAATTTCGTATTTCCTTTTGTTTATTGAGTTATTTTGTTGATTTTATTTGTGCAATATCTAGTGCTAAACGACATATGATGTGTCTACAAGTTTCTGCACTAATCTTAATGTCATGTCAGTGTTGCTGCAAAATATAGTCGCGGTAAGCTAGTAACTTCAAAGTTGAACAAAATTGGAAGTGAGAAAATAGTCGAGATGTAACGCAGTTTTCTAAGTATCGTTTTTATCACTGACATGACATTCGGTGTGTTAATTAGGTGAAAGGATAATGAATTGGAACAAAACGTCGAGTTTTATATATATATAAGGAAAAGAAAAAGGACTAGTGTGTTAAAAATGCAATGGTTCGTCTTACGCACTATATATTTCTTTATATAGAATTATGTGATTTTATTTGATACTATGGGAAGCAGCCCAAGACTTGTTACTTTTCTTTTTTTATGTTCACACGAGTATAATATTTTTTTACAGTAAGTTTATAAAGTGGATGTCAAAATGTTGGGATAATGAGTGTCGCGTAAAGAAATAAGCGGAAGCATCTACCCAAGACACTTTATTAGCCTCTTTATTATTAACGATTTAGAGAGTGACAATCACTTTTACATAGACGAATATTTATGTTTGGAGGGTATGTTTTATTCATTTAGGTGTTTTGTGTATAATGTTATATATAACTTGATGCAGAAAAATTATTGTATATATTTCAAATATAGATATTTAATTGAGTATAAGTTCTTGGCGTTTAAATTCATCAAAGGCATGTTTTCCCAATTAACGACAAAAACATTCTGATGGAGGAAGACAATTAAATAGATAAACTCTAAAATTAAACAAAAGAGCTCGCAAGCTATGCATACAAAACAATTGTCTAAGTAACATCACGTATCGATTGATAAGCAAACTACGCATAAGCATAAAATGCCGTTTACAAGAAAGATTGTCTTATAGCCGTGCATTGGCTTGGTTATTAGGTAGGTATCAAAAATATCCATTAATATTTTTATGCTATGAACTCATATAGCTACTAGATATATGTGAATATAGAGGTAGATATAGAGACCCTCAGTTCATACGCTGGTAATTTAGGCTTTTTTGAAGTCAACTTACAAATATGTAAGCATGCGCGGGTCATTTGAATCCTCGCTTTCAACCAAGAAGCTTTTAGGACCATAAACCAGTTAACATTCGCTCTAATACTTCGTGAATTATCTCTGTTGGATCTGATATTTTTCGGCAGTATTTTCTTAAAATGTGTCAAGATGCCAATTCATTTTTTTCGCAAAAACTAGTAACCTGCATAGCCGTCCCGAGCGTATCAATTTAGCAACGTTGCCAACTTAGTTTCTTTAAAAATTCGAGGAAAGCGATAGTCTTGGTTAAATAAGATCGAGCTCGGCATTCTTAAGTCTTTTTTCATTGACACTTGTATAAGTCGTTTACTTTTGAGTAGATGGCAATTTTGACCATAAAAAGTTATTGAATCCTCAAGTTATAATAAATGAAATGAAAATCATTAAAAACATGTTTATTCGTAGTCAGGAAATGTTTTCCAAACAGTCTAAAGGGTATATTTAAATATTATGGCTATGATACATATTTATATAAATTAGATACAAAGTATATACAAACTTAGTAAAACTAGAACGTAATTACAAAATCAGTGGGCGATTTGGCGAACACTGGCAACATCGAGTATTTCTGCAGGGTAATTACGGAAACAAGAATAAAAGTAGGCATGCTAATAACACAGACACGTTCTTAAGAAGTTCTTGAAACGTTTGTATAACATGTATAATAATGACTCGGCAAACTGTTCAAATACATTATTTGTCTATGCCGTCTAGATACCTAAAAAATACGTCCCTTAAACGTGTTGTTATTAGGATAATATTGATGCTCCGTTTTCTTGGATTTAGTCCGCGCTAGATGTACTTGAATAATTAATTAAAGGTTATATTTCACGCTCTAATTCCGTTTGAAGTTTTGCTGGAGTTATTTTTTTTAGTTTCCTTTCGCGCGACACTTAGTTCCTCACGCGAAACCGTCTTTACTGTCTTGAACGTTTTCGTTGATTTTGTAATGTGTCTGATCTCGTTATGGCTCAGTTTAAATTCCATTTCTCCCCTGTACGCTAGTGGATTTTCCGAATTCCTCTCTTCCAAATCTGCCTTCAGTTCTTCGTTGGTCACGTCCTGAATGGATTTACCCACTCCGTAAAATATCTCTTCCGTATACACCCGATCCTTCCTCCTGTACGTCCCGTGGATCTGATTATTAGAATAGCACTTTGAAACTAACTTCCCTAGACAACTCGACGACCTACCTTATCCCACAGGGAAATGTTGAAAGCGAAATTGACGTGGAAATACTGATGATGGTTGTCGTGGAATATAGCATCCGGTTGCCATGGCTGCCACCAGAATGCTTTGAAGTTGACTCCGGAATGATCGATTATGCCGTGGTAGTACGCGTAGAATACGCAGGTGTAAAATGGAACTAAGAGGAGAAGAGCGTAGAGTGTATTTTAATAATATTTTTCAATAATAATTATTATTTAATTAATTTAATTATTTTTAATAATATTAATTTAATTATTTTACAAATACATTATTAATTATAAACACGGGCCCGTTTTTGATTAATTTATTTTTTATTAACTTGTGAGTAGCTCTCTACGCTAAAAACGCTAAACCAACATCAAACTTCAAAATATCAACGCCAAATGCCAACGAAATGTCGACATATTTTCAAATTTTATTCAGAAATAGCGAAAATAAAAGATAATGTTTAGCACTCTGTATATCCGTGCGGATGTTTAAGTGGCGCTCTTGTCTTAATACATGATATGTGTCAGATCAAAAATAGGAAACTTACTAAAAGACACCTTGTTATATACACAGGGTGGCCAAAAATGCCCGCACAACGCTAGTACCTACTTCTTCAAAAATAAATCAAGTTGTAAGTGGTTAGGTACTTTTCTATATTTGATTGAAGATACATTTGGATCGATGCGAACACTAAATAAAAGAAAAATACTCACGCCAGTGGACAGGTACTACGAATAGGGGAATGGCCATCGTCATCTGAATGTGCATCGACTCTACAGGGTGGATAGCGGTAACGGAAAACGCGGTCGGTTGCTTATACTTGTGGTGCAGCTTGTGGAAGTGTTTGTAAAGGAATGGCCAGTGGTAGATCCTGTGAAGCCAGTACGTCGTGTAATCCTGTGAATTGGTGAGATATTTAACGACTATCTCATTGGTCATTTTTCCCATAAAGATAAATTGAATGTAGAGGCAGTAAAAACGGCAAAGTTGTCATGATAGTCGAGGTATATTTTGATAATATACTAAAACGGTCAAACTCAGTTAGATCTGTCAGCCGCCATCTTGCAAGGCCCCTATATTTAATTTATCTAGTAGCTATATAGGATTTTCTTTACATGATATATAAAGATGATGGGAAATTGAAGAACAAACCACAGCCAGCCATAGTCGGAAATTTTGTAGTAGACTTGACTATAGCCGCCGTTTGATATGTAGCAAGCCAAGAGTGCGGACGTGGTAGCGTTGACGAATAGGGTGCACGATCCCAGAATGATCTCGTGCCGCTCCAGATCGGGCGGCAGCCATTTATTCGGTTGACATTTCCATTCTTCAGCTCTGTCTCTTTGACGAACGTAGTAGTACCACTGAAACAGTAACGTCGTTAATTCAACTTCGTTGAGACTATTACTTTGATTGGTTTATTGGTTTTTGAGTTTCATCCGTTTAGTTCATCAATGTTTATAAACAATATTCAGGTTTTGCAGAATTTGGCAAAAAAATACGTGTCTTAAAGTATGTGTTTCGACTTTTGACGGCAGAGAGAGACTTTTAATATTATGTTTTGTTAATTTAGGTATAACATCACATTACTACTAATAGAAAATACAATAACACTAAATATATAGAAATGTGGAGAACAATATATATGAAGGTTGTAATTGCGTCGTAATTTGGAGGGTCCGAAAAACCAAGACGACATATTTTGAGACACACCATACCGTATTAAAACTTCTCACTCACTGCGTACAGACACAACACATTCACACAAATATTGAAAATTAAGTTTATTGTCAGTGGTAAATTATCCAAAAAATTTTTTTAATATTTATTTTTAACTAACACAATCAGCAAAAACTTTTAGACAATCTTGCCATTTTTATCGTAAAAAAAAGAGTACTGGCGTAAACCAACCAAAATCCTGTTGAACTGTATCATAACTTCCTATTTGCAATTTGCCTAATTTACTTCGTAGTAGAAAATGAAATTAATCTAGGTTGTATAAAATAATTTGGGATAAGACAATATTGAAACTGCAAAAAAAACGCAATTACAAATATGCTACTAGAAATTTTATTTTTGGTATACAGTAAATTTTTTAATAATTATTCAAGCTATTTTAAAGCACCATTCCTGAAGTATTTTGTAGAAAAAAAAATTAGTGACTCGGGCTGATATAGTTTTACGATTCTGTAAACAAGAGAGTTGTTAACCGATGATTTTTGTCTGAAAGTCTTAATAACATATTTAAGGTTTCGTTGCATAGATAACGAAGAATCTTTTTTAAGTTGACGATATGATCCATATGTAAGAATATCTTGAATCTTTTCCCGATATTCATTTGTGTTCATGACCACCGCAGCATTTCGTTTATTTCCTCTTAGAATTATAATGTCGGGATTAGATTTTAGAGATTTTTGGGCAAGGCGTTCAGACTTTGAAATTTACCGGTGACATTCGCAAGTGGTTTTAGACCCAATATTTCTGGAAAAAAAGTATGCCACTAGTTCCTCCAAAAATAATCATTAGTTTAAAAATTCCCATTCAATTTGAAGTTTAATTTCTTGGACGATCGAATTGTTGATATTTCGATAATGTTGCTCTGTATTTTGTGTATTGAAAAAAAAAAAGCGCTTGCGAGCGTTTAAATTGAATACCAAGAATTATTACAAATTTTGGAACTCTTTTTTAATTTCAATATCGTAAACGAAGCCATTGCGATTCGTTTTTTATTGTAAGAATTTTTGTCTTAGTGTATCGGCCGCTTATTAAACAGCCAGCACCCTATATACTTAGAATGAAGGGGAAAACCGAAATATGCGCTTTACGCCGATTCGGAAGCAAAAATTAATTGAAACTGTCAGATAGATAGATACTAAAAAAAATGTTCGGAAGCGCGGCCATCCAATAACCCGGAAGCGCTCGAAACCGCATATCCATCCAATCCCGTAAAAACTTTACGACAAGATTCCCGCCGTTCTCTTCGTACGTATTCCCCCGTATTAGGTGCACTTTACAACCCCCGCGGCGTATCATCGTGACTGCGCCGCGTATTATAGCGGATTTATGTAAAGAGATAAATTAATTCCGAAATAAACATCTGCCGCGTCCTCCCAAATTGAAATTTACGTCCCCTCGGAAGTTCAAGCGTTTTCCTGTTTTGCGGCTCAAGTGCCCGACATGAATCCTAGTCGACGAAACTGTTTCGGATAAATAAGGCCGAGTGTCAAGAGAACGAATCCTGCAGCGGCAGTTGTTGCCCGACCGGAGTGATTGGGACAAAAGCCAAACGTTCTTATGCTAGCTGAACGCTGACCACACAATGAACCGTCGCAAATATTCGCTGCTTGCCATTTTGTTTTCTCAAATCAATAAATTAGTGATAATTGAGACGCATTAGTGTATTTTGCAACAAATTTGATTAAACCTCATTTAAGTCACGAGATTGATTTGGCATAAGCGTAGCGTGTCAGAGTGTCACTTATTTATTGTCCAATATGGAAACCATAATTAAAATAGATATATTATGCAACAAGTAAACGGCATTTGAGTCACTAGTTTACTTGGCACAGACGGAGCGAGTGTTTATTAAACAAGTGGCTTAAAAAGTTTACCAAACGTGTTGCATACTATACTTTTTCTACAACAAAACAAGACGAAAACATTCACTGACATGATCGTCAGAATTGATAAAAGTCGAAAAAAAATTTTTTTCTACTTACGTCTGTAAAAAACAATTACCCACCGATCTAGCGTGCGGGAAGCGTCACTTTACAACGTCAATTTCGTTTCCCACGAATCCGAGCCATTTCCGAGATTTTACCGGACGGATTTGGGAGATCGGATATTTTCGGAGATATTTCCCACGCTTTGAATTTTGACGTTTGTCAGTTCTGACGGTAATGTCAGTGAATGTATTTGTGTTGTGTTGCGAAAATGTACCCAAAAACTAGAGGTTATAGGAAAAGTATAGTATGCAACACGTTCGGTAAACTTTTTAACTCACTCGTTTATTAAAAACTCGCTCTGCTCGTGTCATATAAACTCGTGAGTCAAATGCCGTTTACCGTACTTGTTACATAATATACTATTTTATAACCAATAAGATTTTTATAGTTGTTGTCGTGAAAGTGAATTTTCAAATTTCGAAAAAATCATCTCAGTTATCCTTAAGTGCAGAAAAACCAAAAGTGCAACATCTTTTGCCACGATTATGCGATGTCGTATATAAAATAGTGTTTTCTACTCCCGTCTGTAAAATCCCTAATTACACATCGATCTAGCGTGCGGGAAGCGTCACTTTATTACGTCAGTTTCGTTTCCCACGGATCCGAGCCACTTCGGACATTTCCGGGGTTTTATCGCACGGGTTTGGGAACAATCGGATGGTTTAGGAGATTTTACCGCACGGTTTGAATTTTGACGTTTGTCAATTCTGACGGTCATGTCAGTGAATGTGTTCGTGTTGTTTTGCAACAATACACAGAAATATGTTATACAATATATCAGACAATTTAAATACTACCTGCTATAACCTACAAATAAAATCTAGTGGACTAGTCGGTAAGTAGAGTGACATTTATAATTTAAGTTTCTTCAGTGGTTTTTACAGTATTTATATTAATATCTTGCCAAGACCAATTGTACGATTTCCAAATATCCATATCTCATCAGTACAAACAAAACAAAATTGAAGGTTAGGACCTACTTTTTCTTATTTATACGATCTTAAACAATTTTCAATTACAATCTTTTTAAAATTGTGTTTATTACGTTGCTTATATGACATATTCAATATCTCAATATTCAATTCAATATTCAATATTCCCTCTCTCTGTCTAACATACACAATTAAAAAGAGACAACAATGGCAGAACCCATCGGTCGATCAACGTATAAGTTTAATGGCTAGTAAATATTTTTTTTGGATGGTATGAAATTTAGTAATCGGATAATCTGTTAGTATTATTAATTTGTTAAATTGTAATTTTTTCGTAACGGTTGTAGAAAAAGTATAGTATGCAACACGTTTGGTAAACTCTTATCTCACTCGTTTATTGAGCACTCGCTCCGCTCGTGCCAAATAAACTCATGAGTCAAATGCCGTTTACCGCACTTGTTGCATAATGTACTACAGAGTGACACTTTTATTTATTACAATGTTGGTGTGGTTACACAACTGGGTCTATCACCTTGTCCAATCTACCCACTCATTAATGTAATGAAGCTCATACCGCACTAGTAATAACGTAACGTTTTGATTCAATTCAAATTTCTTTAACATAACTTTAAACATTTTTTTTGTCATAATTAAAATTGTACTATTCTATAATTGGGTAAAATAAGTAAAAGTTTGCCCTCGGTGGCAAGATTCAAATTTTGCAGAGTTCGAAATTGGCTTGTCAATTGTGACTCCATAGTTAGGTTTTTCAGTTTGAATAGCGGCTCCTTAGCGTAGCTCGTTGCCGTGTTTTTTTTCTTGAAAGGCCTTCACATTGATATAGCACGTAGCCGTGCTCTTCTTTTCAGATTCTGTATTTTCTTCCACTCTCATCAGTTTTGGTTAGTTTTGGTTAGTTTTTTTTTAAGCGGACCTATCATTATTATTACAGCTTTTTTTTGTAGCCTAGCATATCTGCTGTAAATTTGGCCGATAGACATTGCCGGGATTCTGGTTCCATCCATTTCTTGGTGCCTCATTTTGTGATGGGTTTAGCCACCCCATAAAAGGGTTCTCTCATTCGCTATGCGTGTTAACGATCCTTTGCGGGCTACTTCGTCAGCTCTTACGCCACATTGGTCGCCTTAGGGTCCTTTATATAATGCCAAAAGTTATTTTGCTGTATGGCTGCTTGACTGTCGGTGAAATAAAGTAAAAATATAAATGCAATAATTTTAAAATTAACTAGGCTTTACTTTTAAATAGATAAATTCGCTTTGTTAGTGTTGTTGCAAACCGTCAGAAAAAACATATGCGTTATTCGGGTTCACTTAAAATACGTTTAAATTTGGTGTCCAGCAAAATTCCACCAAAACATTATGTTGTGACAAGTAACTTACATGTAGGAATCCTCCGATGAAGTAATACATCAAGTATGAGACGACGCAAGAGGAAAACCAAAAGCTGAGCAGATTCTTCAGTTTGAGAGATTCAAGTGACAAGGTTGACCATTGGAGTGGCGCGTCATGTTGTTGACTATAGTAGCCCAACTGTTTGGCTATGTGAACCCAAACATTAAGCCAATCTCCTGAAATTGTAATCTGTGGTTTATACGAAGTAAAATCAAGCCAAAGTTATTTTCGCTACAACGCTTAAAATCTCAAATTTAACGTTGCTTTTTGCGGTTTATATATATGTTGCGGGTTTCGTTGCATGAGAAAGAAACAGGTGAGTGTGTCATTACTATGAACATTTTTAATTTTTCATCTTGATTTTAATTACTCTTTGTTATAAGTTATAACTACAAGTCCTTTCCTTGCGTTGGTCTTTTAATGTTCCGCTTTTTTACGTTTTGAGGAATAATTACGCTTTGACAACGAAGCGTTTAGTGGAAAAGCAAGAGCTCTAATAAATACCCCGACTTTTTAAAACGTTTTATACCGAGTGGATTGGATCAACAAAAAGAGCTCATTTAAGCATGTCTATTCTAAAACTTAGGTCGGTCTGCTTTAATCACTTACCAATTATTTTTTTTATATTTAGATATTCTTTTTTTTTTTTCGGTATGTGAATCTGTTAGAATTGAAGGTAACAATGATTACTTCAATTTTCAGAGGCTCTTTTAAAGGGGTTAAATTGTATTTCGTCGTAAACAATAAATCCAAAAATAAAATAAATAAAGGAAAAGGACAGATGTTAAGAGCAGACATAATTTTCGAAATACAAATTAAACTAAAATTCGCCCACTAGTTATGTGAACATTAAGAGTAAATTTAAATATATTTCCTTTGTGTTATATTAGACATATAATTAATAATGATAGTGGAGCAGAAAAAATTGTCATTTGCTTTGTTGAAGCATTTATCTACGTTGATTCAATTGACTAATAGCTAGCTTACCTCGAAAAGGGTTTAATTCATTTTTATTTCAAGTATTGTGGATAAGGAGTAGATGTTGTGCTTCATATTTTATTGTTTCGATATTGCCTTAATTGGTTTAATTTAAGATAGTTACCCATATCCACATTAACGAGTAAGTAAAAAAAATTAAAATTAAGTATTAGAGAATGTAGTTTTTAAGATTATAATAGGGAACTTGAACATTATTTTTTTATTTCTATAATACAAGTGTTTATGTATAGAAATAAAGCATACCAAATATCAAAACTCAAAACCCAATATTTAAATTGCAACAAATGAGTCAAGTTGTGACACCGGGCTGTTCCTTTTAAACGACACTAAACACGTGGGAATGATCGTGACGTCATACCGCTGCTTTTCGATCGGTTATAGGTTATATCAGGTTATAGGCGGAGAATTATATTATTTATGTTTATTATTGCCTCGTGTAAAGGTATGTTTGTATTTAATCTACGCCAGTTTGGATTTTCGCTTAGGGTGCTTTACATGATAATAATGGGAGTAACACAAAAACAATATATTAATGTTTGAGTACAACCTGTAAAACGCTAGACAGCCATTTTATTCGTCAGAAAATAAAAGCCGTCATTTTTTGTTAACATTGTGTTCAGGTGTCACTTTATCCTTAGCCGTTGCAAAACATTTTTGACTCTTCGAACTTGCACTCATCCTATTGCAGTCTCCATAGGAATGAAATCAGTATTTAGGTTTCCACTAGTTTAAAACAAATCTTTTTTGTTTTTTTTTTTTTGAATAAATTACATTTTATTTAATATACCATTTAAATTTTAAAAACTAGAAAATTCTAAGCTGATTAAATTATCTTGGTTTAAAACTAGTGGCTAAATTTTCCATGAACATACCTTTTAGCTTTAACTAACCAAAACTTTCGGTGTTTCGTATGTGGGGGTGACCACAAACATACCCACTAAGATAAATTAACAGATTGGCCTTTTAAAAAATCGGTTTCGGTCATTTTCAAAACTTTCCTTTTGATACTAAATACAAGATAAAAGCGATCGACAGGATTAAGACTAAAATTAAAATTAAAACCACCAAGACCAGCGCGTTGTCGTTCTCTAATGACTTCTCTATGCTCCCGTCCGGCTGGTGCGTAAATCTTTCGAGCGAATTGAAGTCACAACCGGTCACAACCGATGACAGCCCGTTTCAAATTGGATTTAAATTTTACAATTTTGAATTGTTTATATTTGTTACATAGAAGTACGAAATTACTTTTTTGTTAACTGCGGTTCTTTTAATAGTATAAACTTACTTTTATAATCAATATTTTTCAAATTCAGTTCCCTATTAGATTTGCTTAGTATGATGAATTTCATATCTGTAGTGCGTGCCTACCAGAAAGGTCAATAAAAATTGAGAATTATTTCCAAAGTAAAATAACTTCATCAATATCCAACGACCGTTTAAAGTCCTGCTGCGGAAAAACGATAAACCCTGTAGAATGTAGATGCGATGCGAATAAATGAAACCGTGGCTGCATCGATATTCGATATTTTGTTAGTATATGATCCGTGTACATATAAATAATAAAATTATCGTCCTATGCATAAATTGTGTAACGTGGGCCCCATCGGTCAGCTGTAAATATCTATCTATTAACTTGCGTTATTAATATTTTAACGGTCCGATGAAAATTCGGAGTTAATATGAAACCAACCGCGTGGTGTAGATAATATAATACATAAGTTAAAAACGGATGTGTGAAACATTTAATCGTTCGATGCGGGCCAATCTTATCGAACTCAGATACGAGAAGGGATGATGTCACTTCTATCTAAAGCCAATAGGTACATATGATAGGTTCATCGTATCGCGTTTAAATCGTATTCTTTGATAATAATAAAGGAAGAATAAGTTTAATTAAAAAAAAAAACAATTTTTTTTTGTAAATTAAAAAATTTAGAGACAATTACATTTTAATGGTAACGTCATTGATTATTTTAAACTGATTGTTTTGCTTTGACGTTGGATATTGTCTATTTTCCCCAATTTATTTTACACGTCGACAAGTTTTGGAGCTATTATCTTATTGTTATTGAATATTCGCTTTTACCTATAGTTGCAATTGTTTTAGATAAATGAGAGCCTTTTAAAAATTGTTATTAATTGACTGGATAAATTAAAATTGAATTGCCAACTTTGCGGCAGTCGTCACATTTATCTGTAAAACACAATCTATCGTCACAAGAGTGGGGCGACGACCGGTTCTCTGGAGCAATTTTAGAAACGGTATATCTGGTGTACTTTGGATTCAATGGCACTTATTAAGTTGAATCATAGAATTTGCAATATTTGTTATGGCCTGTTCATAGATATAAGAAAGTGACCAATTGCTTTTGAATGGGATTATCCAACGGTGGCCATTAACATACAGTGCAACAAGATTATTACTTAAAGCTTAGAAATTTAAATTCAGGTAAAATTGTGGTCCGTAATAGAAACTAATTTTATACCTACCTGTGTTTAATATTCTTTGTTTTGGTATACTACTTTGTTTAAGTTTATTAGTAATTATTCATATTTCGTGTGTTGAATAGTGTGCGAATTATGCAAAATATGTACGAGTCTAGTGTATCTCAGGAGATGCTCCCGCCCAAATGTAGAAAACACTATTCTATTGAGTTTAAGGAAGTTATAAACAATGTTTATTTGACTCTCATTGGACGTGGTGCCAGCAAGCAAGCATCTTTAGAAGAAACGGCCACATTGACGAAAATTCCAACATCAACTGTATGGAAAATTGTGAATAATCCGATTTCAGCGAGGAAAAATAGAAGCGATGCTGACATTTCCTCGAGTGTAGATGAAAGTGATCAAGATATAATAAGGCGTAAAATTTACCAGTTATACGAGTAACAAAGCGTGCCTACATTAGATATCTTAATTAGGAGGCTTCAAAAAAATTAAACCGGATTATAACAAAAAGCAATTAATTGAGGTTCTACAAAGCTTGAACCTACAAAAGGAATACATACGTCTGTGATAATTTTCCCCGTGTTAACTCCAATGTCCTCAAACTTATAGAAACCGAAGTTTTTAACATCCCTCCACAAAGTTGAGCAAATTCTGCTAAACATATAGAAAAAGCAAAACAATCGTATACCCATATTGCAAATAATATAGAACAAATAATAATTATAACAGGCGATGATAGCGATAGTGATACTGATATATTATGTAAATAATTTTAAGTAATTTAAGTAGGTAATAAAAATAATTTGTAATTTTATTTTCGGTTTAACCAAAAATACATACATAAACAAATAAACATTGTTTAGTATCTTTCCTAACAAAACCCCGAATAATTAAATTCTAAGGAAAGTACGGACCTGTTCGGCCATATTTCATTCTTACGGCTGGCCCGGGTCTTTCCTTAATTTGTATCAGTTAGTCACTTTCTTATATCTATGAACAGACCATACCTCTTGTTCATTCAATATTTCTTTTTCGTCCGCTGCCGCTGCGTTATAGGATTTAACGAATTAAAGTTGGTAATTGTAATTGGCGTCATTTGGAGCAGCTTTGGAGTATATCTGTTGCCTAAAGTACAAAACTATCGGAACCAACAATCAATGGTGGTCCGAGCGGACCCAAAACTTACCATTGATCGATACTCCCACCGCGAAAACAGCCGCGGTGGCCAACACTTTCCCGACACTCTGTGGGACGTGTTTCCAGTACTTGCTGATCTGTTCATTGTATTTCTCAGTCCAAGTAACGGCCATGGGGTCGAACAAGTGGCCGTTTTCCTTGACCCCGCTTTTTTTCGTTTTTGATTTCCTCATGGCGTGTATCTCGAAATCACTCAGGTCACGATCATATCAATGTACCGTTCCAATCGCGTACACTAAAGACAAGAACAACGTCATTCGCTTGAATATATAACAATGCCGATTGATAACATTTGTATATCGCGAATTTTGAAGTAGCCTTTCTCAAAATGAAAAAAAAACGCACGTCAGCAGGGCGATAAATAACGACTTCTCCCTCTCAATATCGCGAAATGTATTAATTATCATAAACGTTTGTAGCGAAATAAACAACGTTCGGCTTTAATCGAATCTTGTGCAATACGAACTGCACTGAACTTTTGGAGAACAATTAAGAGATTAAGAAAAAAATGCATGTTCGGAAAAATCAAAAAGAGTAAAATTGCGCGTTTCTTAATTTAATTTTAAGAGCTCCAGAAGTATTATTTATTTTTTTGAGCACTAACATTTTCGGTAGGGAAATTATTATTATTATTAAGCCCCAAAATGAAAAAAATATTTATAAAATAAGTGGAAAAATTGATTCATATGGTTTTTATTTGAAACACATTATACACGATGCAACAGTATAACTGCTTAATATTGATTAAGTATATTAAATTCCTAGATATAGATAGTCTTAATCAGGATGCACATTTGTTGGTATCAGAGTTCAGCTAAGTTTCCTTGTATGCACAATAGGTACACGCTTCTTTCTCCCAATTAGGAACTGCAAATAATTTGATTTAAATCCCATCGGCGGCAGAAATATTGGACTGAGCGTGGACTATGCATCAAATTTTTAGACTCCAAGCCCGAACCTTGTATTAAATTATTCTCTTAGATGACGGTTTGTTTTGGAGCTACAAAGAAATAAGTGAGGGTTTGGATGTAATTTCTCTATTTAAACAATTTATAGTGTGTGTCCCCATATTTCTAATTAACTCGTAAAATAATATTTGAGTCGGTGTATACTAATTTCAAAGATTATTTTTCTAATACGTAAATGAAAAAATCGAACGTGGGTTAAGTGGGTACTCTCAACGTCATTTTGAAGGTTTTATTTGATTGTTATTATTGTTATATGATTATGCGACATTAGCAGCCTCTGATATAACAAATGAAGGTGGAAATACCACCAAGCAAAGAGTTTATATCTGTAGGTATCCCTTTTTATTAAAAAAAATTGTAAATTGTAGCTTAAGAAATTTAATCCCTTCCTTAGAGTAAAAAGGGATAATCTTGGACCACTGCGAACATAATACAAAACGAATTGGAAATCTGCATAATGAAGATACTGTTCGTCTTTGTCAAAATTGACGTACACCCTACACATCGTTTATAATTGGCGAGACGCAAAGTGTTGAATTTTTTGCAAAGAAAAAGTGTGTATTACAATATACGAAATAGTTTACTTTAAAGCCAGCGTAAAACCCAATACATTTCCTTCCTTATTGTCTTTGTTTATGTTTTGGAGAACTTGGATGATACTGACTGCACCGATAACGCTCGCAATCGTTTAATTATATTCAATACGAAGGTGCTTGCGCACTGGATTCGGTGCGGATGTACCGAAATTTTAATCGCACACGATTGCTGTTTGCTACCTCGGCCTTACGGGACATTTTTATTTACACCTTATAAACTAATCGTAATAAAAAACGTCTCTATCGTTAGGCAATTGCACCGGTCTGCAATTGGTAGCAATGGGCGCGCACTGGCACCCGAGCAAACTTCGGAACTGCTCGATCTGTTTGTGCGATATGGCCAGAGGTTCCGACTGGACGATCCATATGACGCCCTCCGTGCATGGCGGAAAAGTTAGGGAACCTTCGTAGTAGAAATAGTTCTTGGAGAACGTAGGCGCTAGCAGTTTCAATGGAAACGGGCAGATCGGTTGACAGCTCGATGGCAGTTTGAGATAGTCTAGTGCTGAAACTAGCGGCTCCAAGTAGGGGTTATCGTCTGGCGTTACCTTGAAAATTGATGATAGTTATAAATGCGGCCACTATACGTGACGTTCCTCTTGTTCGAATAATCTACAAGTACGCGAATAGATAAAGATAAAATCGAATTCGTAGAATGCGGTTAGCTAGATGTGCAGAGAATAACATCATTCAGATATTTAATGGGGGGGGGGGGTTGAAAAAAGTAAGCTGCAGTTGCCAGCTTATAAGGCTTTTGTGCATGTTAAAGACATACTTTTACTATACCTATCGTACATATTGTATGTGTAGGTTGGTCTCTGATTTGCGGAATTTTAATCACATATATATATTTAGATATGAAATGTAGTAAATAACCCGGCCACGCAAGTTTTTATAACGAGTCGCAAAATGCCACATCATGTCAGCTCTCATTTTGCACATAACACAGTAAAGTATTTCAACTAAATTAGGTTTGAAAATAAAATATAAAAATTGTCTTTTAAACCTCTACTAAATGTATTTTGTTCCTATGTTTTATTAAACTATGAAATATTTTTTGTCTGTGTTTAGTAGAGTAGCCAGCCAAAGGTATTTTTCTACTCCCTTCTGTAAAATGCCTAATTATACACCGATCTAGCGTACGGGAAGCGTCACTTTTCCACGTGAATGTTTGTCAATTCTGACGGTCATGTCAGTGAATGTATTCTTGTTGTTTTGCGAAAATGTACCCAAAAACTAACGGTCGTAAAAAAAGCATAGTATGCAGCACGTTTGGTTAACTTTTTAAGTCACTCGTTTATTGAATACTCGCTCTGCTACGCTCCGTTCGTGCCGAATAAACTCAAATGTTCGTTTACCGCACTTGTGATATAATATACTAATAATATAAATTAATATTAAATAATATAAAATTGTCAACCATGGTTTCTATATTGCATCAAATAAGTGACCTTACAGACAAAACAGTCACTCTGACACGCCTCGCTCATGCCAAATCAATCTCGTGACTTAAATGCGGTTTTATCAAAATTTCTTGTAAAATACACCAATGAGTGTCAATTATCACTAATTTATTGACTTGTATATTGTTGTATATTATACTTTTTCTACAACCGTTAGTTTTTGGGTACATTTCTGCAAAACACCACGAATATATTCACTGACATGAACGTGATCCGATTACTGCCCAACTCGTGTGGTAATATCCAGAAAATATCCGAAATGACTCGGATACGAAACGGACACGAAACTCACGTTGTAAAACGATGCTCTCCACACGCTAGATCGGTGTATTTTTCAAAAAGGAGTACAAAAAATATAGCATGTTTGGTAAATGCCGTTTACCGCACTTGTTGACTAATATACTTTTTTACGATTATTTTAAAATTCGTTGAAATGAAGTTTTGACTAATCAAATCATTCTTATTATTATTATTATTATTATTATTATATCAAGTAGAGCATTCATAGCCCGTAATTCACAAAAAACTTTCGGTCACGTGTTATTGAAATTCCTTTAAAAAGTGAAAGTAGGAGTTTAGTTTAGAAAGTTTTTGAGCATATATTGTTGAAGCAAAAAAAATATAAAGTTTGGTCATCATAAATTATATTTTTTGTCGTGGAACTCGTAGTGGATTTTCATCCTAAAGCTGAGTATAACCAAAATCCAATGGGGGAGCTTAAGAAAATATACGGTTGATGGCGATTCCCCGTTTGATAAACCAGAGAGGGGAAGAATGTACATTTAACTCATTCTATACTTACAACTCCTTGGAATTCGTCAGGAATTCTTCGGAATTGCTTTGGAATTCCTTCATAAGTGAAAAATGAAGTTACCAAAGATTACGTACAGTACAGTATTTAAACGGAATATTATTAGCTATCCATCCACTCCGGTATGTCTTATCGTTTAAATTTCCTCTATGGAAGACGGTAGCTCCTAACTTAACAGAAACATGTCAGCAAATGAAATTAGAAAAATCCGCAAATACACGACATTTGATCATTCGAGATACATTAATTTGTAGTGTCTATAGTGCGTTTACCATAAATAGGTAGCTGACCATCAAAAGAACCCTGTTCCGTGCAGCATTTATGACGTCGCATTGCTGCGCCATAGGTTGTTTGCTGAAGGCCAGCTGCATTTCGCACGCAAAATGGCGGGTATCAATCATGTGCTCTGAGCCTTCTCCGTCGTACCGTCCCCATCGGAACTTTATGTGCAAAAGCGCGTAGATGTCGTTATCCAGTGGTCCGCCGGTCAGGCTGGGTCTGCGATTGCCGTACCAATTGGCATATAGGGTCACTGCAATAGAAATTGCTAACCAAAACTATTCACCAAGCAGGCACATAAGCTGCTTTTGCTTTTTAATATTCGATCTAAGTTTTGGTACTTGTCCGTCTAAATGTAGTAGATTCTTAAACCCATCATTACTACCATGTATTAATGCATATTTTTCAGGGCATCTTCTCAGAATTGTATTACCGTTTTGTAGTTGTATACATTTACACATCACTGGTAATTTTTTCGTTGATCTTAAGTCTTTTGGTGTATAATTATTGATATAAGTTCTTTTTTTGTTGTTGAGTATTCTTAATTAGTAGAGCACTGACGTATTGTAAAAAAGGGTAAGCCGATATCTTTTAGAGACTCGTGATTATAGGTAATGATGATTTAAATAGGCTTCGCTTGTAAGCGTTGATAAATAAACATCGTAAACTGAATTGGTTGATTAAAAAAAAACCGTTCCAAAATTTTATGACTTTTTTAAATGAAAAAGCTAAACATGACCTCATTTGATAGTTGAGGCTTTTAAACAATTATATACAAATTTGAAATTTTAAATGCCTTTTAAAAGACTAATATAGTCAAATTTAATATAAAAAAAAAAAACAATTTTATTTTGTTGATTAAAAAAAACTGGTTTCAAAAAAATGGTGACGACGCCGGGTTGTAATTTAATTTTATCTAAGCATAAATTGACCGATTAAAGAGAAATTAGAGCAAAAAGCGTTTTTCAGTCAATGGTACACAAAAATGATTAACATTTGGCTAAAAATAATAAGCAATCAGAAGTAGGAAAAAACACATTCCTATCAGTTGATGTATAATTGGTTGCGTACACAATATTTTCACTGAATACATTATAGGAAGGAAGACCAATTCCATCGAATACACGTGAGTATAGCAAGTAAAACCGTTTTCTAATCCCACTCGACAAAATACATTCCAATATCGTAATCGCAAAACAGTTATCTCCAGACGGCTGAATCTTGGTTTTATAGTAGAACATTAGATTTTCTTATATTTTGGTACCACCTAGCATATTTCGCTTATTAGTACACGGCAAAGCACAACAAAGCCAAGCTTAAGCACGAGTTTACGTTAAAAGCTGCCTTAACCGTTCAATCCCGTGTTGTAAATTTTTATGTCGTAGGGTTGGGAACTGAATTCATCGGAAAACTGTAACGGTCGTATTTCTGACGGAACGTTTATGGCTGAAACTACCGAAAGGTTGATCGGAGACTGTCTTTGACCTCCGGCTTCAGTGTAGTACAGTTTCCATACCGCCGGACCTACAAGGTCCGCAAGAAAAATTGCAACTTTCAGGAACCTGGCTCTAATTGTTTACCGTTATCGCTCTGATATCCGTAATGCACCAATTTGTTATCGCCACCACCGTAGATGTAAACTTTGTTGAGCAAGTCGTTGAAATAGAGGGCACCCAAAACGCACGCGCCCACGAAGACGTAATAAAATAATCCGAGCTTGTCTGGCAAATACGGAGAAATGTAGTCCATGACGAAAATTTGGAGCATATGCAAAATTGACAGTTGTTGACAACACCGGTGGGTAATCAGTGTCAAAGAAACCTTATTTGTTGTGCCGCCCATATAGCTACTGGACATATGGAGCCAACACCCACGTCGGCGTCAGTATAATTCTGCCATTAATTTGGCGTTTTTGTTCTTCAAGCCCTGTAGATAGGATGCAATTTCTATATGTATTTTTTTATGTAACCTATTTTTTTTTGTAAATCGAAGTAAAGCGTTAGTTTTCATATACTTATAGGATTTAACTGCGTTGAAATAACGGGATGTTTCTTATACTTTTAAAAATTTAACTTGTAGCTCAATTGCTTTCTTATAGGTATTTACTGTAATTCTTATACACTACCCAAACATCCTTCGTAGCTATTTAAGTGTACCTAAAATGTAGGCAATTCTGTTTGGTAAATTCACATATAAATATTTGTGCAAGTCTATTTTACAGTGTGTTAAATGTCAAATATATTGGCATAACTGTTTTTCTAAGATCATATTAGGTCCTTATGAAAGAACAAAGTATCGAAAGCACAAATTATAAAAGTTTGAAAACAACAATGAAAACAACAATGGCTCAGTGGCCCACTCGAAAAAAGGTGGAAAGTAGTTTCGGATGGGACATCTTCCACAATTTTTCTTTATGTTCCGATTTTGCGCATTGAAGAGTTACGAATTTGAAAAGAATTGAAAATTGATATTGGAAATAGATTTACCTTCACATTTAACGCTTGTTATAATGATGAAAACGGTGGACACGCTTAAATGGTAAAACATCGAGTTTAGTCACGAAGCCGCAATTTCTTCTTTTACCGTTAATAATTGTTCTTAAGAAAAACGCCATTGCTTGGAATTGGAATTTATAAACCAAGTTAATTTTTTTTCGATTATCTGGAAAATATTAGAAAAGTCTGTTTTACACTTTCCTACTTGAGCTACAAGCACGGCAGTCTTAAATTGTTGCAAATGTGGCGTCGTTTTCTTGCATCCTCCAGTGACGAAACCTTTACTAAATAAACATCCTATTTACCTCACGCTACCTCAAATAATAATTAATACGGTAGTGCATGTAGCGGATTAAATTTCTGCAAACAAAGAGCGTCTTTTATTTCAATTATCAACGGATACTCCGTGGCTGAATGCTAATTCTAAAAGAAAACACGTGATTATAACATATTAAATTTGGTCAAATATTTGAGGTTTGCGCTCGATTATAATCAGCAACTCGAGATTCTCATCAGACGAGGTGTGTGAGATCCGTAACGTATGTTGACTTGTAAAACGCGTCATTTTATTGATAACCATTCCATGTAAGCCTGTTCGTATGTGCTTAAAAAGATGTTAATTGTTTATGCCACTAAACAAATTGTTAAGGAAATATTTACTTTCGTTTGATACGCACTACTTAAAATTCCTGGTCTATCAAAGACACTCCAAATTGGCTTTTTATAAGACTAATTTTTCAAGTCAAATTAGAATTATGGTTATATTGCCAATTCCTTATAAAATGATTAGCGGTTAATACCTACGTCTCGCCTTGCCCTCGCCAAGTGTCAAGACGGAACGATACGGAAACATACAAGGTGATACCTGCACATCCGCAATGTAATATGATCTGATCTTCAGTAAGAACACCATTAGTTTCTTTTTTACTTAATTTTTTATACGTCTTTTAAAAAAAGACACATTGTTATTCTTCAAAATAATAATTCTAATTCAAACTAATTTTCTTTTCTTGTTTTTTTAATTATTGTTAGTTTTACTTAAGCAATCAAGCAGAAGAAGAATTAAAAAAATAATGTTAAATTACTTCAACTTAAATGCGTTGGTATCTGCCAAGGTGTACTTATTTCAAGCGCTACTTCTAGAACTTTTTCCAACCAACCATTTCTGTCAACGAAAATAACCAAAAAACAATGGGGAATCCCCTAAAGGCCTTGATAACTGCAGGGTCAGCTCGGCCGACAATAAAGTAGAGTTCAGTTCAGTTCAGTCCATCTTTATCGAGAATATTTTTGAATGAGTTTTGGTTAGTTCAAATAGTCCTTAACCAAACACCTTTTGCCTGTTATTATTGGACAATTATTGATAAAAGTTCACCCCGTATAACAAAATTAAAATTAGGGAACATCGAATTACGTCACACGACAATTTTTACACTTTTTTTATACGCCCGGGGGGATTATCTTGGATCGACGTTAATCCTGCCGGATGGCAAAAATAATATTTGTGGTTGTTCGATACGGTGATGCACGGGCGTTTCCAATTAGTGCCTTGCGGAAGTCGATCAACGCAATACTACAATTTCAAAATGGGAAAAAGGAAGCGTAAGATTCAAGAGGTTGAAAATATTTCCAAGAAGGAGGCTGTGGTAGATGAGAAAAAACACGTCAAGAACGAGACGTCACCTGACGAACCCGTAGCCAAACGTTTACGCAAGGATGTGAAGATTCGCGAGCAAACGCAAAAGAAAAGCGTCCTTTCGAAGAACAAAAAGCGGCCCATCAGTAAACCAATTAAGAAACGCAGTGAGTACTTTGGAGAGAAATATTTTATTAAATATGATTTTCCTCGGTTTCAAACTCTCTAGGCCAAGTACTAATTTGTTCGGTTTGCTAGAGATTAGCGATAATGGTATTAATTGTTTTATGGCACTAAATGCCGGCCGCATTTTCTTTTTTTTTTTTGATGGTTCAAATAATAAATCTTTCATTGAAGTAAGCGTCATGCAAATAACCGTAAGTACGGTCGTATTAACGGAGATAATAATCACTGCCTTTCGTGGTGACGTCATTGTTGTTTTTCTAAAACATAGTCCAACTGGTCTCGTAGTTTTTGGTACAATCTGTATCAAAATCTTGTTTTTTTTATCAAATACAAATTGATAATATCCATATAATATACTTGGATAACAAAGTTATTATAACAACTTTCCAGAAATCCTTTATGGCGTCCATAAAATACGATACGATAGGCGTGCTAGTTCAATTACCCACAGGAAGGTGACGCTGTTTTAATAGGATGGTGCTAAATTGTACGATACGATAAGTGGAGAGTGACGTCATCGAGAGTAATTTTTGCTTACAAAATATAAATTAAGAAAAAAGAAAAAAAATGCGTCGTCGATCTCAGAACGACCCTTTATGACAACTTGGTCAATGATGTCACATAATGCATAAAGTTAATTTGGTACAGCGCAAATATTGCCCACACAGCTGTCAAAGCTTGGTAGACATATTTTTTATGTCTATGGACTTATACAAGAAGTATAGAATAATGAAAAAGAAAACAGAGCAATTGAAAAAATATTAGGGATACTTTTGGATCAGTTAAAGTAACATCAAAAGCTACTAAAGAATGAATTTAATGTTGAACTAATTCTAATAGATATTTGTTTCAATTCTTTTGTGCAGATCATTTTAAGATTTGTAATAACTAGGAAGTGCTTAAAGAAAACTTAATTTAGACAGTTGAACGGCATTAATTTTGGTTTGGTAGACAACATTAGATGCATCGTTCAATTCAAAGCTTAATATTCTCGACCAAATTGTCGCATAAGCCTTACATGTTGCAATTAATTAAGAGTTCCCTGTCACTGTGTTCATAAACAATAATTTACAAATCGATTTAATAATAACCAGTAATTTCTGGTACCAAGACAAACCACCCACAACATTCGAAATAACAAAACTAAACAATGTAAGAAAATAGGAAAACAAGGATTAGGCCGAAAACCGATAAAATAACCACAGCCAACGTTACTTCAGTTTGTCGTAGTTAAAGTACACTGCTATTCTTATTTGGTTTCATTGCGCATGCGTCAAAATAACGTTAACTGTAGAAATAATTGTTTTAATTGACCAAAAATTTCAACACCGAGTAAATTTTCATAAAGAAAGATTGGTACAACTTTAGTCTACCAGTAAATTTGTTTATAAAATGCTCTGGCAGTATTTCCTTCTTCTTCCCGTGCCTTCTTTTAGCTGGACACTGATCCATCTAATTATATTTGATGCTGACGTCATTTCTGTCCATTATCTTAGTCTTAGGTTTAAGTTGGTTAAGTTTGCAACCTCTCTTTGTTTTCTAATATGTTGTAGGACGTCTTCATTGTTTAAGTAGCACCACATCTCAAATGCTTATGGTTCCAAACGTTTACATGCAGCGTTGTGCAGGCCCATCTTAAAGTTATATTATTATTTATTTGTTTCCATTTGTTGTTAATACATGTGCAGCATACAACGTGTAATTTTGTCGTAACATGTTCATGTTCTTCATTACACATATGTCCTTTCCTGCTCAGCATAATGAGCTAAAAAAAACGCTCTCTGTGCTACAATGTGCGTTGGAAGAGTGACAGAAAACTTGGCAAATTGCATACGCCTGGGGGACATGTTAGAGATTCGTGAAAACCCGCCCTGTACGGTCCCTACTGTAGACGTGTGAGTAGCGAGCTTAAAAAGTATTACGTGGCAGCAAGATTCATCTAAAAAGTGCACATCTTTGAACGTTTCCGTCTCTCGTAGGTTTATGGTGGCAAATAATCTCGGAATTTTACACTCCTAATAAAAATGTGTGCGGCAATAAATTAATCGACTTAACAAACAAGTGTCAGTCAAACGAACTTTGCTTGACGGTTAAGTCTGAGCCTTTTAAGGATTTCAAAACGTTGGCGCGTAGAATTTTGGACTCGCATTCCACCGGGTATTGTTAATTAGGTGATAAAATTAAACGCTTAATTGTCTTGCCAAGACACGGAAGGCAGGGCCGGATTCGGAAGGACGGTCGTTAATCTCGGAAGTGGGTAGATGTCTACCGTAACATTGAAGATTCTTCTGGTTATTGGGATATAAACTTAAATAGCAGGTTTCCGTTGAATTAGGTATGGCTTCCAGCCTTCTAAACTAGCTTAGATCGCTCTAAAAATAAGAGCAGCCTGTGGCATTTTTTATTTTATCACATCGTTCCTGCGTTTGAAGCAAAAAGGAATAAGTTATGGGCCACCAGCTGCAGATGTAATTAAAATGTATAAAACGTTTAATTCCTTCAACATTGAAGATTATGAGAATGATGAAACGTTGTAACTACCTTGGGAAAGTTTTTAGTACCTTCTTTGCAGCATTACTCATGATACAAGGTAGCACTCGAGGTTGAGTACTACTGCAATAACTTTTCAAAAAAAAATTAGCTGAACTAGAATGCTATAAGTGAGGAGCAGCAAGGCTATTATCAAAGTAGATCGATGATAGATAATGTATTCATACTGCAGCCAATGATCGAAAAATCGAACAAATTCAACAAGCATGCATGGTAGACCTGAAAAGGGCGTTTGACAGAATGCACGTAGCCCCTACTGCGACAAATTGTCATTTCCGAAGGTTATATATACCTATTAGCAAAACTTAACAAAAACAATCAAATAAAAGAAAAACACAACGATTAACGGAAATGCCAGTTACAACAGAGATTAGACAAAGTGATAGTGATATGGATAGAATCGTACAATGTGTGAAAGAGGCTGAAGAAGGATTGAGAGAATGCATTGAAAATGCTACGCGAAAGATGCAATCTTAACGATTGAAAATGAGCACCACTTGCAAAGAAGGCTACACAAGTTTTACACAACAGTAGCAAGATTCGATATTCAGATATTTACACAACGGTAATAGCAAGAAACCTAATAATATGTAAAATTGTAGTGTTCGACCAACCAACACAGTAGGGTTCGAAAAGTTCCTATTTGGCAGTGGAATAATAAGTCATATCCAGAAATGCAGGATACATGATAGATATAATTTGAAAGAACAAGGACATGACCAATGAGAGCAAGGTCATAATCTATAAGATAGCGGTGAGACCAGTGCTAACATACGATGTAGAAACGAGGGCAGAAACGGAGTAAACAAAGACCATAAGCAGAACAACAGAAATGAAGGTGTTAAACGCCATTAAAGGAGTAATATTGAAGGATCAGATAAGATGTGATACATATAGCAGACGTTTTAAAAGATGATATGAGAGATGGTCGTTTCACAGGTAATAGTGAGCCCCTAAAAAAAATCAATTAGAAACGAGCCTATATCTTACGAATAAGAGAAAAAAGAAAAATTAGAATGCAACACGCGTTATGGTGAATCCACTGATCCTTTTCAACGTAACTTCGGCAAGGTTCTTGGCAATCTCATTGTAGCTTTCATTATTATGGAGCATAGTAACATAAGTACTAGAGGTCTATACTCGCGATCAAGATTTCATTGATGAGGATACTATAGCTGAGAATGTGATAAACGATAGCAAATTTAGAATATAAAGACTTATAAATACACGATTTGGGAATGGACTGCGAGTTAAGCTTAGGGCAAATTTGATCTAATTATAAGTTAGTTATTCTAACCTTCTCGTCCAAGTTGATTGGATAACACAGTTGTATTTTTGCTAAGCATGTTCGAGATCTTTAATAGTATATTATGCAACAAGTGCGGTAAACGGCATTTGACTCACGAGTTTATTTAACACGAGCGGAGCGAGTGTTTAATACACGAGTGACTTAAAAAGTTTACCCAACGTTTTGCATACTATACTTTTTCTACGACCGTTAGTTTTTGGGTATATTTTCGCAAAACAACACGAATACATTCACTGACATGAGCGTCAGAATTGACAAACGTCAAAATTCGAGGCGTGGGAAATATCTCTGAAAACATCCGATTGCCCTCAAACCCGTGCGGTAAAACCCCGGAAATGTCCGAAGTGACTCGGATCCATGGGAAACGAAACTAACGTGGTAAAGTGACTACGCGCTAGATCGGTGTGTAATTAGGTATTTTACAGACTTTAAAGGTCGCTTTCATGGACAAATTTAAGCCTGGCCTGAGATAGCTCCGGACCTTTAACATCCATGATCTACTTACGTATCCATTGCTAACCTGTGCAAAATACTGAATCAAACTATGCCGGTGTAGATGGAAGAAGTAGAAAGCTACCCCAAAACCCTTACATATCAAGTATCGGTGCAGAATTTCAATAAAATAGTTTCCCTGGGTGGCATTGCGAGGAAGAAGAAGATCTAGAAAACGATGCACGTTATGGTGAACCCATTGTTTCTTTTCAAATGGGTACCCTACTTCGGCAACGTTCTTGGTACCGTCCTTGTGGAGATTGATACTAGAGATTCAGATTTGATTGATGGAGATACCCAAAAATTATGTCTAAATAATATTGCGATAAACGATAGTAATTTAGAATATATTACTTATAAATACACGACCTGGGAAGAGACTGCGAGTAAGGCTTGGGACAAATAAGTTGGTTAGATAAAACAATTTTATTTTTAACAAATCATAACACCGTTATACTATAATTTGTTGAGATCTTTTAAAACAATTCCCTTTACTAGAATTGTAAGTTCGCTTTCATGAACAAGTTTAAGCCTGGCCAGAACTTCTAAATGCTTGATCTACCTGTGTGACAATCTTTGTAAAATACTGAAGAACAAGGAGAAAAGTACACTTACATATCAAGTATCGTAGTATCAATGCGCCCTAAAAAGTCATTCGAAGGACAAAACGTTTTGAACACGCAGTTAGAACGCTTTTAAAATTTGAGTTTATCGCTTTTTCTCGCGTTACGACCCTGTTTATCGACAAGTACCATTCACGACCGCGAAGATTAAGATTTATTCACTACTCAGTCACGCTGTAAGTCCAGGAGGATCCAAAGCGCGTGCGCAGTGTCCACGCGACCTTAAAAACCACTCTTAGACTCCACATGCACGCCAGTTGTTGGTAAACAGTCTGAGCGCGCAACGATAGCGTTAAATTATATACCGTTAATTTACCGGGTGAAGTAACTTGTAAAATGACAGGACCAAATGTTGCAGGGGTCACCAAGAACGAGTGCATCTGCGCTTCCGACGAAGAGCCTGAACAGTCGCAATTGGTGGGTAAGTGCATTTTTGGGTCATCATTTATAAGAAATAAAGACGCGGACAATTATGGAAGTATAAGGTACTTCGGACTGAAGTGCTTCATGTACCTGAAGGTTGCAGGTATAAACCGGCTTAGCAAAGTATTTGAGAGGCGGAATATTGTATCAGATTTTTATTTTTGACCGTTTATTTTGGGATAATGCGTGAATTTTAATGCCGATAAACATATAAAACGGAAATATCGCAAACTAAAATTTTATAAAAAAAACATTAAACATACAAACATACAAATAAAGATTTTTTTCATTGCAAATAAAGTAAATTCCATAATGCATTATAGTAATGGCTATTTTGAAACAGAGGATAAGACAGCGAAAATTTTATAAAAAAAAATTAAACATACAAAAATCCAAAAAAAATTTTTTGATTTCAAACTTGAGTTTTTTTACTTAACATCTATAGACGTCAAGTAAAAAAGTAAATTCGATAATGCATTATAGTAATGACTATTTTGAGACAGAGAACCAGCCTATAAAGTTTGGCAGAGGCTTTCGTCAACATCCTCTGTAAATAACCCTCATATCTCGATTGGGTGATCACCCTGTACCAGCCGAGGCGAGACAGGATTTCCCACTTAACGTCTAGATTCGTCACTCTACGAGCCTTATTATTTACATGTGAAGTCGGAGTGCATAATTATTGCTTCGACGGAAAGTAAGCTAAAAATAATTGTAACTCGTATTAAACTATCTCTAGATGGTGCGATTGCTACAGCTTTTTATACTTCTACACTGCGGTGAGGGATAGGCGGGTAATTAGTCATTTCAAACGGGTTCCGAATTGCGACAGATGAGAATGTAGTTGCGAGAAATATGTTTCCATTGCCTAGATTTTTTGCTACAAAAAAACATATAACAGATGAATTCGATCTGACAAAACTGAGAGCGCAGACATAGCAGATATTTGTATGCATTGGGAAATGTGTTCTGAAGTAATGAAGACATTCAGGGTGGAAATGAATTTATCAGGTCTTTAGCCAGTGTGTGACATTAATAAGGGTGATTACATATATATATATATATATATATATATATATATATATATATATATATATATATATATATATATATATATATATATATATATATATAAATATATATATTTCACGGAACTGAAAAACAACTAATTGCAAAAGAAAAGTATTAAAGTTGGGACAGTTTTTATCTTATGAGAATCTCGTGTCATAAAACTAATGTTATTATTTGCTGTTGGCGATTCTGTTTACTTCAAGATTTTTTATTCAAACACACAATGTGCCAAATTCAAAATGCCACATGTGATATTGTCAAAAGGTTTGTGGTGTTTTATCGAACCATATCGGTCCATATGGGAACTTTTGATGTTCAACCCTTCGATAATGTTATTTAACAACGCAAGTATATATTTCGCCGTCCCTTTCACAACTATGTGGTTTTTCGGAAATTATTTTAGGAAACGCGTATATATCAATGGTATTATAAATACGTTCTAGTCTACTAAGAACTCATTCAAATAAAAAATTTTCAATGTAGAAGACCACGAAGCTCACGTGTTGGTAGCGGAATGGAGATTGCACAAGTTCCAGTCGCCCATAGAGCTGAAACACGACGATAGCATTCATCACGACCACTTTGAGCCGTTGGAATTCCACGGGCACTGGGACAAAGGGGGCAAAGCTTTTTTGAAAAACACTGGCAAAACGGGTAAGAAACACGCACAATATCGATTCTTAAAGGGTGTGCCAGTTGGTGAAAGTTTGGTTTGTGGAATATTTATAATGCATAGGAAAAACCCACTGCGCGATTTTTCAAAGACCCACTCCGGCGAAAGTGCTGATGGGTGTTTAGATAGAGAGATAATGAATCCGGTCTAAAATTGCGTAATAATTTGTGTGTCGTAGAAAGTGCTGATGGGTGTCTAGATATAAAGATAACAAATTCTGTTAAAAATCCTGTAAGCGGCGCTTTTTTCGAAAAGTTACAGATTGTTGCGCGGCATTTTAATCACTTTAATTCGTTAAATACCTTAAATCCCATGGAAGAATCATTTGATTGCTGTAGATAACAGTAACGCAAGGTCTCGTAAATTTTTCGATAAGATTGCAGTAAATCCCGGACAAACCGAAGAATGACGAATTATGTTTTTTTGTTTCAGCCGTACTGCGTTTTGAGAGTCGAGAACTACCCGTGTTGGTCGGCGGGCCGCTTCACGAAGACACCTACGTTTTTGAGCAGCTTCATTTTCACTGGAGCGCCGATGATACCAGCGGTTGTGAACATATCTTCGAGGGCAGAGCGTAAGTATTTTGTTTTCATAGATTTAACAGTTTCTCGAAATAATTTCGTAGTCATGGGTTTGTAGAATCCGCAAAATGCGGTTATGCATTAAATTTTTACATCGCTTTGAAATTTGACATTGGAAAAAACTGATTGTTGGTTTAATGCTAATGCTAATGTTTATTTTGAGTTAGATGGGGAAACCCCCTATTACACAGGGCGTTTTGCTAATTGAATGTCAATATTTGCAGACTGATATGGTAAACAAATCATTTTTTAATAAAATATACCACGCTAACACTATAGATGCGTCAATGAAATTTTGCAGATACGCTGCTTGGATTTCTTTTCATTTAGCGTTTGACAATTGATGGTACGTTGCGGTTCTCTCCTAGAACAAAAATCGCTTTTAAAATACAATTTTCGGTTAAAAAAACACATGATGATTTCTTCGGAACCGCCTTTCCAGCGTTACTTATTGTTTCATGATGTTGAAGTTAATGGGAAATGCACCTTTTAGCAGTTCCGCTCGGCTTTTAATACCTATTAATAAAAATTAAAATTTTCAATTTATTTCCTATTAAAATAAGCAAAATAAGAACCTTTTCTTTCAACCTTGAGTGTTTATTACGAAGGTGTTCCTGCGTTGTTGTTAACAATGACCATATTAGGTATACAGGGTGTTATAATAATGCAGGTCAATCCTATAACTATATTCCTAAAATTATGTTATTTTCCATATGTATTTTTCCTTTTGAACCTTTTGTTTTCAACACACGAGGTATTATAGTTTTCAAGATGCATATTTAATAATAGCTCAGGTGTATTTTGAGATATATTTTTTAAATTTTTTGTAGTTAGGTTGATAGTTTGTCTAACTTTGTTGTCTCTTGTAAAATTTCGATTTGAGCTTCTGTGTTACGATTCTTTATCACCTTATATATTGAATACAGACGTTTAAATGTCGACACGAGGACAGTCCTATTACTTTTTGATTGATCCGCTTTTTTGCGACACTGCGTTTATAATAATTTTTCGAGGGAGAATTAAAAAGGCTTCAGTTTTTTTAAATTAGTTTTTCTAAAACTCGACGCACGCCCATGACCTTCATATGTTTACGTCTATCTTTATTTATACTTAGCCACTTGATATAACTTTACCATTAACAGCAAATAATCAATTAAAAGGTATAGATTATAAAATTGCCGCTGCATTAAATTTTCTGCAATGTGGAGTAAATTAAAAATAACTGTTATTACATAAGGCCTATTTTTAAAATATTCTATTTCCTGTATGTCATATTTTCGCCAGTGGCAACCGCGGTAAGGAAGATCGTTTCAGTTTATTTTGACTTACTAAAAGTCGTAAAACCAGTCAAACTGTTTGATTTAAAACAAAATTCACTTCACATTTCGTAAGATCACCAACAAGTAAACGTTCGAATATTGCTTCAAAATGTCGATCACGGAAAAATGATATCACGAAAACTGAGTTACAAAATAAATTAATAATATCTATAATTCAATAAATCAAAATTTTTGGCAATAAAAAATGCCACTCAAGTGCGATGTTCTTGAAACTTCTTTAGTCCTTCTAATCGTTTCAACATTTTAATATTATGTGTAGATCGTTTTCCAAGGTTTTCTTTTCAAAGTTAAATATTTTTTTTACGGGGCCACGATCGATATTGGCTGTAGTAATAACATTTTTAACGCTAATTCAGGCAAATCACCTATTGTTCAATTACTCGGTTTTTATGTAACCTTGGCTCGTGTTATTACTGACGCCTTTTTCCAGTAAGAACGGGTTTTCGTCGAAACGGATGGGTCGACTGGTAACCACGGGAGCTCATTTGCGGTCAACGCGTTTTAAATTTCAAGCTTAACACAATAAACAATCATTGACCACAAAATAAATAACGGCAACCACAAAGATGATCGCGTACTTTCAGGTATTCAATGGAAGCCCACGCCGTCCACTACAACACGAAGTATGCAGATTTCGATGAGGCCCACGACAAACCGGATGGATTGGCTGTGGTCGGGTTCTTCTTGGAAGCCACGGACAACGAAGACAACCCTTGTTTTAATAAGTTGACCAACGCGGTCAAAAAGATCGTCGAAATTGGATCCATGACGTGCGTTCCGACCGACTGTCTGACGTGGATTAAAGAGGAAGCCCAGTGCAAGGGGTATTACACCTACCAGGGTTCTTTGACGACGGAACCCTACACGGAGAGTGTCACGTGGATCCTTTATCCTACGCCGATTCACGTGTCACGCGAACAGGTCAGTGACATATCTGTTTTCAGTATAGTTGGTCTCAAAGTATATCTTGTTGGTTTTTGCTGGGATTTATCGGAGTGAGCGGCCGACTCCAATAAAACTGCGAACCTGTAGGTATGGTATGACGTCAATTATCGAAATAACCTAGCGACGGCAATAGAACACGTGACCAGTGATATTTTGAGATAGAGCAGAGCAGATACTTTTGAGTAGTTTATTATATAGCCCTGCTCGCAAAAATATTGAAGACGTACTTAATTGTAAACACAGAGGTACGAAAGTATGAGATCTCCATGATGAAAATTTCATGGGTCAGTCTAAAATCGAATGGCGAAGTACTTCAGATTCTCGGCGAGTAAAGAAATCTGTTCATCACTGCAAAGAAAAGAAAAATTGAGAATTTCGGCTATATGAATATAATAATACAAAATGGCTGGCCTCTAAGAAACTTTAGAAGCTTTCATTAGCAAATGAACGGGACTAACGGCAGAACAACTTTTCCATACAGCACTGGACAGATAGCATAAAAAGAAGATCTGATAGGAAATACGATAACACTAAATATTTACAAATTATTAATAATTGTCCAAATAAGTACGAAAAGCACCTTAAATCGGGTTATCAGTCGATATCTCCACGACTCGCTCTTGCCTTGTCACTTACGCGTAAATAAATTATTGTTTGTTGGGTTTACCCAGTAACAGTATGTATAAAGGTTGTTTTAGGAGCATCCCTCAAAAGCCAAGACGATATACCTTGAAGCACACCTTACCTGACCTACTTCTGATTTATTTATTGATGTGTTTACCCAATAACAGTAGGTAATGAATTCGTCTATCGGGCATAATATTACAAAATGATAATTTCTTGCTGTCCCTATAGACTTTTTGCAAGTACTCACGATGTTGAGCAAACCTTTTATAGGAATTAACAATTCACCGACTTTGCTGGCGTGAATAAAATTACGAATAATTTAACGTGTAAATAATGAAGTTTATGTAACCTATTTGCGTAGAAATTCAGGAAAAAACGTCAATAAATTAACTCGATTTGTTTATTAAATTTCAGCAGAAATCTGCGTAAAAATTGGAAAAACCCCTCGCCCAGCTCAATAATAGTAATTGTCCTTTTGTACACATTGCTTTTACTGTAGGTAAATAAAAGGCAACCAATAATTTATTTTTTAGAAGAAATTGGATTTCTGAAATTTACAAAACTACGCACTATTGTATTTATAAGAGCTTTTTTTAAGATTTTAAAAGTAATTTAACAAGCAACCAGAACTAACCAAAGCTATGCTGTGGCTATGTTGTGCTGACCAACGGTGACAATTTACAAGATTTGATGATTTTTTTTTCAAATTTTAGTTGGATGCGATAATCATTTCAATCGCCTATTCTGTGCCCGAAAATAGAGAAAAACGTTTTACAGGGTGTGAAATACCTGAGTACGTCTTTTGGTAAACATTTTCGAAAACTGGAAAGGGAGTAAATAAAATTTGATGTAGTTGCTAAACTCTTTGCGCTCTAGGGACTGAAAGGAAGAAAGGAAGTTCCAATCTTTTTGCAAAGCAGAATGTTTACAGTGCCGAGATAATAAAATTATTCTTTTTTTTAATGTCATTTGAAATGTTTTTTTTGATCTATGTGCAAACGATTACACTAGGCCTAGAAGTAAAATTGTTTGAATAGGTTCATAAATAAAAAGCTTTGCGAGATTCAATCGCGACTCGAATTTGATTTTCAGGTGGCTTACTTCAGAAACATGAAATCCAACGAGAAAACGACCATCGTTAATAACGTGAGACCCCTTCAGACTCCGCCGGAACACAAAAAACTAAACATCATTTACGCGCGGTCGCACAGGAAGAGCGAATAATTTTTGACAGTAGTACCAACGTTGGCACAATGTTATCGCTGCTATAAAGGCAAATGGGATTGCGGTGGGCGTCGCATATGCCGGCTGCAAACCGAGTCACCCAGCGCTGTCCTTCATTTTACGCCATCGGGAAACTGTATTAAGTAAATAAAAACCGGCACTTAATCACAGACAGATTTTTCTTTAACACTGTGTATATCGATGTACTTAATATATTTTTCAACGAAAACTATTTCTTTAATTTTCATCAGCGTCCAAAAAATAAAATATATCGCTTGATTTTCTATCACCGATGTCCAAATCTGCCGGTTCTTCAGACCTGAAAATTTTCTCTCCGTTCGAATACTTTTGAAGATCTTCCATGACTTCGAAATCAGTGGCGCTCGTTTGGGCAGCCTGGTCTGTCAAGAGAAACGGAAGTGTGTCAGTTTTGAGGCTTTCGGATGAAAACACACTTGAAACGGAGCAGATTGTCTCTTCCTTTCTGTCACAAATCGAACTTGTTTCCTCTACAAAGTACTTTTTCTTCTTTTCGCCGTAGTCGCTGCCGCTTTTATTTTCATTCTCAAATCCGTCGCTTCCAAATCTGGCCTTGCGGGCTTCCCAGAGCACACGGTAGGGTACCAACGTTCGACCTTTATTCGCTTCAATGGTGTCCACCAACATCTCCACTGCGCCGCGCAGATTTACGTAGACGGTAATATATTTCTCTTCGTAGTTAGCGATATCTTTCTTGCCTAGCAATCGGGAAGAATACGATTTCCCTGCCAGGGGTGCCACTGCATTTGGAGAAACTTCCTCTACGAATGGATCGATTTCAGTGTAATTGAATTTGTACAAAGTGTTTGACCTTTCTTTCGCGTTTCTAGATCTGTTGCCGCTCTTCGATGTCCTTCTCGCCTCTGTGCAGAAATAACTTTTGAAAACTTCGTTTACATTAGCAGGGTCAATGTTCTTCAGTAGTTCCGACTTGGGCCTTGATTCGGACCTGTCGTCTCCTTCACGAGCAATCCGTTTGGTTTTATTGACGCAGGTCTCGTCCAGTATTTCAAATACCATCCTATCCCTGAATTTCTCAACCGTAGTTAAATCTATCTTTTGGTCTTTGGGATACTTAACCTCACTTTGTTTTTTTCCGCTTTTGGCATCGATATCGTCTAACTCCATAAAGGCCTTATTGAGATACGTCTTTATAATGGTGTAACATAGAAAGTACTTTATACGTTGTTTGTTTGGCCTTGCCGAAGGTCTAACCAATTTCTGGATAATCCCTTGGAGCCTTTTAGTATGCGAGTCAAGCTGTGAACGACTGCGTATATGCCTATCTAACGCGTCTCGATTTCTAGCAACTCTCTTTATATCAGCAATGCAAAAATTCCATTCCGGGGGATCGGTAGTTTGTCTAACATCTTGATAAAATTGGTTCAGCTCGGAGATAAGTTGTGCATCGTAAGAATATTTCGGCTCCCAAACGTATACGTTCTTATACAAATTGCTGCTTTCAAACAGTTCCCTCTCGGTGATCTCGTACGACACGGATACAGTGTCCGAGTAGTAGCTACATCGGTTCAAAACTTCTCTTATTACATCCTGAACTATGGTGTGGGTCGCTCGTTGATCGAGTACATTAGTTATCATATTTGCCCTAGCTTCCATGTCTTTAACGAAAACGAATCCTTGAAGTGCAATGAGAAGCCGTGTATCTTCGGTCCACATTCTCGGAAGGGTGGTGAGTTCCCAGTGCTCGAAATAGCTGCCAGGTTTTCTCGCGACGAACCAAAATGGTACGCGGGTGCTTTCTCCGGGCAAAAGCAGCAACTCATTTTTGTTGAAACAGAAGGGGTAAAATATTGCCGAGTCGCGCGCAAACTCGCGAAAAAGTCGCAGTTTCTTGTACTGGTTCCAATAGAATCGCAAGGTCACCCTGCCCGTGTTCTCTAAAAGAACAGATTTCTCCGAAGACTTTATGGAGTCTGTATTTCTTTCAAATATAAGGTTTAGTGTGCAATGATATTTGAGTGAGGGACTATCTTCGTAGTACTCTGTGTTGTTTAATTTGAACGCCACTCTTTTTGCAACTGGTTTTTCGACAATTCTTTCAAAAATAGCGTCGTGGTTGTCGATGTCCTCACATTCCACGCTGATGTCTTTCGCCTGACCGATTCTGTGACCTACTAAAATCAGCTCATCCACCTCCGGTTTGTGCGGTCGAATCGTTTTAATGCGCGACGAATTTTTCTGCATTGCTTCCTTCCTGTATTTGTTGCTCTTCCATGTCTCGTAGAGGCTTCTAAAGCACAACCATACATTCAACTGCTAAACCAGAAATAATGACTTGTGCTCGTACCTAGACCTGGGCAGTACGTCTTTCTCGTGGAGCACACTCTTGGGCAAACCAACGTATACCGTTTCAGGAATTTCATTCTTCTCTTCCTTGGTCTTTACGACGGAATACTCGGACGGTCCGTAAGAGTCTTTACTTCGCAATGACGTCGGGAGATTCCAAAAGTTCGGGTTCCCCCTTAGCCGATCGAAACGAGTTTCGATTCTTGTATATGTCATCATAAGTTTTTCTTCTTTAACGTTCCTGTATTCCTCGGCGATGTTCATTATCAGGTCCCCCGACTGCCTTCCCAATTTCGCCAATTTCTCGTGAACTTTTTTCCTTCTTCCCATCCATCGTTCCCAGTTCTTCAAATGACCTTGAGGACGCGCTGACTCTTCGTAAGTATCCCTCTTCTTCAGCGGCGACATTTCAGTCACAACGTCATCTCTTTGGCATGTTCCATAAATTATGAGTACTATGTCAGACGAACAATGCAATGCAACTTTAGCGGAACGAGAAGAATTCTCGAAAGCTATGAGCGACGTACCACTCATATGGGACCTCTTGAACACGGAACAAGTATTTGAATCGCCCATAGATATCAATCTGTCTCAAACGACGCCGTTGGATTTACCTCCGCTAAAGTGGGAAAACTTCGGAATACCTCCAAGGAAAATGAAAGTGACCAATACGGGTCATACAGGTATTCCAGGACGATCATTGCAATTAGCGCTAGTCCGATTCTTAGTAATTTTAAGTGCCAAGTGGGGACAGGAGCGACCTTACCTCACTGATGGTCCTCTTGTCGGCAAGTACGTCTTTTCCCAATTGCATCTGCATTGGGGCACCAACGACATGGAGGGCAGCGAGCATACAGTCGACGGCGGGCACCTTCCAGGGGAAATGCACGTGGTCACCTTCAAGAGTTGCTATTTGACACAAGAATCTGCGCTAAAAGAAAAAGATGGGATTGTGATCTTGGTTTATATGTTGAAGGTAGTATTCGTAGGTTATTGGCTCCACTAAACTTAAGGTGCCGTTTTAGCTTCAAGAAAAACCAAATGTAGTTTTCCAGCGTCTAGTAGAAGCGCTTAAGGATGTGACGCAAGCGCATACGTCCAAGAAAATAGAGCCATTTGCACTGAGTTATTTGGTGAGGGAGTTCGTGGTGGACTATTTTACGTACTGCGGATCTGTGTCGACCGACGATTGCATCCATTACGTGATGTGGCTAATAACACGCGTTCCGATAGGTGTGTCATCGACCCAGGTGAGATTTTAAGACTTCTAAAGAATCTATTAATAATGTTTAGCTAGGTGAACTCGCTAAGGAACCTGATGGATGGAGAGGGCAAATTGATCCAGAGAAACTTCAGAGCCACCCAACCAGCTATGGACAGGCCAGTGCTACATGTTTGCCCGTCGACTTCAAAATACTCCACACTACTTCCTGTGCCGAAACCTGACTCCACCACGAGCAGGGAGGACGTAATAAAAATTTACTCCGTGGAAAGATTTTATATCCAAAGTAATGACGAATAGAGTAGTGAAAAATACATTGATGTTGATTTTTTCGTTTAGATTTTTGTACAGAGTAATAATTTTATCGGTCCTGATAGCGTGGTGAGATACTAGTGACATTTTGAAAACTGAGACTGTTTGATTATCTGTTTTTTTTTCTCAATGGCGCGAAAAAAAGTTTGAAAGCAATATGGCGCAAGTTATCTGAGTCGTGTGCGTTTTTGAGAAATTTCTAGTGCAGATTCTTATTTGAAAATTTCACGGTATTAATAATAAAGCACTTTGTTTAACCAGTTTCATAATAATTGAACCGCATTAGTACTTACTAAGTTATAAAGTGCATTCAGCAGTACTAGCCCGCTTTCCTGTCATAAATCTGTCCTTTTTTACTATGCCTTATCCCCTCAAGCCCAAAACAAAACTCAGAAAAATTCACGTTCTTTTCAACCACTTTACGTTCGATCAAGGCTTCAACACAAATTTTAGAAATCACGTGAATATTGCAGTATTGTTAATAATTCAGTTTTAAAACCTCGATGTTTTTTTGATGATTACAGGCCGCACGTACGCCAGGAAAAGTTTTGCTACGCCTTTATTTACCCACCTAGTCCATTATTAGCGGCAAAGCTTTTCGCGGCTTGATCACAGGCGGGGTTAAAATTCTATCCGTTGAAAAAGTGTTTTAATATAAGACAATTTTCGTTTCGGAATGTAAAACAAAATAGTCTGGGTTAGGCAGGTCGTATTGACTGTAGGGTTTGAGATTGTAATTAGATTAAAACGTTAATAACTTAAATTATAACAAGAGAGCAACAAATATTAAGTACCTACTAAAATCTGAGTTTAATTCGAACAATTTTTAAAATATTTTGTTCCATTTATTAAATTAAATTATTAATATTGATTCGCTTAAACTTATGCAAAATTTCTGCTACTACGCCTCTGACTACCAACAGCTCCCAGACCTTACAGTCAGAATATGTAAGTGCCGGAGCCTTGTTGTAAGTCAGTCTATTATGGGATCATGAATCTAACCGAGCAATACTTTAGATACATAAGGTGGCTGATGATTATAGCTGGAATCTGGAGGGTAGACTTTAAAGAACGCTCAGGTTGGAAGAGAAAACTATACCGTATTTACTCGGTACTGATTCAGATGATATGTTTTTCTCCCATGTTATCGTTTTTGTTCATAGTACCAAATTTACTCAAGACCGATCGACCTGCAGGTAATTTTGGTAATTTGAAGTGAAATTCCAAAACTTCAATACGCGCACGGCTTTTCAGTAGATTTTTGCACTGTACATACGAGCCAACCGATAATTTAAGCAAAATTATTGACACTTTTGACCGAAGATTTATATAGCGTATAAAAAAACATTTATTATTTAAGCGTCTTCCCTACTACTGATACTCTAAGTAGGTTTTTTTTGAGCTACCCCTGTATATATTCAATTACTTTTCTGTGAATACCGGCCACAGAATAAACTTCGCGATTTTAAATTAGGATGGTTGGACAGCAGCTATACTTTAATCAGTTCTTATTATGTTATTGTGCGTCTTTTTCAGCAATCAGTAGTATCGGAATCATCATAGTATTTGTGATGATAGTATTTAAAATGCTAATGTGTCAATCAAAACCAATCGTGACGCTTTTACGAGTTGCCTTACGGGCAGATTTTGTGTCGGTTTTGCAGAATAGCAAGGAAATAAAAGCAATTTACGAATGGCACATCAACTTCGACAACAAACTCATTTCGTTGGTTTTGGGAGCAGCGACTTTGGTGGGCGTTCTCATTCCCATATTCGGTAAGATTAGACAAGACGTCATAAATGTTTGTGTGCCAGAAATTAATTTTTCTACTCCCGTCTGTAAAATACATAATTACACACCGATCTAGCGTGCGGGAAGCAGTACTTTACCACGTCAGTTTCGTTTCCCACGGATCTGAGCCACTTCGGACATTTCCGGGATTTTACCGTACGGGTTTGACAGCAATCGGATGTTTTCCGTGATATTTCTCACGCCTTGAATTGTGATGTTTGTCAATTATGACGGCCATGTCAGTGAATGAATTCGTGTTGTTTTGCGAAAATGTACCCAAAAACTATCGCTCGTAGAAAAAGTATACTATGCAACACGTTCGGTAACGCCGCTTACCGCACTTGTTGCATAATTTACTATTTTATAACCAATAAAATTTTTATAGTTGTTGTTGTGAAAGTGAATTTTCAAATCTCGAAAAAATCATTATCTCAGTTATCCTAAACCAAAATTGCAACCGTCTTTTGCCACGATTATTCGATAATAAATAAAATTTGAAATATTGCTAAGGGATATTTACTGCGATAATACTCTCAGATACTGGGATACTGTTACGGTAAATTGATATACTTTTGGTCTACTCTGCCGTGGATCTTATGCCAAACCCTCTATATAAACAAATTTCCGTTATTGAAATTATCGGTATTGTAGGCGATGTGAACTGCTACCATTATTTCAAGGAACACGCCAGAAAGAACATTACCGAAAAACCTCTGTTGGTGAACTATTGGTATCCGTTTGATAGAAATAAATTCTATACGGGAATTTTGATAGATCAGAACATTCGTCCGACCCTTGCGAGCGTTTGCATTGCCATAGTGAGCGCGTTCGTGAATAGCATCATCATTTTCATAAGACTACAACTCAAACTGCTGCAGTACAGTTTTCGGAACTTCCACAAGCTGCACCACGAAGTGCGGAGCACGTCTCACATCTTAAAGATCCTCTGCTTTAAGCACCAGCAACTCATCAAGTACGTTAGCTGCAAGCTGATCGTTAGTTTAGCTGACGCTTACGTTACCGATGTTTCAGATACGTCGAAGACTTGAACGAATCCTTCAGAACTATCATATTTTTAGAGTACCTGGTGTCTTCGATTTCGTTCGCGTCGCAGCTTTATCGGATAACCGTGGTAATGTCATCGAAGAAGTAAAAATAAGCCCAATATTGTGTTCCTTTGTAGGGATCCAGACCATTTTGAATATTGATTTATATGATCATACAACTTCTTACGTTTGCATGGAGCTGCAACGAAATCATTATTCAGGTTAGGATCCAGCGATAGAAACTTTTCCGCCTATCCTTTTAAGGCCCTATCGAATCACGTTATTTTTTCAGAGCGCAGAGTTGGCCGCAGCCCTTTTTGAAAGCGACTGGTACAACTGCGACTCGAAAACGAAAGTTATAGTGCACATAATGATGATGAGGTGTCAGAAGCCACTGTGTCTGCGGAACGGCAGTTTTGGTGTGATGGATTTGGAAGTGGGAGTCTCAGTAAACAGATATGCTTTAAGCTTAAACTCGAACTGAAAAACTTAAATACCCTTTAGATAATGAACCCGAATATTCAGCTGGTCTTCCTTATGTACCGTTTCCATTTCGGAGTATGGCTATCATCATTGCTATTTTAACTTTGGAAGCTACGAGAAGCTACGGTTAAATAAGTCAGATGACGTGACGTGTTCTCAGATTTCTGAACCAAGATATGCCCTCCTTCCAACAGACTCCTAAAATTTTTCCCTGGATTATGAGTTGCCGGATATTATATTTCGGACCTCTCGTGATGTGCGAGATATTGCAGCTTTCCCTATTTCACTTCCTGCAGGATTTCAACATCTTTCCTTATTCTTCCCACAACCTCCACGTTGGTCACATGCTCTGTCCTTGGTATGCTCAACGTCCCACGGTAGGCCCACATCTCGAAAGGTTCTAGTCTTCGCTAGAAGGATGGGTTGAGAGTCCAAGCTTCTACACCATATAAAAGGATTGTGTTCTCAGATCACATGTGACAAACGTTGATTGGAGCCATTACCTTGGTATTACTCCTGTTTCATAGATGTTATTATACGGGGAAGTATCTCGTCCATATGTTGTTTTCCCGTTTTTGGCTGATTTTATTGCTGCTTTTACTTGTTCTTTTAAAATAGTTGCATTGTTAGTGTTGGTATCTATTTGTTCTCTTTGGTCATCAAAAAGGGTTTTGATGTATTTTCCCCATAAAAAATGTAGGATAGAAATATCCATCACAAAATATATGGTTTGTGTAATAATTAGTAATTATTTGACAAAAACTAAACTAAAACTGTGGCCTGTGCCTATATTACTATTGTTACTAAATGCTATACACCGTGTGCCAAATAAAACGATCCGCTATACGATCTGGAAACCCATAGGAGATGTGAAAAAAGTTTTGTACAAAAGTTTCCTGGATTCTTCTGAAGATTTAAAATATTATAATTTTGTTGATACAGGGTGTTCCAAAAGTGTCCCCTGGACATAGACTTTGTTATTTTAAATGGAACACCCTGTGTATTTCGGCATTTTTGGAATCTTTGTTTCCTTCTTAAGAAATTCCTATTCGAATTTTGCATAGTTTATTGAGGAATTGAGGTTATGTGTTTCTTTTTTCATATTTTGGTTGCTCCATATAAAATTCTGTTGTTACGCTACTGATCTAGGTATTGCATCCAAAATTTAACCATAGACTAAGAAGATAGTGCAACATCTTCTCAATCAGTTTGACAGATCAGCTTATGCAAGGTGGTGCCGTTTTGGCACATTCAATTAACAAAATTTCAAGATTTTCAAATGGAACACACTATATTTTTATTCAGATATCAATTCTAGGACAAAAAATAAGGAAAGTTTGTTTCTTTGATGTTATATTTAAAATTTACTTATTTGTTTTTTGTCCTAGTCAATCAATCTGACAGATGTATCTCAGCTTATACAGGGTGTGCTATTAGATAGTTTCAATCTCTCATGATGTAGATAATGAACTATTTAATGTTTCTTTAAATATAAATTCTAAAGAGTTATTAAAGCTGTTAAAGTGTGTAGTATAGAGTTCAAAATTTCCAGTATTAATAGGCACCCTCTATATGTTATGCATATCTGTAGTATTTGCTAATTAAAAAATGCCTAATATTGAAAACAAGTGACCTAATGTGGGCAGCTTCAAATTCAACAAGAATTTATAATTTTATGCTATCTTAAACCTCGAATATATCAAAACGTAAAATTTTAATATAAGATAAATTACAAACTTATTTTTTGTTCTAGAATTGACATCTGAATAAAAATATAGTGTGTTCCATTTGAAAATCTTAAGATTTTGTTAATTGAATTCGTCAAATCGGCACCAACTATTTGGGACACCCTGTATAAGCTGAGACGAATCTGTCAAACTGATTGAGTAGGTTTTCCTCTCCATAGTCTGTGGTTAAATGTTCGTTGCAATACCTGTATCAGTAGCTTCACAACATAATTTTATATGGGGCAATCAAAATATGAAAAAAAAACACATAACCTCAATTTTGGCCTAAACTATGCAAAATTCGAGTAGGAGTATCTTAAGAAAGTGACCTTTATTTTAACCAAGGATTCTAAATATGTCGAAATATAGTGGGGACACTTTTGGGACACCCTGCGTCAACAGAATTATAACATTTTAAATATTCAGGGGAGTCCAAAAAACTTTTGTACGAAAATTTTTATCGTAGCACCCATGGGTTCTCAGAGCGTATAGTGAATCGGTTTATTTGGCACACGGTGTACAAATGTGCTGTAGCTTCTTAAAAATGTTCACGGATATTTTCGTTGATAAAAAGGTTTCTGTTTCAGAGACTCAAGCTGGCCTATTCGTACACATCCCTTATGAAAAATGGAGACAATATTGAATAATATCCCAGTAATCTTTATTGTGGTTTTCGTTCAATAAAATGCGTAAATTTAATTTTGAATATTTTAAGTCTTAAAATTCATATTTATATAAATGCGTGTCCAGTGACTTGCTTGGGGATATCGAAACCGTTGATATTATGTTGCTTAACTGATAGTAAAGTTATCTTCCTGTTGCGTACACATATTTCTTGAAATTTTCAAAATTTGAGTTAAGAAGTGATTTTAACAATGTCATCATAAAAAAAATGAACGCTTTTTGTTTGTGTGCTAAATACAAATGTTCTTCATACATTTATAATATTTATTCCGTCAATACATATAATGGAAAATATAACAATTGATGTTTTATATACCTAAATTAGAAAAGAAATAGATAGAAATGATAGTAACCACAGAAATGGGTGTAAAATAGTTTTTGTTACAGACATAATTTGGTATTATCACCGAAATTAATGAGATGGCATGAGAGATGAACAGGTAAGCTAGGATTATATATGTACTATTTTCATTCGTATTCTTTTATCAGTTGTGCTAATATGTCAGCTAATTTGGGCAATTAATATTTTTTAAATTTTATTGAAAATAATTTGTTGGCCGTGACTATAGATTCTTAATGCGAAAGAGTAATAAAATTTGAATTCATAATAACAGAGACCATTAAACAAAGTGAACAATTATTGGTAAAGTTAAGGTAAATTGCAATAATAGTTTTTCATATTTTGGTTTTTAAAACCTACACACCTCGAATCATTTATAAATCAGGATCACACTAACTTGCATACCAATTTGGCGATTAAAAATAATGTAACAGAAGCAGAAAACGAAACATTATTTTTTATGATTTTTGAAAAATATGTTTTTTATATATATACGCTCTGATTAATTTTTTTAAAATTAATATTAAGACAGTTCATTTTAATAAATTTTAATATATTATCAATCATCATTTTAGTTTCAAGTTAAGTTCCGTCAAAAACAACTTCAGATTTTTTTGATTATGGGTTGTTTTGTAAGAGCCGCCAAAGTGCAAAAGTAGTAATAAAAATTATAATTGGTAACTATTAAAATTAAATGAGGTTTGAGACAACAATACAATCTTGATTGGATTACAAATATATGAACAAACAGCAATGGGTGATGTAAAAAGAGAGTCGAAAAAGAAATATTTTCGATGCATAAAACTTTTCCAAGCAAAAACCTGATAAATAATTTAATAGGGGAAATCCCTTGCCGACAACCCTCGTGATTATAGACCGTGTACATTTACTCCTACAAGTTTCCTTACCCTTTTATTAGCGGCAGAACATTCTACAATTTAATCATAGGCGTAGTCAATATATTTTTCCAATAGCATTACATTTTCTTTCATTTTATCATAAAGTAACGTTCAATATCAGATTAATAATAAATCTATTCTGATGCAATTTATAAAATATTTTCTGATCAATAATTTCCGTTTGCTAATTAGCATGTTTAACTAAAGTAATTTTAACTGAATAAACGAATTATAATTTCATATAGATCCCTTAGCACGCCTCTGTTGCCCATCTCTATAAAAAAACGAACGCTTCGTCCATTAGGAATCCAGTAACATTTATGCCTTCATTGCAAATTGGTTATTGCGAATATGAACCTCGGCCCGCAATATTTCAGGTATATCAAGTGGCTGATGGTTGTTGCTGGGATTTGGAGAATTGATATTGAAGAATTTTCAACGGTAAAAAAAAAACTCTACCACTTTTACTCAGTACTGATACAAGTAGTATGTTCGTCTCCGATGTTATCGTTCATGTTTAGTGTACCGACTTTACTCCAAAGAGATACGGCAGCAGGTAATAAGATGACATTCGCGGGCGTTTTTTTTAACTATGCGAGAGAGACTGATTTTAAAATATACAGGGTTATTTACGCTATAAGGCACGAAAAAAAAACTTTTGGAATGTGTAATTATGGTAACTTTTTAAAATAAATTTTATACTATACAGGTTGTCCCAAAAGTGTTAAAAGTGTCAAAGTTGTATTCTTTATGGAACGTCGCCATCTATAATAAAATAAGTGTATGTTTACAGAACGTCTATGATACCTTAATCTTAAGGTTTTTAAGATAATTAAGGTTTTTTAAATAATTTGTTTAATTTGTCAAAATGTAATTTAATTTTAGTCCCTCAAATACAGATCTAAAGTATGTTACCGAAATCTACAGAACAGTTTATAATAATAAAAGGGTGGACAAAAAATTATCTAATGGCAACTTAAAGGGACTATAACTATAACTTGATTAGCTAGTTAGGGTTTAATTCGTCCTGTAGCTAACTATTCGCGTTATAACAGAATACGCGAAATTTTCTTTTTTGGTCTTATCTAATTAAATGTTTCATGGCACCTAGTTGCCTATGGTATTTAGAAATGACAGATAAGTCACTCAGGTGGCTAGTTTCGTCTAGTTTTGCTGTAAGGTCTAGTTCTTAAATGATCTATGAATTTATATATTTTATTTGCATTGATCATCTTTCCTGAGACTTGACATTGGTGTAAATTCTATTATTAGGAGTAAGAGTTAGTGGAGGAATTATAATTTGTAGTATTGTTTGAAACCCATCGATGTGCAACAACTGGATAGGTACTATAAACAATATCATTTTTTAACAATTACAACGTATCAGATTTTTAAAATTTTTACGAAATTTGCAAATATTATCCAAGCTATAGTGACATCTAACTAAAATAAAAATGTGCATTTTTATATTATCTGATGAGGAGGATCCATGTTGTGAACAATTGGTTATGTGTATCTAGTAGTCTATTGCCGTCAAGTCTAGGCACCTGGAGGCAAACTTTTAAATCCTTGTATCCAAAATTGCCATTTAAAAATTGCCGGATGTTTACATTACCTGACAATTTCAAATCATTCAAGTTTTATTGAGAAAATACCAAATTGCGAATTGCGCTAAGACCATAAGATAGTTAATTGAAAATTAAATTTTCTGGGAAGTTAAATGTCACTGATATAATTTAAATATTTATTATGTATTTGTAAAATTGAAATATTTAAGAAACCTTAAGGTATCAAAAATTCTTATCGAATGAGTGAAATACCTTATTTTGACCGTGGAATCAAAAAATACTATAGTAGAAAGAGTATTAAATTAAAAAAATATGTACCGATAATAAGACTTCACTAATTACAGCAGTAAAACTTTTTGAAAAGTTTGTATTTTGCACCGTATAACGTTGATAACCATGTCTATATTGTATGTATGTATTCCCTACGGGAATTAAAATTGTTTAAAATAAAAATTTGGCTTTCTTTATTATAAACTAGCAATAAGTAGCATCGGAATCATCATAATATTTGTGATGATAGTATCGAAAATGCTTATGTGTCAGTCGAGACCCATCATCAGGCTTTTGCGTCTCGCCTTGCAGCCCGACTTTCAGATAACTTCTCCTATTAATGACGATGTACGGGCGATCTGCGATTGGCATATCAACTTCGACAACAAATTGATCTCGCTGCTGGTCGGCTCAGCGACGTTGGTGGGCTTTTGCATACCCATATTTGGTAATGTTCGCACATCAACAACAGAGTAATTTCAAACCCACCATCTTAGATGTTCCCTGGGTTAAAAGAACTATAAACATTGAGCTAATGACTTCTCAATACGTTATGCTCCAAAATGTTGAAAATTAAATATTTAATATAATGATACATTTACATTTTCAACCATTGACTCGTAGCCCATTCAAATGCAGTACTCAAAATTACATTGGAAATGTTTATAAATTTGATGATTCCATTCGATTTGATAGGATGATTCGTTTTTATGTTTCAAAAATGCGATGCACCTTAGTTCAGTGAACTTTATTTAATTTACTTAATTGCAATCTCTCTGCAAAATATTCTTAATTATTTTTTTTGCAAATATTTGCGTCAGAACAGACTTTATATATGTAAATTTAAAACTCGTCATTTTTCAACTTGGTTTGATATATTTATTTATAATTAAGAATGAAAAAACTCTATTGTGAGGATTTTTCGCTTTTAACCTATTCTCTGATTTTTTGCCATGTTAAAAAGGCCAAAATTAAATGGGAATTTTACTTCCATCCTTGCAAATATAATTTGTTAGAAACTTAACCTATTAAATAATTAATTTTAAATTGCTGCAAGTAATTTTTGTCCCAATTTTAATTATAATTAATTTGCAAAATAAATAATTGCAAATTAAATATTGCAAATCCAATGGTCTAATAAAATTTGTCATCAAAACTGCCTAGTAAAGTGTCGCGTTCTGGATGGGGAACAAATATTTCTTTAAAAACTAATTATAAAATTAAACAAATTTTTGCGTGGTATGTTTCAAAATGTGTTCACTGTACTTCATCACTTAAGATTAAATTTAATTTATTAACATATTTGTTTTTAAATAAAATAGGAAAGAAAATAGAATTCAAAAAAAAATTATTTAAGTGCTGTTTCTATTCCTATTCCCTTAACTAGAAACAGCATAGAAATTTTTGCATTTTTGTTATATCTCTAGTGAAAAGAACTGTGAAACATTGCTGCTCGATAGACCTCCAATTGAATTAGGAAAATTTCGAAACATTACAAAGATAACAAATATTTTAGGTGACGTCAATTGCTATATTTACTACAAGCAGCACAGGGGAACGAACATAACAGAGAAGCCAGTGCTGTTGCATTATTGGTATCCGTTTGACAAGAACAAGTACTACACTTTCATCTTGATTGACCAGAATATTCGGCCAGTGATTGCGAGCATAAGCATCGCCATCATCGGTGCCTTTGTTAACTCTATTATCATTTTCGTTAGGCTTCAACTCAAACTGCTGCAGTACAGTTTCAAGAATTTCGATGTAATGAATTCGGAAGGTGCGCACATGCTGAAGACGTTTTGCTTTAAACATCAAGAATTAATTAAGTTTGTATTCATTTGGTACCTGATTAGTAATGTGCTAAGTCTCACTCACAAAATAAGACTAAATAAATGCAGAGTTTACAATCTCAAAAGCAATATATTTATTACAATAGAGCGCTCATATACTAATAATAACAATATTTCATTACAAATTATAAATATTCATAAACATGCCTTAAATGTTAAATTAATATTTGCATAAATTTTCCAATTATCTTTCGTTATGATCATGTTGTATTTTTTATTTTATTGTTTTAATATGTTCTTCTGATGGTGCAATTTATTATTATTGATATTTTCGCTTAACATGTGCAAAGGGGGATAAGCAAACTTCAATTTAATCTATCAGTTATATTAAATTTTCTGGGCTTAGATAATAATACGTGAATTTGATGAGTGAAAGCAGTTTGTTTGTGCTTATTTGTATATTGCTGGGCGCCATTTTTCCAAAGTACGCCATATTTTTTTTCCATGCTAGAAATGATTTTATTTGGCAATACTGTGCATAATATTAGATTTTTCTGTAAAGCATCAGAGTTGACGCAGAAGAGCCAATACAAGAAATGTTTAAGCGTTAATATCCCTATGGTATGCTGAGAGCCTAGGAATCACAGTGATGATTGTTATTTTTGTTCGTGTAATGTTCAAGGATTCAACAGAAAAAATAAGAAACAAATTGTGTATCCCAATCATGACTCTGCTATTCAACCAGTTAGTTACGGATCAGATATACCGAGACCTACCGCCCCAAAAGAACTAGAAAACGTCATATGGTCAGAATTTCACACCAGATTTCAGAGACGCCGAAGTGTTTAACCAGAGTGAATTAAATGATTTAATTAGAGATTTGCACCTTCCAAAGCAATTGTTAACGTTCAGACTTCGTGACCAGCATTTGCTGGCACCTGGCGCCACATCAAGCTGTTACCGAGGTCGTCAACGTTTTACTCAGGACCGCTAGTGTATTGCAACAATATCAGCTTCAAAATTAGAAAATTGCGGTATATAAAAGAAAAATGGCGCCTGTCTATTTACTCAAGTAAGCATAGTTTTATTGCACAATGGTAACAAACTGGCCTCGGTTCCCGTTGCATATTCGGTACATTTAAAAGAAAAGTATAAGAATTTTGGAAAATAAACTACCAAGAACATTAGTGGATGCTTTGTGGTGAAATTAAATTGCTGTGAACTCAAATAGAATGGCCCTGCTGGATGTTAAAATGGGATATATTCGGACAACGCAGCTTTCTGGCAAAAGACGAAGATTTCACTCAAAATAGTCTGAGTAAAGTCTTTTTTTTCACTTTTTTAAACTGCCGATCCACTTTTTTACTGAATAAAAAATAAATTTTTTTAGAAATATGTTTTTTTTTTCTTTAATATTTTCAAAAAAACCATACGTGATACAAAAAAATTATATAAAATCAGTTATCAAAATAAATCTGCCAAAGAGTTTAATTTTGTAGACCTGTGTAATTAAACAAATATGAATTACAACTTATTTAGTTGCTATAATTCAACTTTAAAAACGGGAATGTTAAGAAATATGGACAAAAAAAAGAAACTTTCAAAATTATTGCTTAGAAGCCAAGCAAACACTCAAACTCAGCACCTTTAAGTATTACAAATTTATTGGAAATGAATATTTTGTCCATTTGAAACAAATCGTAATGAAATAAAACAGAAGTTTACATTAATATTTAATTTTAGGTACGTCGAAGACCTGAACGAATCCTTCAAAACTGTAATATTTTTAGAGTTTTTGGTGTCTTCGATCTCATTCGCATCTCAAATTTTTCAAATAACTTTGGTATCGCTGGCACTGACATTTGTTTTTTTCACGTGAGAATTAACGGCAATTTTTTCAGGGAGTCAGACCGTTTTTTGCTACCATAATATTGACTTATACCATTATTCAGCTACTCACGTTCGCTTGGAGCACAAACGAAATCATTATCCAGGTAGTTATTAAACTATTTTCCGAAATGTACTAGGAACTAGAACATTTCAAGTATCAAGCCTTCGTAGTAACTTTTCAGAGTTCAGAATTGGCAAAAGCACTTTTCGAAAGCAACTGGTACGTTCATGATTCACAGACGAAGACCATGGTGCACATCATGATGATGAGATGCCAGAAACCTGTTTGTTTGAGGAACGGCAGATTTGGCGTGATGGATTTAGACGTAGGCATATCGGTAAATATGTCTCGAATGCAACAATTTGATTTTTTTGAATTTTTTATGCATAATAAGTTCGGAAAAAAATGCGCATATTATGTACACCGACGAGAAACTGAAATTATTTTATTAATTTAATTTTAATTAATAATAATAAATTTTAATTATTATCAAAATCATCATTATTACTTCACAATTAATTTCAGCTAAAATTTACAGATATGGAATTTTTAACAATATTGATTTGTATGAAACAATTTAGTTTATTAAAGACTGATTTTTTTCATTGCAGATGCAAAATTTAACAAGTAGAGAGAGATGAGAGATAATGGGTTTTGTTTCAGAGACTCAAGCTGGCTTATTCCTACACTTCCCTTATGAGAAATGGAAATTGAAGACAACATTTTGTTTCATTTGCGAAATGTGTGTGTGTGGTCACGATAATAATTTTTTAAATATAGCATTCACATTTAAATTTGTTTTATGCTGCCTATAGACTAAATATTCTATGATCCGCATGTGTGTTTTTTTTTATAGATATTAGGGATTTTTAATAACCAGCAATTCTGCTATTTCTGCTCATTTTAACGATTTAATGTGACATCGAATTTTGTTCTAATCAATCAACTGCACGTCTTTTATATTTAAGAAAAATTTATTATGTAAAAACATTATACTTACTTTATTGATATAGAGTTGAAGCATATCACAAGGTATCACAAAATTTAAAGTAGTGTGTAAGATGTGCTAATATTTTGTCAACATATAGTAACTTCTATAAAAACAAAATTGAATTTTGCCTTTTCGAGGACGACTTCAAATCACATTTTAACCTATGATGTGTTTGAATTTCTTCCAAGTATTTCCGGTATTATGTATATATTAAATATCTCTTAAAAAAGATACCTATATACAGTATGTCCACGTTTGGAGTAGGCAAGAAGACAAAGACTAAAAATTGAAACATATGAAAAAAATCATATCGATCTATCTATCTATTTATCTATCGAGTAGTCTTGTGGAGTTAAAATGAGGAAAAGTTAAAGGATCTAAATTCTCTGCGATGCGGCTACTATTGCATTAAAGGGTTCTAATTCATAGATTGGGCACTGGTCTCTGAGAAAGGTACGATTTGAAATATACGCAGTGATTTTAAAAACTCAATAAATTTGTCTTAAGAATCAATTTGCTCGGCTGTGTAGCGTCAACAAACACAGCGATCTAATTATATTCTTTTGGAGCTTCGATTATTACGCAAGTGTCAAGAGTTTAATAGTATATTATGCAACAAGTGCGGTAAACGGCATTTGACCCACGAGTTTATTTGACACGAGCGGAGCGCAGCGGAGCGAGTGTTTAATAAACGAATGAGTTAAAAAGTTTACCGAACGTGTTGCATACTATACTTTTTCTACGACCGTTGGTTTTTGGGTGCATTTTCGCAAAACAACACGAATACATTCACTGACATGACCGCCAGAATTGACAAACGTCAAAATTCAAAGCGTGAGAAATATCTCCGAAAACATCCGATTGCTCCCAAATCCGTGCGGTAAAATCCCGGAAAAGTCCGAAGTGGCTCGGATTCATGGGAAACGAAACTGACGTGGCAAAGTGACGCTTTCCGCACGCTAGATCGGTGAGTAATTAGGTATTTTACAGACGGGAGAAGAACAAAGTAATTTTCTCACGTCATATCCAAATATGCATTTATATTATGTTCTGTTATTTTGTTGTTTAGTACATTATTTATTAAAGAAGCTTAGGTTAAATTAAGATATACATTAAGTAGCAGTTTTAATAAGAATTGCGTGGCCCTGTCAATTTATCTAACTGTGGGACTGCATTTAATCTGTGGTTTGACTATGAAGAGAAGTATCTATTATTAAAAAATATTGAAGCATGATGGAAATATTGCATATAAACTATAATTATTTATTTTTGTTCTTGTATTATTCAATCAAGCTATATAATGAACTATTAAATGTTTCTTTAAATATAAATTCTAACGTTTTATTAAATCTATTGAAGTGTGTAGTATAGAGTCGATTTTATTCAAAATTTCCACGTATTAATGGACACACCCTGTATTGTTAGCAATATGTTTTATTCGTATATTTGGAGTATCATATCTTTAGAAAGTAGTATCATGTCTTTGCCAATACCTAACGTTGCCAACAAGTGACCTAATGTGGGCAGCTTTAAATTCAACAAGAATTTAACGGGTGTTATCTTAAACCTCGAATATCTCAAAAAGTAAGTAAAATTTAAAAATAAGATAAATTAAAAATTTACCTTATTTCTTGTCCTAGAATTGATATCTGAATAAAAATATAGTGTGTTCCCTTTGAAAATCTTAAGATTTTGTGAATTAAATTCTCCAAAACGGTACCACCTCTTTGGAACGCCCTGGCGCATCTGTCAAACTGATTGAGTAGTGCAGTCTGCGGTTTAATTTTCGTTGCAATACCTGAATCAGTAGCGTCACAACACAATTTTATATGGGGCAATAAAAATAATGCAAAAAAACACATAACCTCAATTTCTAATAGGGATTTCTTGAGAAAGTGACCTTTATTTTAACCAAGGATTCCAAAAATGTCGAAATATATTCAGATGTTCCATTTAAAATAACAAAGTTGAAGACGGGAAAGGGGATGGGGGGGCCATTTTTTTTGTGGGTATGTTGTTTTATATATGTACGTTCTTCACTGAAAATCACAAAACAGAATCACTATCTCTACATTTACCACCGGAATAGGTGAGTTTTAATCACAATATAATACAATTGCTACGATTTGGCCTCATAAGCATTTACGAATTACGAAATTCCTCAACAACAATAGTAAAGGTCTATTACACAGTGTACAACCTAAAGATAGACGAGCGGTAATAAAGGTTGAAACAAAACGTGAGCATATGAAGTCTGCATCCTTTCAAGCAAACCGCTACGCAATTAATACATTCTAAAGAACTTCAAAAGAAAGGGTGACAAATATGGCGAGTACTATCGGTTTATTGGAGACTCATAATAAATACATAAGTAAATAACAAATTAATATTATATATCGTCCATAGATATAAGTATATAACATACATACAGGGTTGACATTATTGGTAACGAAAAGCAGAACTAATTGTACATTCATAATGGTGAGATTTCAATTAACTCTTCTGGAGTACACTTTTAGAGCTTTCGACAAGCCGAATGAACTAGAAAGTGCAGGACTTCTGTAGATTTTGTCCATTAGGCACCAGCATTTAATTCGCTAAATTTGCCATATGTTAAGAACGATTAAATGTATAAAATATTGCCTAGGAGTCATACCAATGCTTAGCTGGAAGATTACAAGCTTCAATTATGTTTATACTAATATTCAAAAGTTTTGATCTGCGCTAATATCGTTTATATCGATAGATATCAGTTTCCATGAGTCCTTTTGTGCATCAATGTTGTTGGCTTACACGGCCGAGATTGTTGAGGTGAGGCTTACACTATATTTTAGGGTTGTTCCAGATAAGGTATTAGTTATGCACTTTAAAATTTCAATTACCTTTAAATTCACCAAGTTTATGAGAGACAAGATACTGCATGAGTTATTTGGTTTGTGAGAGTGAATAATAATTCTCCTGAAGTTACTCAAATTGATTACCTTTGTCGACCAAAATTTTTCTTTTTTTAGTGATTGGACGACTTATAACACTATTTAAAACTTATGCAGCTTAGATAGAAAATAAAATTATTACTTTGTTCAAAATAATTTACTCACCCTTACGCCAAATACTAAAGGAGGTTGCACTATCGGTAAGGACCGTGGATTAAAAGCATGGACAAAAAAAAAGAAAAAGAAAAAAATGATTGCTTGTGCGTAGACTGTCTAACAGTTTTTTTCACAGTTTGGATTTCATTTCAGAGAGTTGGCGTATTCGTATGAATCGCTTATGACTAGCAGCGCCTGAAATGGGAATTATTTTCTCAATAATTAAAATGTAGTTATTTGATATTTGTCCTATTCAACTGTACACAGAGAAGCAACTACCAAGTCAACTTGTTAACTTAGCCAACAAATTGCAAGATACAGTAGCCGTAAAATTATTAAAACATGACCGTAATTGTGATAAAATTAGGACAAAATGTAAAATTATGCTATTCTTGACAAACTTATAAATTTAGATATCAATTTCCGTTGGCCAGTAGTTCTAATTGGTTGTGATTCAGCCGTTGGTAGAGTTTTACGATATAGAAAAAAAAAACAGAAAACTTACTAGATATATTATGCTATCTGCCACGATATTATCGGTTGAAGTCGCCACGAAGGTTCTAGTTCCATATCGAACTCCATTTTCCTTTTAGCCGCCGATTTTAATTGAAAATCTGGATCGTTAATTTTAATCAATTGTAACCAGTAAAATTTCCGAAAAATATCTATATCCGAACAATCAATTTTCGAAAACAACTAGGACACAATAGTTTGGTGCTGTAAAAATGATATTGAAAAGAATAACACCCCTTTTGATTACAGACTAAAGTTACGTCCCTTTTGATTACAGGCAAGTCATGCAAACCACAAGTGTGTTTTGCTGCGATACCCTGTCATTGGCGACGAGCAGTTTCTTATTTCCCTTTTCAGAGGCGTAGGCCTTTAAAGTTGCACTTTTGATATTTTATTTTGGTTTGTAAATTGCCATTTAATTTCTTAAGGGTTCACTACTTCTAGTTAGTAAATGTTGATGAAGCAGTATCCGCGTTAACACCGTAACCCATAAAAATGAATGACTAAAATCCACAAAATTGAACCTACTTAAATTCATCAAGTAAATTCAAAGCGCGCCAATGATATTTGTTTCTGGAGCGCTTCAATTACATTTCTACATGCATATTTATTTAAGATCAGCCGCTTTCGCTTCAGTCTCGTGTATGAATTGAGCAAAAAATTTTTTTATTTTCGCTGACGCTTCTGTAAAGTAAAACATGAGTCACGCCAGATTCACTCAGCGATACTTTAGATACGTAAAGTGGCTCATGATCGTTGCCGGCATATGGAGAATTACGATCGAAGAATTTTCAGCACCAAAGAGAAAGTTATACCATTGCTATACCATTCTTATTCAGATGGTTTTTTCCTCGCCGTTGATTTCCTACATCTTAAATGTTCCTATTTTGTTAAAAACGGACATGCCAGCAGGTAATGTTGAATGGATTCAGGGGGTGTAAGTAAATGCTAAGTAAAGCAAATTGGTAATAAATGGTGGAATATAGTACATCGTTGTGGTGTCAAATTTGCATTTTGAAGGTTAACAACATATTCAGCAAAAAACAGTTCCGGTTAATTACCGCTACTCAGCATTCACGTAAAAAAACAGATTGTGATACGGAAATCTTAACGGACGCCAGTATCGTCCAAAATTGACATTGACAAAATTGGATAAAAAATGGACATACTAAAATCTAGGCCAAATAAATAGTTTTTAAGAAAAGGATAAATTAGTGCCTTTATCAAAAGAATCAACTTTGTCTTTCAAGCATAAACAAAATTTCTGAAATCCTTCTATCAATATATCAATACAATATTAATAAATAACAGGATAATGAATTTATTAATTTTATTATATACATACACCTTCATTCATAAAAGCTCGGGTTTCTAGCAATAAGTACTTTGGGTTTCATTACATTCTTTGGGGTGATACTCACCAAAATGTTCATGTGCCAGTCGAAACCCATCATCAGACTACTTCAGCTTGCCTTGCAGTCGGAATATCAAACCGGAGGACCCATTAACACAGAAACAAAAGCGATATACGAATATCACATAAGATTTGATAACTACGTGATCTCGATCCTTTTCTTTGGTGCCGTATTAATGGGACTCTGCAACGACGTATTTGGTAAAAAGATTCCCTTAGAATGCTGAACTTAAAATAAAAAATTCTTGTAGGTGACATCGATTGCTACATGTATTTTCAGCAACATAGAGGTACAAATATAACAGACAAGCTGCTGCCTCTTAATTATTGGTACCCATTTGACAAGAATAAACACTATGCTTTGGTTCTATTAGACCAAAATGTTCGTGCCATGCTAGCTTGTTTAGTGACGGCTATAGTGAACGCATTCGTCAATTGTATCTTCATTTATGTGAGACTCCAGCTGACATTGTTGCAGTACAATTTTAGAAGCTTCCGGGAATTGAACAGCTCAGAAGGTTCGAAAATGCTCAAGAAGTTGTGCGTTAAGCATCAAGACCTTATAAGGTAAATATGTCTAAGGGTCTGAGCCCCAAACCAGATTTGGTCTATCTGGTCAGTCTGTTTGTGTGGGAGTCTTAGCATCGAAGGAAAACGAGAAATAATACTGTGAAATAAAGAAAACTTCGCTTTTATGTAGAAAACGTTTCAATATTTGATTTTAATTATTCTTTTCATTTTTCCTCTAGGTAAATAAATTTTGTTTATTTCGTCATTGCTTTGCCTTTTTCACGTCACTTCTTTTATTGGCTAATTTTTGTAAAGTATATGATTTCCTCTCTTCTTGACCTATTTTTTGAAGTGATATTTGTAAGCTAAAGTTGGTTTTGTAGCAAAGTCCAGTTTTAATAATAATGAATTGTTTCAATCCATGATTTATTTTTTTTTTACATGCATTTTCAGATACGTCCAAGACCTAAGTGGGTCTTTCAGAACTATCATATTTTTGGAGTACATGCTTTCTTCCCTTTCACTGGGATCACAGATTCTACAAATTACCTTGGTAAGTATGTATTGTATGTATTTGGGTCAGATATCTGTGACCAGTCATATCTGTCGCTGGTGGATACAGCCTTTAGTCGAATCAACATTTTTAGGGTATCCGACCGTTTTTTATGTTCATAATGTTGACTTACACTGTCATACAACTGCTTATATTCTCATGGACGTCCAACGAGATTATAATTCAGGTAAGATTGACTTACTGTTAAGTTATACCTATGGGTAGCTTCAGAGAGAGTAGGGTTATGCTAATACGAAACTAAACTAAAAAGTTTCCAATTTCCTATAACTATAAACTAATAATTTAATTGTAGACATTTTAATTTAGAGTTTAGAGTTGTCCAGAGCCCTCTTCGAAAGCGACTGGTACCAGTTCAACTCTAAAACTAAAGTTGATGTACACGTGATAATGATGAGATGCCAGAAACCGCTCGGCCTAAGGATTGGCCACTTTGGAGTTATGGATTTGAATGTTGGACTATCGGTAAGAACCGTAAAAAAAATATATTGTGTTAATCCGCACTAAATTACAACCAACAAATTGAACATAAATTCATGCTTTGTAATATTTGACTTTTATTTCAGAGGCTCAAATTGGCGTATTCGTACGCATCAATTATGACCAGCGGAGTTTGACATAGCATACATATGCATAGCTTATGTTATGTTAATTTAAATTTTTAAATAATCTTAAAGTTTATATGCAAATTGTATATTATCAGAATTAAAATTATAACGCAATTCATTTTGATGGGGATGCATTAAACTAGAAAAAATGGAGGTTGGGTCCGCTTGAACCTACGGCTTGTATGTTGTTGCGCTACGTATGGAATACTGATATTACTGACAGGATATTTAGATACTTTAAAGACATGGTTAGAGACACAAAACACTCATTACAATGTGTTTAAACAGATTTCGAATTCTCAAACACCAGATTGAGTTGATAAAGTACGTAGTACTGAAAGTAATGCGCCTTAGTTCCCTACCTAGGAACATAACAAAAAAGAACTACCCAAAAAGCCTACCAAAAATGTACTGACCAGTTAGCATATGGCGAAATGTGTATTTTCCGCGAACTAACAATCGGGTTTGTTACAATAAGAACAAAGCTTAATTTGGATTTGGTTGAAAGGCTGCGAGATAATGAAGAAATTTGTGAAATTTGATGAGCTCGATATTATGAAAAAAAACCTGGTCGTTTGGGTTTAATGGGTAAAAAACTCGGCAACAACGAAAATATGTTAAAATGTTTGTAATATTTTGACCTGATATATATAATTTACCAAAATATATACACCAAATAATATTCATAATTTACACATATCACATTAACATTTAAGTATTAAGTGGAAACGTTATCCCACACATAACAGTTCTACAACAATCGTACGCTTTTCCTATGTACGTTACCCAGCAATCAATTTTCGAAAACAATTTATTCCCGGGCACAGTTGTTTGGTTTGTTTATAACTTGGTGCTGGAAAAAAGATATTGGAAAGAATGACACCCCTTTTGATTACAGACTAGTCGGATACGTCTCGCATGTTTTATTGCGTTAGCCTGTCATTAGCGACTAGCAGTTTCCCGGGTCTCGCATCAGAGGCGTAGGCGTTTAGTTCACATTTGATATTTCGCATTGGTTGGTTTACAGTGCTTCATTTCTTTTCTTTTATTTTCTTAAATGTTCACTACTTCCGCTACGTACCTAAATATTGATGAAGTTGGTACAGCATCCGTATAAACTATTCAATTATTCTTTACTTACACCGATAAAAGGAAACATTACACTTATTTAATTATTATTTAAAAATTAAAGTTAAACATTTCACGCCTCAATTAGTTTAATTTGTTTTGCTATTCTCTAGCAAAAATATGTGTATGTGTCACTTTTGTGTACAACACGTCAAGTAAATCCAATGCGCGCCAATGAATATCGGTCTCTCCAAGACACTTCAATTATGTTTGCAAATTCATATTTATTTAAGAGCAGGTTTTTCCTTCAGTCTCGTATACGAACACGAGGTAAAACGTTTTTCATTTTTGCTTCTGATTCCGTACAGTCCCATGAGTCATACCAGTTTAACGCATCGGTACTTTAGGTACGTAAAATGGCTAATGATCGTTGCCGGTATATGGAGAATTGAGATCGAACAATTTTCGCCACCAAAAAAAAAGTTGTACTATTTCTATACCATTTTGATTCAGATGGTTTTTTCCTCGCCGTTGGTCTCCTACGTGTTCAATGTGCCTACGTTGATAAAAACGGATATGCCAGCAGGTAATAGTGGATGGTTGAATGAAGTCATTGAGTAAGGCAAATGAATAATGGACAAGCTAATACCGCGTTTAATTCAAAGCATAATTTTTCCGATTACTTACTACTACTCAGCTATAACGTCAACCACCATTGTTCGTATGACGAAAGGGGAGAAAATTGTACACACTAAAATGTCGGCCAAATAACTTTTAGAAAAAGCATAAAATACTGAACACAAATGAATCATCCACAAAGAGAATTCCTGAAACCCTCTGATTAATATATAATTACAATAGTCAACAATAAATTAAAAACAAAATAATTTGAGAAATAACTTAAGCAATAAGAATATACAATTAAAATTCATTTTAAAAATTTTACTGATGACCTCAATGAAAAACACCCATCTAAAATCACAACTGTAACTGTAAAAAATATGCAATATTCAGCAATAAATTTAAGAAAACATTAGAAAACACATTTCTCAAGCAATTGATGTGGATGATCGCACCTTTGAAAAATTTTGCTGATTCAAGATATAATGAATTTATAACTTTGATTTCTATAACTACGCATACAAGATATTCTACGTACACTTGTCCTGCAGTATTTTGCTATGTATTATTTTTGTAATATTTTTTATTAATAAAATATCGCCTTTCTAGCAATGAGTACTATGGGTTTAATTACATTCTATGGGGTGATTCTCACCAAAATGTTCATGTGCCAGTCGAAACCGATCATCAGACTGCTCCAGCTGGCCTTGCAGTCGGAATATCAACCCGGACGAAAAATTAACAGAGAAATAAAAGCGATATACGAGTGGCACACGAGATTTGATAATCACGTCGTGTCGATCCTTTTCTTTGGTGGCGTATTCGTAGGAATATGCATCGACGTATTTGGTAAAAAGCTGCCCTTAGAATGCTGAGCTTGAAATCAGTAACTCTTGTAGGTGATATCAACTGCTATATCTATTTTAAGCAACATAACGGTACAAATCTAACAGACAAGCTCGTACCTCTTAATTACTGGTACCCATTCGACAAGAACAAACATTATGTTTTGGTTCTACTAGACCAAAATGTTCGTGCCATACTAGGTTGTTTAGTGACGGCTATAGTGAATGCATTTATCAACTGCATATTCATTTATGTGAGACTCCAGCTGGCATTGCTGCAGTACAATTTTAGAAACTTCGGCCAACTGGATAACTCAGAAGGTTCGAATATCCTCAAGAGGTTGTGTGCTAAGCATCAACAACTTATCCGGTAAATATTGATAAAGGTTACTAAAGAAAACTATTTGAATTGTTAAAAAATTAGTTGGACATACTTATAATTTGTGGTAGCAGTAGTACTGAGAAGTAAAGGAAAATACGTAAGGAATTAATAGAGACAAATAAATTTAGTTTATACAATATTCACCTCAATATTCAAAAAGATGGTTTAGGCGAAAATTCTTAAATTCTAAGCTACAAGTAATTCAATATTTTCTTTAATTTCGTAGAACTAAATCTATTGTAACTAAAGGGTCAAAAAAATAAAATGCCGTTTGTCTTTTTTTATGAAACGAAAACCAGGGAAGAAGGAAAATAACTCAAGAGCCCAAAAAGTTGTAATTTTAATGGCTTATACGCAGTATAGAACATTTTAAAAAACTTTCACGAAATCGACAAAAAATATTTGGCATATTGTAAAAAAGTCGTTTTCTTTTTAAAATGTAAAATTTTACATTAAACAACGAAAATGGCCATTTTACAATGTGTTAAATATTATTTGCCGATTTTGTCAAAGTTTTTTTAAAATGTTTGTTCTTTATTGTTACTTTTTTTGTGACGAATATCGTCACAAAAAAAGCGGTGGTGTATGTTTTTTGGAACACCCTTTGTGTTGCAAACTTTTTAATATATAATTTTACTTTTCTTTCTTTTCTTTCACTTTGGGAATATGATTCATACAGTTTTGCTTGTTTTATCATGGTTGTCTTTGTTTATTTACTCTTTCGGCATGAACAATTTTTTGTTATGACATTTGTGCAAGTGTCAAAGTCAGGTAATGCTAAACGGAGAAATTATTTGAGAACTGGGCAGAGAATAAACTGGAATATATTTGTTTTAAAATTTTTTACTTCACTAATAGAAGACGAAATTCATATGTGAAATTTAAATGACAGTTAGAGCTAAGGCAATGAGACAATTTTTCAATGATTTCCATTACGAGATTAATTTCTTTCTTTATGGATTTTCAGATATGTCGAAGACTTGAGTGAATCCTTCAAAACTATTATATTTTTGGAGTACATGGTTTCATCTCTTTCCCTGGCATCACAAATTCTACAAATTACCCTGGTAATTATTTGGAACAAAAGAAACGAATGTTTACCTCTAGTGCATTTTCGAAATTTTAAAATTAATATTATTTCATGACATTTATGTTGGATTTTATAAAATCCCAAGTTTTTAAAAAATAACTCAAAACATTTTCAGGGCATCCGACCGTTTTTTGCAATTATATTGTTGATTTACACGGTCATACAACTGCTTATATTCGCATGGACTTCCAACGAGATTATAATTCAGGTAAAGTTGAAGACTACCACAATGTTTTCGAGTTTCCTATAAACTCTAAATTAGTAATCTAATTGTAGGCATTTTGATTTAGAGTTTGGAATTATCCGGGGCCCTCTTCGAAAGCGACTGGTACAAGCACCACCCTAAAACTAAAGTTGATGTACACGTAATAATGATGAGATGCCAAAAACCGCTAGGCCTAAAGGTTGGCCACTTTGGAGTTATGGATTTGAATGTTGGACTATCGGTAAGATGATAAAACAAGCACCACCAACAAATTCATCCTTCGTAATATTTGACTTTTGTTCCAGAGACTCAAATTAGCCTATTCGTATGCGTCGCTTATGACCAACGGAGATTGACGTAGCAAATGTTTATGCATACATTAAACTGTATTAACTGGAAGACATTACAACTTTTTTTTAATCACTGCAAATTGAATTAAAGTTATGACGGAATTCGCTCGGATGGGCATGCCACAAATTAGAAAATCGGAATTCAACAAGTCAACGAATGACATCCCGCAATTATTTAAGATTTTCATTCTTGCGAAAAGGCCGACGTGTATTAATTCGACGACACTACTCAAAACCTTGTAAAACAGAAAAAACTCTGTTGACGGAAAATTCATTTCGAACTTTATTCACAAACACAAACGTTTGGTTTGTGAATTACTCGATACTGAAAAGAATGTCGCCCCTTTTGATTACAGATCAGTCGTACAACAATAGTATATTTTGCAGCGTTACCCTTTCATTATTCATTCATGAGTCGCGCGTCAGGGACGTGCGAATTCGGAATTTTGCTTGCTAACTTTACGTCTTATGTAATGTAAATCAATCAATGAAATCAACCGAGGTGTCTTTCATTTTCACTAAGTAGTGGATAATTTTTGATGGAGTAGGTGGATGACCTGCGTAATATTGAGTTACAAAGTTAGAAAGCACACATAAACTAACGACAAATATTCTATGTTACTTATTGTTAAAGTAAACCTTTTCTATACGTCGGAGCCAGGAAAATAGAAAAATTGGAACACCAAAGTAAAAGGCCTGGTGTAAAACTTGCCAAACAAATTCGAAGCACGTCAAAGATATCCGTCTGTTTGTAACGCTGTACTCTGTCATTACTTCATTTATGTTTTAAGATAGTTTTCGGTTCGCTTTAATAATACAAATGAAAGAAAACGTTTTATTACATTTTCCCTGTCGATTTCGTACCGTCGAGAACATGATTCATATCAACTTAACTCATCAATACTTTAAATACGTAAAATGGCTGATGGTCAGTGCAGGCATTTGGAGAATTAAGATCGAAGAACTCTCGTCCCCAAAGAAAACGTCGTATCATATATTCGCCATTTTGATTCAGATGGTTTTTTCCTCGTCGTTGATTTCATATACGCTCAATATGCCTAAATTGTTAAAAACGGATATGCCAGCAGGTAATTTTAGAATTATTACAATTTTATTAGTATTGCTGCACAAAATAGTACCATAGAATCTAATACACTAAGAAGGTGGTCTTATAAAGATAAGTTTGCATTCTTTTCGAAGCTAATTTCCGGTTAAGTTCTCAACATTGACAATGGCAAAATAAGTGGTCATTGCACTTGAGAATATAGAAAAATGATAACGTAAAAATATACAGACTGTTTTAAAACAAATGCAAAAAACTTAAGGGGTAAATTTGGTACCATAGAATCTAATACATTCAGAAGGTGGTCATATTGAGATAAGTTTCTAATTTCCGGTTAAGTTCTCAGCATTGACAACGGCAAAATAAGTGGTCATTGTACTTGAGAATATAAAAAATGACAACGTAATAATATGCAGACTGTTTTAAATAAATGCAAAAAACTTAAGGGCGTTGTTTAAAATAAACGCTAGTTTGTTATATAAACGTTATATCAAAAGCCAAGCATTAGGCAGATATCGCGGTACAAATATGGCGGAAAGTCACGCTTTATTTTTTATCTTATCTTTTTATCTTGGATAGGGAGAGGAGAGAGGAGATAAAATTTGACTACCAATATCAATCTTCCTAACTGAATTTAAGGAAAAACTTATGCAATAACATAAAATAATATGTATTTTTAAGAAACTTTTGTCTCCTGCAAATTTTTTATACCAAAAAAAAAAAGAAATCTAGTGGGTTGCTGTCACTTCTTAAGGCGTTTCTTATTATTGCTTTCTTTGACGTTACGCAGTTAGAGTGATTACAAAATACAAGTAATTTAATTAAAAACATATCTAATTACACTAACGCGAAATGGCAGATATAGATTTTATGTACAGCCGTAATGTTTTTTCAGCATGCAATTCTTTACATTTTATTCTTTTATTTGAAAACTATGAGTTTTATGAAAATATTACGCGAGAGCAAAAAGTTTCTAATAAACACATCTCCAAAATTTATTTTGTTTATATGTCATTGCGTAAGATTTTATTTAAATTTTATTAAAAACAATGACAAGGCCACTTATTTAAAAAAAATATGCAGAAACTGCGTAATACTTCCGTAATATTTTATTATTCCATCTATTTCCGTTTAAAAAAAAAATAATTAAAACATTATGTTTCCGCCATATTTGTAGCACGTGGTTGGTAAACGACGAATCACCGCCTTAAGTTTTTCACATTTGTTTTGAAACAAACTGTTTAACTAGTTTGATCACAACGGAATACTTATTTGAAGTAATTAGAAAATGAATACATTTATTTAAAGTTATACAGGTGAAAATGCCTTACCGCATAAATAAATATGTACAGAAGTGTGACTTGGCATTTTATTTAGAAGTATTTCTAAACAGACAGAATTTTCTCACCAAACTTAATAGTTATACGAACCATCTCGTCTGAAAAAAATGGAACTATGTATTCAGATTTCCCGAAATCAAAATGGCAGAATTTGATATTTATTTTCACTTAATTTTTTGCTTAGAGCTTAAAATCGAAGCGATTAATGGGTACGGTAACATTTAAATTTTATATGGCATTGTAAGATCAATTCCAAACAGAAATAAAGACGAAAGAAAAGTATTTATCGAAGATAAGCATATCGAATTTACAAACTCACTGACTCTTTGAGCCAGCCCGAATACTATAAAATCCCTTTTATTGATATGCGTTTCTAGCAGTCAGTACGATGGGATTAATTATCTTCAATGGGGTGGCACTAACCAAAATGTTCATGTGCCAATCGAAACCCATTGTCAGACTGCTGCGGCTAGCCTTGCAGTCGGAATATCAAGAAAATCAAGGAGGACAAATCAGTGGAGAAATAAAAGCGATATACGAATGGCACATAAGCTGCGATAATTTTTTTATCTCGATCCTCTTCTTCGGTGGTTTATTTGCGGGAATATGCGTTGACATCAGCATTTAATTCGGTATATAAGTTCTATGGGTTTACATATTGTCAAAAGAAAATCTCATACATGTTTATCGGTTAACATATTTTTCGTTTCAAACCGCCCAGAACGCGTCCTTCAAAACTATCATATTCTTGGAGTACGTGATATCCTCGCAGTCGTTCGCGTCACAGATTCTGCAAATAACGCTGGTAAACAATTAATTAAAAACAATGCAACCAGTTCATAGTACCTAATAATAATAATGAAATTACTCACTTAAATTAATTTCTAGGGTGTCCGACCATTTTTCGCATTCATATTGTTGGCTTACACGGTTATACAATTGCTCGTGTTCGCATGGACTTCCAACGAGATTATTATTCACGTAAGACTGCTGCTAACTACTAACACGATGCTTCTTGAGGTTGACCCAGTTGATAAGAACAGAGTACTAGGGAAGGATATGTAAGATCCTGAACTTTCAATTTTTATTTAAAGAATGTATACGTACTACGTCGCTCGAAACGCTGGTCGCCAAATAAACATCTGGAACGCTTCTCCATTTCGGTCGTTATTGTTACGTCACTGGTTTTTAATTGTAAATTTTCGATTGTCTTAGCGGATCAGTTTTTCGGTAAATTTTATTTCCTCACCAATCAATTTACGGAAACAACTTATTCGCGGACCACGTTTGGCTTATAAATAATTTGGTATAGAAAAAACGATATGGGGAACAATAGTACTCGTTTTGATTACATGCCAGAGTAAGTTTTATTTTTATTGCACGGTGGTGTAATAATTGCTTTTGATGTTAATGCAACATGCGCATAACCTGACTTCCACTCATACTGGGCCAATGATTACTTTTACATTTCAAACAAATTATATAAATATATTGCGTTTATATAAGATGTATTGGCTATGTCGATGTTAGAAAGTAATGAAGATCTCATTCAAGATGACAAGAGTCGGTGCTAACCAAAACTAACCAAAATCAACAAATAAATTCGAAGCACGTCAATGATATTCCTCTCTTTCTTAAACCTTGAACTTTGTTATTATATCCGCAATATTCGCAGGTATATATATTCATTTAGCAGCAGAGCTTTTCGCTCCAGTTTCCTAGACGAATTGGAGCGAAACGCATATTTAATATTTCTGGTTCATTTCGGATAGTCGAATATGGATCACATCGACCTGACCCAGCGATACTTTAGGTACATAAAATGGTTGATGATAATTAGCGGAATATGGAGAATTGAAATCGAAGAATTTTCGATCTCGAAGAGATCGTTCTACCATGCCTATTCCATCTTTATTCAGATGGGTCTATGCTCATCGTTGATTTCGTATACGTTAAACATGCCTACTTTGTTAAAAACAGATATGCCGGCAGGTAATACAGCTAGAGTTAGTGTAAAGATGCACAAATCAATTTGATCTGTTTTCTGAGTATTGACTACTAAAATTCAATTGGGATTTTGCAAGGTTTTTGTTGATGAAACACTGTCTCTAATAATTTGCTGATATTTCAATAGTCATTAGAGTCGCCGTAATGTCTTTCACTAGGTAAATTCAATCAAGGAAATGAGCAATCAGCAATTCAAACCTCAAGTCCACAAAGTGGACGATCAGCATAATGTTGCATTAATTGAATTCGATTATTCGAAATATAACAAATATAATTAAAAAAAAGTTTTTTAATTTTTATTTTTTGTGATCATTTCGGACAATTAAACAAAATCGAGAGCAGAATACATCATTATAAAACAAAATTAAAAACTAACCAAAGCTAACTCCCTAAGTTCATTTTTTTGAATTTTTCTGGAAATTCCTTATTTTGAACATTTTGCACTTTATCTATCTTCCAAAAGCCATTTAAAAAAACTTAAGTGTTTGTTATATTAAAAAAATCTTTCAATTTTTTTTTAGTGAAAGATAACATAATAATAGTGTTTAGTACGCAAGCCGTTAACCGCATAGGTATTGTATGAGCTACACATTTGCTGACATATAATATAATATACTAACCTACTTCTAGCAATAAGTACCATGGGTTTAATTACTTTTTCCGTGGTTATGCTAGCCAAAATGTTTATGTGCCAGTCAAAATCCATTGTGAGTCTGCTGCGACTTGCCTTGCAGTCGTAATTTCAAATCGCAGGACACATTAACGCCGAAATAAAAGCGATATACGAATGGCATAGTTGCGGTAATTACGTCGTCACTATCCTTTCCTGCGGGTCGTTCTTGGTGGCTATATGCGTGAACATATTTGGTAAAATTTTTCCAATAAATTGTTGATTTAAGTGCAATTGAAGTTAATCCTTGCAGGTTACATTAATTGCTACACGTATTTCAAGCAACACCGAGGTGGCAATATGGTATTGGTATTATTGGCATCCGTTCGATAGGAATAAACACTACACCTTGGTTTTGGTTGACCAGAATATTCGAGCGATGTTTGCTTCATTACTGGTTGCTGTGGTTGGCGCATTCGTCAATACCATATTCGTATTTGTCAGACTCCAGTTAACATAGTTTTAGGAACTTTGATAAATTGGATAACTTACAAGGTGCGGATTTGCTCAAGAGGTTGTGTGTTAAGCATCAAAATCTAATTGGGTAAATATGAATTTATATATTGCACAATGTTTAAGTGTTTAAAAGTTTAAGATCTAAAACGGAGGGTTTTAACTATTATACTTAATTTTAATGCTTCTTTTTTACCGAAATTATTTGCAGCTACGTCGACGATCTGAAACAGTCCTTCAAAACTATTATATTGTTGGAGTATATAGTTTCTTCTCTATCGTTTGCAGCACAAATCCTACAAATTACTCTGGTAAGCAGTGGCCGCACGAAATAACAAAGTACTTGTCCCACATAGATTTCATTGCAATTGTAAAATTGTTATTTATTTTCTCATGATATTACACGCCATCAAACCTGCAGATATCAGCTTAAAACCTTACTTTATGGTTCAAATTGTTGCCATTTCTTATCGAGTTCGATAAATTTTTAATCAAAATCGGCTTCTTCGTATCGAAAACATCGACAAAGCAGCAGATATTAACGTAAAACCTTCTGTTCTGTAACTCTTGATTGGGACAAGATTCCAGCAAAAATAGGCATTTCCGCAACGACCAATATGTTCCCAACAAAACTAACCAAAGTTTTTTGAATTAACGTCTTGCTGCCTAACAAATACACAATAATTTCTAGGGCATCCGACCTTTTTTTTGCGTTTGTAATGTTGACCTACACATCTATGCAACTTCTTGTCTTCGCATGGACGTCTAATGAGATTATGTTCAGGTAAGTCTCGTTATTGGGCATACTAATGATTGAAAATAATTGGTCATTTATTTTAATAATGGCCGTCGTTGAAGGTATTATCTTGGAGAAAGTAATTATCAGTTATGATATAATACAATACCACTAATATCAAGAACTAATGGACAATATGATGGTCAAATTTACAACCAACTGAAATTTTTTTAATTAAAATATTTTTGCGTGGGACTTATAAACTAAATATATGCGGGTGCAGATTGTCTGTTCTCTATGCATTCGGAATACATTAATCTTGTAGAGATTTTATTTTAGAGTTCGGAATTAGCCAGAGGCCTCTTCGAGAGTGACTGGTACCAACAAGACACCGCAACTCAAGTCATGGTACTCATAATGAGCGTGAGATGTCAGAAGCCGCTGTGTCTGAGAGTTGGTCATTTTGGGGTTATGGATTTGGATGTTGGATTATCGGTAAGTATATAATATATATCGGTGAAGTCTCGATCTTGTCTAAAAAGCAAAATACCAAAAACATGAAAATATTTTTTGTATCCAAGTGATTTTAATGTTTGACGTTTATTGCAGAGGCTCAAGTTGGCGTATTCTTATACGTCAGTGATGACTAAGGGGACTTGATAGAAACACACAATTTAAAGCTACTTACATACCTTAAACCATGTTAAAATATTCGAGACTTACACATATTAATTTTTTTAAAATTCAAGCATCTTTTATTATTGCTGACATTGGCACATTAGAAACAGATAGTCGTTGCTTGTTCCACTATGACATGGCACCCTTAACTATACCGGGCAACACACACACAGTTGCCAAAGTTAATTAATCTATGCTGATGGAAGTGCATGTGCATTAAAACAATCAAACTTCAAAAATGACCTAATTGGTGAAAATAGGTGGGCGAGTGGTTACGACAGAAGAGTGCTAGGACCAGGGCTGCGGGTACATTGGGTAAATTATATCGAATTGTTGTGTAAATTCCATGAACTCAAGAAGATAGAAAAATGCTTCTCCAAGAATTGGAGACAACGGTTCGAACAGTATATCCAATTTGCAATCTCACCTACTTAAAATAATTGTATGAGCCACCCAGAACACCATCTAACCATATGCTATTTTTCCGGGTAAAAATTGAACCCGTTTTATTTGTAAAAGCATACGTTTTCACCAGTCAGTTTTAGTTACCTTCACTTGGATACCGCCAACCAAAATGTTCATAACATATAACACATAAGCCATAATTTTTTCTCGATACCTTTGTTCGGTGATGAATTTGCTTATTCACATATTTGCTACAACGTTTCCTCTAAATCTTCTACTTTAAGATTAATACCTTAGGGGATATAAATTGATATATCAATCAATATTCAGTTGTGCGTTAAGCATGAACAAACCAAATATAATGTGGGCATTTGCATATGTCTCTTTTCAAAGCGTTTAGTTCGCCAGTCATCATTTCAGGTATGTTGATGATCTAACGAGCCATTCAAACTATAATTTTTGATTCTTTAAATGAAGCAGATAAGCATTTAGCTAAAAATTTATGCTACTAATAAATTTACTCACGTTAACTTTTAGGATGTCTGGCCATTTTTCGCACTCAAATTGATGGCTAAGATTCAGGGAAATAGCTGCAAAATTTTTACGACTCGCTCCAGTTATAAGTTAATGATTTGTATTAAAAATATTTTTCACACGATACTTAATTCAGTAAACCAAGTTGACCAAAAATTTTGGAAGGAAGCTGCAGCTCCACTTACAGCAGCATTCTTTATATATTTACCACTAATTCCTAGTTCCCCGCTTATATCACAATTACTCGCCTATTCTTTCTGCTACTCTAGTCCTAAAATAAATATCCGAAACGCTTTTATTTTTCGATCGTCCATCTAAGGTTATTGACGTTTAATTGTAAGTCTCTGATTGTGTTGGTAAATCAGTATTTCCTCAAATTTTGTTTTTCTAAGAATCGATTTATGACAATAACTTATCGTCGGACACAAACCTTGTGATTGTAAATAATTTGATATTGAAAAAACGATATAGGGAAGAATAACACCCCTTTTGATTACAGACTACTAGTATTACTACCGCATGTGTTGTACCGTTTTTACCCTTTCATTAGCGTTGGACAGTTTCTTGAGCCCTATTGCAGAGGCGTAGAGATACGGAATTTGACTGCGGATTTATTAGATTTTAGTTTTTATTTCACTTCTATTGCAGGGTGGTGTTAAATGCCGTTTATGTCTTACGTATTCACCACTTTCGTTATGTTGATGTTAATTAGACATGAGATTAAACTGAGTCAATTGAATTGAACTCCCACTCACACTGATCCATCGCTTAGTTCTATATGTCAGGAGAAATTTTCTATGTTAGATATATTGTGTTTATCTTAGATGTATTTGTAGAAAATTGGATTTAAAGTGACACAGTCGGTGCCAAAATTCAAAGCACGCCAATGATAATTCGTCTCTTTCTGAAACGCTCCACTGTGTTATTATATCAGTTATATTCGCAGATACATATTCACTTAGCGGCGGCTTTTTTCGCTTCAGTTTCGCAGACGAATTGGAGCGAAACACATTTTTGATATTTCTGGTTCATTTCGCATAGTGAAATATGGATCATGTCAACCTAACGCAGCAATACTTTAGGTACATAAAATGGCTTATGATAATTGGCGGCATATGGAGAATTGAAATTGAAGAGTTTTCGGTCCCAAAGAGAACGTTGTACCAAACCTATTCCATCTGTATTCAGATGGGTTTTTTTTCGTCGTTAATTTCGTTTATACTTAATATGCCTACTTTGTTAAAGACGGATATGCCCGCAGGTAATACTACATAGAGTTCATTTGCAGATACAGATAATCCGCTAATACTTTAATAGTAGCATTAGTACCAATGAAAACTGCCAATACTAAAAAAATACAAACAATTGACAATATTAAGAAAATCGCGTACTTTTAGAAAAATAAAAATTAATTTCCGCCATTTTTAAAGCAGAAGCTATATTTAATAACGTTTCATTCTATGCAAGAAATTTATTTGAAAATAAAAGAATACAGCATTTAACCAACCCAGTACATTCGGTTTCTAGAATTTTCGAAAACTACTTCAAAAAATTTTGGATTTTGTTATATTGAAAATTTGACAATTTATTAAAAATTCCGTCATTTTTCAATTTTTTTTTATTGAAAAATGGTGGATGTTATTGTATCTAAACGAGGTGTAATATTAGTGGCTCATGTTATTTTTATTTGTAAAACTTCTAGCAATAAGTACCATGGGTTTAATGACATTTTCCGTGGTTATGCTCACGAAAATGTTTATGTGTCAGTCAAAATCAATTGTGAGATTGCTGCGACTTGCCTTGCAGTCGGAATTTCAAGTCGCAGGAGATATAAACGCCGAAATAAAAGCGATATACGAATGGCATATAAACTGCGGTAATAACGTCGTCTCCATCCTTTTCTTCGGTGCCTTGTTTGTGGGTATATGCGTCAACATATTTGGTACGATCTTCCCTTTAAATTTTTAAATGAAGTTCATTTGAACTTGCAGGTGACATCAATTGCTACATATACTTCAAGCAGCACCGAGGCGAAAATATGACTGATAAACCGGTACCCTTAAATTACTGGTATCCCTTCGATAGAAATAAGCACTATGCTGTGGTTCTGATTGACCAGAATATTCGGGCCATATTGGCTTCATTACTGATTGCAGTGGTCGGTGCCTTTGTCTGTTGCATATTCGTATTTGTTAGACTCCAGCTGACGCTTCTACAACACAGTTTTAGGAATTTCGATAAACTCAATAACATCCAAGGTGCGAGTTTGCTCAAGAGGTTGTGTGTTAAGCATCAAAAACTAATTGGGTAAATATGTTTTTGTTTTGAAGTTTTAAAAATATTCATATGTGCAATCTTTCATTTCAACGCACCTTTCTAACGTTAACCATTTGTAGGTACGTCGACGATCTAAAAGAGTCCTTCAAAACTATTATACTATTGGAGTATATAGTTTCTTCTCTATCGTTTGCAGCACAAATCTTGCAAATTACGCTGGTAAGCAATTAGAGTAATGAATCAAGCACTCGTCCCATGTGAATAGGAATTTTCAAACTAACATAAATTTAACGAAATATCCGCTGTAACCATAAAAAATAAACATCATTTTCTAGGGCGCTCGACCTTTTTTTGCTTTTCTATTGTTGACCTACACAGCTATGCAATTGCTTGTGTTCGCATGGACTTCCAATGAGATTATTATTCAGGTAAGTCTCGTTATCGGCCGTTCCATGGGTTATTTTAAATAAACTAATGTTACACTCGCTTACTTAGAGTAACAACCCGCATTCGAGCAAACCGTATTTATTATTATAAAAGTGGGTAGGAACAGTTTGTTGGGATGAAAACAGATTTTAAACGGTTATACGCGGTAAAATCTCTGTATGAACTCGTTGCCGACTGACACTCGCGTCAGTACTGAAACAGCGGTCTGGGCCTACGATGGTACCTCCAGGTGGGCCTACTATGCGTGTTCGTTACACTAACCAATATAAAGATTCCGTTCTAACTGTTACATTTTATTAAGATTTGGAAACTAGACTTTTTTTTAAATTCTTATTATTCATCTGTTTTACTGTAAAATAAAGGATTTTACTACCACTCCAAAGCGTCAAGAACGAAAAACAAATTTCAAATTTTCCGTTTCACGCTACTAAATTTGAGTTCTAAAATCATCTGAACTCTATGCACTATTTCATCAACTGCATGTTTGTAAACAGTACTCAGGTGACGTATTCTAAACAAGATCAGACGTTTCATAAATCTCAAGGTAGAGGCGCTCAAGTCATATAAATGCAAATTCAAAAACTTCATTAAATTTTAAAGACAAACGTTATTGAACCGGAGCTTACTTAAAACGTTAACTAAAAATGTCAATTTTTTTTAGTTTGATCATAGAAATAAGAATTTATGAGTTAGTTTAAATTATACTGCAACAAAAAAATTAAGAATTTATAGAAAAATTTTACAAATGGAGGCTAAGTTGATATTTGTATGTTCTCTCTGAGTGACAAATTATATGAGTGAGAACAAACAATACACGACATAAAAAATTACAGTTAAGACATAATCACCCGTAAAAACCAATATTAAATAATGGAAGTAATAAACAGTATGGTTGATGAAATTTGCGACGTTAGAGAATTTATTAAGACACAAAATGTAATTGAAATAGTGAATTGACATCTCCAGACAACTTTTGCAAGGTGTAGTTGTAATATTAACTACCTTTCCTACTTACCTTGCCTTCGTTCAATCCAGACTTAGATATGGACTTCTGTTTTGAGTGTAATTCTTCCGATTTTGGCATGATTTTGTTTCTACAAAACAACGTATACGTAGTATGTTCGGAATGAGCCAACACGATAGTTGTAGACCTGTTTTATTCGTTTTTGTGGAAAATTGTTGACATATTTGTGTTGAACAACAGATAGATATTGGTATTTGGTATTGGTATTGGTATTAAAGGGGGGCGTCCAAGCACTTAGGCCACCAGATGGGCCCGTTGTGCCCGCAGGCCGCTCTAGAGGGCGTCCAGAATGCCGCCCCTCCTGTAGAAGGTCAGCAACTCATTTAGCCCAATACCGTGCACTGAGTCCGGATCGATCAGGGCCCTTCCGAAGACTCCCAATATTGCCCATGTCAAGGCAGGGCACTCGGTGAGCAGATGATACGGGGTCTCCTCCCCTTCCATGCACCACCTACACTCCGGGTCCTCTCCAATGCCTAGCAAGCAAAGATGCCTCCTAAGCCTGCAATGTCCTGTGTAGGCTCCTGTTAGTGCTCTACACTCCCTTCTGGTCAGTCTAAGCAGCTCCCTGGTCCGAGGAAGGGCGGGCCCATCCATAATTAGCCTCGCCTGCCTCATTCCCGGAGCAACTCTCCAGCCCCCGCGGCCCGGTCTCTCGCCCAGGCTTCGAGAGCTCCCCGCCTCACACACGGGGCGATTCCCAAGCGGGGCTCTGGCCCTATACGCCTGGCCTGGCTAAGGCGTCCGCCGCCTCATTGCCCCGGATACCGGTGTGACCCGGGACCCAGACCAACGTGACCTTTCTCTCCTCAGCCACCCTCCTCAGTACCCCTTTGCATTCCTTTATCAACAAGGAGCGCGTACGCACTGACTTTAGCGCCATGAGTGCAGCCCTACTATCCGAGCAGAAGAAGACTCTCCTGCTTCCGTAGTTGAGCCGAATCACCTCTCTGGCCGCCATCAATAAAGCGAAAATTTCCACCTGAAACACTGACCCAGAGGGACCGACAAGCTTGATCCCGTTGTCTCGCAGTACGCTCCAGCTCCGGCCAGATCTCCCATTCTGGACCCGTCCGTGTACCAGACAAGTCCATCCCAGGAGCCCACTCTGCCCTCTCTCCAATCTTCCCTTGATGGAAAGAGAAAGGTCAATTTATCAAAGAAGGTCATCTCGGGGATCATGACGTCACTCGGCATGCCCATGACCCCGCGATCCCCGCGACAGCCCTCTAAAATGTCGTACGGACCCCGATTGAAGGTTCCCTCCCTCCAGAGCCCGCAGCTCGCCAGCGTCACAGCTGTCCTGGCCGCCTCCATCTGCACCCGATCCCCCAGAGAGGGCAGCCCCACCAGAGCCTCCAGTGTCCTCGTGGGCGCCATTCTCATGGCGCCCGTTATGCAGAGGCAAGCCAATCTCTGCAGTCTGTCAAGAACTAGCCTTGCTCCCGCTCTTTTGGTCCCCGGCCACCATGCCACTGCCCCATGCGTGAGCATAGGCACCACCAACAGATAGATATAAACATTATAATGTAACTAGGTATAAATCAAACCTTTTAGCTATACCCTGAGAAAAAACGAAAAGCATGAGTTATAACTATTTTGCATAAGGCCTTTTATTGATTGAAACAAAAAGTATTTTTTATCTTGAAGATTTAAAATTTGAATTTGATTTAAAATTTGAAAAATTTAAAAATTCTATTTTTTATAATTATATGTCTATAATAAGATATAATAATAAATCACTTACGTAAATGTTAATTTCGAAACGTAAGTACTACCTATTTAAATTAATAAATTTATAAAATGTCAGATTGTATTGCTAACAGCGCATTCCTTAAACCCAACACAATTATAATACATTATTAATTAATTAATTTTGCGGATATTTTATTTAGAGTTCGGAATTAGCAAGAGGCCTGTTCGAGAGCGACTGGTACCAGCACGACACCGAAACTCAAATCATGGTACACATCATGATCGTGAGATGTCAGAAGCCGCTATGTCTGAGAGTTGGTCATTTTGGGGTTATGGATTTGGATGTTGGTTTATCGGTAAGCCAATATCACGGTGGTGATCTAAGTTCCCGTTTTGTTCACAAAATAACTTACCACATGAAAATATTTTTTTGTGCTCCAGTGGTTTTAATGTTAGACATTTGTTGCAGAGGCTCAAGTTGGCGTATTCTTATGCGTCGCTGATGACTAACGGGACTTGATAGAAACGTTATTTGCAGCGATCTACATACTTTAATGTGTGCTAAAATATTCGATATTTAGGCATATTAAAAATTATTTAGGGCACCATTACTGTTATCTTTAATTATTAATTTGGTTTACGTAAACTCAGTACTCACTGGTACGCTAAATGCAGGTCTTCTCTGCAACTACTATAAGTAAATATTTCTTGTTCCAGTAGAATATGGTTTATCTAGTCAAACCAATGTGTTAACCTAAACATGTATATCGAGTGATAGAAAAAATTGCCAATGCTAATAATAATAAACTAGATAATTAATCTACATTAAAACAATCAAATTTCAAATCGCCATGTAGGACCGTATAAGGTTATTTTCTCACACTCTTAATTCAGCCGATTTATCATTATTTCTTACGCTTTTCACCTATTCATCCAAAAATAACGCCTTCCGATGATGATTTCTGACGTAGGCATATAATGTTAATGTTATGTCATTTTTAGGAGATACATAATCGATTTATTAAAAATCTTTTTTAAATCAAACTCAGGAACATTCTTTATCTGGAAAATAATACACAGTCACGCCCACGCGCACAAACTTTTCCAATAATATAGCAACGTAAAACAGTGGTTGAAAAGCCGATATCCCTTTTGATTACACACCGACTCTATAACTGAATACTAGATATTTCTTTCCATGCCACCCTTTAATTATCTGCGAGAAACTTTCCTCAGTCGGACTCCATTGGCGTAGACAAAGAAATCTGAAATCTATGTATTTTGATGTAAATTGATTAATATGCTGCTGGTTTCTTCAGAGCGTTTGTCTTGAAGCTGTGTCGCGGTTTATATTGACTGGGATCATTATTTTAAAGTTTAGTGTCATTAAATAATTCTTTTATCAGCGTCAGAAACGAAAAAACGCCAGCATCATCTATTTAAAACCAGAATATCGGTGACTTTAACTACAAATGCGACGAATCATAATAAATATTTCAAAAGAGTACACTAAAACTGACTACTAGTTCCATTAAAATATAACAAAACTAGAAACTGCAAAAATAATAAAAAGGACGCCTATGGGAGCCCGCCTCAATCTGTTACTTTTCCGGACGTTATTATGAGAATTGGAGAAACATTTTTTATATTTTCTCTGTTGATTTCGTCATGTCAAATGTGAACCACGAAAGCTTAACTCAGGAATACTTCCGTTACGTACGGTGGCTCATGATAGTAGCCGGTATTTGGAAAATTGAAGTCGACGAATTTTCACTTCCCAAGAAAAGGCTATACCACGTCTACGCTATATTGGTTCAGATGGTTTGTTCCTCCCCTATGATTTCTTACGTGTTTAACATGCCTACTTTGTTAAAAACGGATAAGCCTGCAGGTAATATGCAGATGCTTTTAATGCATGTTCTATGCAACATTGAGCAAATAGCAATAAATTCTAAGTAACACGCCATTTTATCTTCACTTATAAAGTTTTTAAGCGATTGTAGATGTAGTCAGTGCATTATAGTCAGCCTAGTACTAGAATGTTATAGCATAAAAATTGAGCATCTGAGAGAAGTAAAACCATAATTGAAATAAATTATAATAAAAATAGGAATTAACGTTCTTTCAAGACAATGTGTCAAAATAATCAAGGGAGGAAAATGGGTTGAATCTTATTGCTTCCTGAATTGAAGTTTTCCAGGATTCACCAAGTAAAACAGTCTCATGGGCACTTGATTTATCGTTATTATTTGGCTGTAGTTTTACGAGTATATTAGCTGTTTATAATATTTTTGAATATATATTCAATAATTTTTGTAAAGCAAGATTACTGCTGAGGAGCGGTCAAACCATCTTCATAAATCTTTTAGTCGTGAATTTTGGCCTCTTCCCACAGTTCTGTTTTCCTTTAGTATAAGCCGAAGTAATTTGCATCTTTTACTTCTTATCACATGACCTAAATATTAAATTTAACTTTCTTTTTATTGTTTATGCATGCGTAAAAGTGCAATTCGAAATCTTCTATTCTTTTCTTTGTTTGAGAGCAAAATAGAGAATATGTAATACTTTATCACTCGAATTCTAAGCTCTATCAAATAAAATTAATGCCATTAACATTTTGCACATAATTCTTTAGAGCCTGCTTATTAATATTGTAGTGAACTTGCTAATGACAGTGATGGTTCCCCTAACTCCAGCATAATGCAATCTTGTTACTCTTTTTGCAGTCCACGACTTTCCTCAATTTTTTGACTTATGTTTTATAGAAATAGTATATCTCACCTTTTCACTTTGGAAAAATACTACTACCGAGTCATGTGACTTCTAGCAATAAGCACCATCGGTATAATAACATTCTTTGGGGTGACACTGACCAAAATGTTAATATGCCAAACGAAACCAATCGTCAAACTGCTTCGACTAGCCTTGCAGCCGGAATATCAACATGAAGGAGCCATTAACGCCGAAATGAAAGCGATTTACGAATGGCACATAAGTTGCGACAATCACGTCATATCATTACTATTTTTCGGCGCCACATTTATGGGAACGTTCGTCGATGTATTTGGTGAGCAATTGTCGCTTACCTAATCCCCCAACTGACATGAAGCCTTGCAGGTGACGTCAATTGCTACATGTACTTTAAAGAGCACAGGGGCATAAACGTAACAGAAAAACCTGTACTTATAAATTATTGGTATCCGTTCGACAAGAACAAGCATTACGTGTTTGTTCTGATTGACCAGAATATTCGCGCAGTACTAGGTTGTCTAGTGGCGGCTGTAGTGAATGCATTCGTCAATTGCATCATTATTTTCGTGAGGCTCCAGCTGAAGCTATTGCAGCACAGTTTTAGCAACTTCGACAAACTAGATAATATTGAAGACTCGGACATGCTGAAAAGGCTATGCTTAAAGCATCAACAATTAATTAGGTAAGTATGACTATGAATTATATATTTTTTATTTTAAGTCAGATTCTAGTTTTCTTTAACATTTTGATTCATTCCCACGTGTTTAATTTTTAACAGACCGAGACATAACTTTTCATTAATTTTCATTATCACTTATCAAATCGCTCGGAAAACTTAGCGGAACTTAAATTGTATTAAAAAGTCAATAACTATTTCCTATAAACAAAACTAATAATTTATATAAGGTCGCCATTGTTATCCGTCGATTAAATTTATATTTGTGCGTTCCGGCTTCTCTTTTCGACTGACCGACTAGCGAGTGCGGCAGTACTCTTTTATAGTGGTGCCTTCTAGCGATCTACATATGACCCAGAACGCAGACCAGACCAAACAAGATTGCTTCCGGGGAAAGTTCGTAACGCCTAGCGCAAAACAGCTCTTTATTATAAAAGGAAAGAACTTGCGGTTTCATGTGATAAAGGGGACGCAATGTTTTCCTGCTCCTGCGGACCACTATGAAACACCCTGTAAAAAGTGTCCTTCGCATCTCCTCGAATTTCAATGTTACAGTAAACATCGGTAAATATTAAAATTCGCACAAATAATAGCGTTGTCGAATGATATTTTTTCGCGCCCTGTATAATTGACCACACATGAAACTCTCTCTCTCGACACAGTTTACGATACTGTTCAAATAAAATTATCCCATCTTCAACGGTTTTTCATTTACCGCCAATAATTTATCCAGAAAAACGGCAATTTTCAGGATCTTTCAGAATCTTTTGTACATAAACGACATACCCTGTACATGGTTTAAACAATGTTCGAAGTAGAGGTTATACCCCTGGATCTTCCACGTTTCCTGGTCCAAGAATTTTTTGAAAATAGTAAATGGTTCTCGAGAAAGTAATTTTTTTCTAAAACCATGCAGTGCGCCGTATTAATCAATGACGTCATCGCGTCTTGACAGCCCCCGAAATAACGATTTCAATATGGATTTTTTCAAATATCCTGAGCAGCGTATGTGACGAATACTTGCTAAAAGTTAATTGCACCCAATTTCTACCGTTTAAATGTGGACACGGACTTTTGCTTCTCTGCTAAATTTGAAGCTAATATCTGCAAATTTAGGACACTTAACACATTTCTCATTTAGCACGGAATATCGAGAACACCCTGTGCAATAGGTAAAAACCTTAAATACCAAAGTTTTTGCTGTCTATGCGGGCTATATCACAATACAAAAGAAAGTGAGATCTGAATCATAGTCTCTCAGTTATAACCAATTTTCCATAATAGGGAGACCAATTTTTCAGTTTACCTGTATATTTTTATGGAGCCGTACCTTCTGCGTTTTCCGGTTCCATATTTTTTTTGGTCTCGTAAACCGTTTTTGAAAAACGATTATTTTTGTAGACCATTAAACACGCGATTTTTAATTTTTTTAGAATACATGCCGAATCCCCCCCCCCATTTTCAATAGGTTCCGTCACAGGGCACAGCTGCATATATGTGCCAAATATGAATTAGATTGCTTCAAATTTCGGACACTTATCGTGTTTCCTAGCAATGTCCTAAAAATAGTCGAAAATGGCGAATAAAAGATGGATACCGGCGTCGGATCAGGGTCATTTTTTATAAGCTTATGTGGGGGGTTAAAAAGGATTCAAATTTTAATTTTTGTGGCTCCAACGGTTCGAAAGTTATTCCGGAAAAACCAATAGACGAGAACGGAGTACGGATAGACCAAAATAAAGGGGATTATTTCTGTACCAATGGCGATCCCATAGGACCTACCGTTACCGAGATATAAAATTTTTATACGAGCGCAGATACTTTCGAAAAAATCATCGATTTTCGAAAGTAACAAGGGCCTAACTAACCGGAGTCTCTGTAGAGGAACAATTACTTAAAATACCGTTTAAATTTCAGATACGTTGAAGATTTGAATAAGTACTTTAGCACAATCATATTTCTGGAGTACATGGTTTCATCCTTATCGCTAGCTGCTCAAATTCTGCAAATAACGCTGGTAAAAAGATACATTCATTCATATATATTCATTTATTCTCTGAACAATTTTTTAGGGCGTCAGGCCGTTCTTGGCATTCATACTATTATCTTACACAATCATGCAGCTGCTTGTGTTCGCGTGGACTTCCAACGAGATCATTATTCAGGTAATAGCTATTTCCTACATTTAGAGCTGTCCGGGAAGCGAAAATTTTATGAAAAATCGAACATTTTTGATACCTCACACCTACTGTGCTCGCCAGTAGTTCTCAAGATGTTAATTGACAGATTATTAGAATGATTTATCCTTTATACAAGTATTGATATACCTTTTCAGAGTTCAGAATTAGCGAAAGCTCTTTTCGAAAGCGACTGGTATCAGCACGACAGCGAAGTGAAAGTTATGGTGCACGTCATGCTAATTAGGTGCCAGAAACCTCTAAGTTTGAAGATTGGTCCCTTTGGTGCTATGGATTTGGATGTCGGAATATCGGTGAGATATTTACAACGGAATTTTTAACGTGTTTTAAGATTTGTGTTTTTGCCACTTACTTTTAGAGATTGAAGCTGGCCTACTCATATGCATCGCTTATGGCCAACGGTGAATGAAGAATATATTTATTTACTTCTATTAAACTTGCTTTGAATATTTAATTCATTCTGTAACAGAGTTTTCAAGTGGAGCGTTGAATCAAAATATAATGAAATTAGTAAATAAATTGATTCGAGTTTCACTAATCCGAATCCAGAATCGAATCCATTTTCATTTTGCGGTGAGAGTACAACTGGGAGTTTGTTTTAACTTTTCAAAATTGTTAAAATAGATAATCGGAATGATATGGAAGCGGAATTCATATAACTCAACGAAAACTAAAAAAATAATTTGATTTCATTGTTTTTATTCATATTTTTTTGCCTAAAGGCCGTTGCTAATTAGGTCTATCTAACAAACCCCTATTTGATGTATTCTGTAGAAACGCCATTATAGTAACTTAAAGGGTCCCATTTGATTAGATTTGGACACCTTATATTATTTAGGTATTATAATTATACAACTCAATTAGATACTTTTTGAGGATATGAAATATTATAACAAGGATTCCACAAAAATTCATTATTATTAAAAACACTTGAAGAAACGTGAAGATTTAGGGTTAACAAACCTTATTCGGTAGAAAGATTCCATAATGCACTAACATGCATTATTGGATTTCATATAAAAAGCACAACTTTGATACTTGTAGCACTTCTAGAACAACTTGCTTGATATGATAAGGGAAATTTGGTATGGCGCGAATCACACCCGCTGAGCATTTAAAAACCAACCGAGAAACAACAGCAATAAGCAACTTCCGCGGACCTCGTATATAATTCAGCATCAAAACCCCAACGTCGAAAAATCCCCTCATTGAATGCAATAGATCGATCTCCTAACTACTAGATACGCTACTGCACTACTCTTTCATTAACGACAAAATATTTCTTTATATAATCCATAGGCGGACCCACTCGAGATGTCGTTTACGAGACAGGAACAGGAGTAGTATTTTTTGGAGTGTGTTACGATAATAATAATAATGATAATATGCCCCTGACTCAATTCTGGAGAATGCTCTCTTCGGGGTCTACTGGGATCGACAAGTCTTGACTGATGAACCAATACATCATAACAGACCCAACATCGTAATCTACGACAAAAAGAAGAACGAGGTTGCTTTTTTGACGTCGTTGTTCCATCATCTGCAAACCTGGAGGGTGCGTGCGGTCAGAAGTATCTCAATTATAATAAGACCCACCGGAGAGATTCCTCGAAATCTGACAACGCAGTTGGAAAAATTGAATTTACCCGCTCGCCAGTTCCGGCAGCTCCAGAAGGCTGTGATTCTGTCTTCATGCAACATCATGAAAAAGGATTTAAACATTAACTTAACCGACCAATAGACTTAATGCGCTTCGGAGGCTACCGTGTACCGGCTCTTAAGTGGCAACCCGCAACAAGCGTGATTTAAAATAATAATAATAAAATCATTATTATTATTAAGTTAGTAAAAAATTGATGTACAAATTTATACCATAAAAATAAACGACACAATACAATGATGACAAAAATTACTAGATAAACTATTTAGATTTTCCAAGCAAAACTTATTTGAAGTTTAAAAAAAAACAAACAAAATAATCGAATAACCGGAACTACTCCACAGTCTTGTCTATTCAGTCATTCTCACCGCACATCGATTGCAAGTCTTTGTGTACTACCAGCCAAAGTGAAAAGCCCAAGTTCTGCTCTCATTAAAGGTAAAACAACACGCAACTACTACAGTTTCCCTGATGATGAACCGGTTTATCATGGAAGGATGGTATGAGAAATAATATTAATAAGTAAATATTAAACCCATCCCAACATCCCCAGGCGTGACGCCTCTGAGGATGTCTTTTTTCGAATACTCAGTCTTACGGAGTCCGATAATTTTCAATTGCCATTATCCACCATGAACATGAGCGTGCGATACTTTAGCCCACGCATGGCCAACATACGGCCCGCGGGCCACATCCGGCCCGCGTAATGAATTTATGCGGCCCGCGAGTAATTTTTCATTATTTACGTTTGCCTGACACTTATATAGTATTAATCAAGTAAATTAAAAATATTTCTGATTTTTCATATTAATTAAACTTTTCGTGCTTATTTGTTATCTGTAAACACACTACAAACTCTATAATCTATGTATTTGAAGTTGAACAGTACGCCAGTTCATTCAATGCTTTCCGGAAGTAGCAAACTTGTTAGTAATAACTTGGTCGCTTGGAAGTTCGTGTTTCCCTGGCAGCTTTATTTCTACTTGAAATAAGGTCTACCGAACCTGCGCGTCCCCCCACTAGGGTTATAAATATCTTAAAATATCTCTAGTAGCCGGTTGTTTTCAGGCTTTAGTGCTCGCTACCACCCGGTGCAGTTTACATCATCGGCTCGGCGTTATTTGTATTATATTATATATATTAAATTTTTAATTTATTTATTAATTAATAAGGTATGTTACGTAATTTCTGTTTATAAAAAAAATTTTATATTAAGAAATATTTTCATCCCTGGGATGGCTTCTAAAAAACGAAAGGTTGATAGAGAGTGTCGAAATTTTAATGATGATTGGAAATGGAAATATTTTTTTACGGTAGTTAAAGAGAAAGCTGTGTGTCTCATTTGTAACTCTAGTGTGGCAGTTTTTAAAGAATACAATTTAAAAAGACATTTTGAAACGAAACATGAGAATTATGCAAACAATTTAAACGAAGAAGACCGAAAACAACATTTCGAAGATTTGGCCACAAAATTGTCTCGTCAACAAAATATATTTGTAAAACAAAATCGCTTGCCAAATTCGGTGACGGAAGTAAGTTTTTTAATAGCCAAACGTATTGCCGAATGCGGAAAACCTTTTTCTGAAGGAGAATTTTTAAAGAAATGCATGTTGGATGTTTGTAACCGTGTTATGTCCAGAACTTAAAAATAAATTCGAAAATATAAGCTTATCTAGGCAAACTATTGCCAGAAGAGTAGAAGACTTAAATGTGGATATAACTGACCAATTATTATATAATATAGAGTCAACCAATTTTTATGCAATAGCTCTGGATGAAAGTTGCGATGTATAAGATACTGCACAATTGTTAATTTTTATCAGAGCTATAAATGATGATTTTAAAATCTTGGAAAAAGTTTTAGAAATTGTTCCAATGAAAAATACAACAACGGGTGAAGATCTGTTCTAGGAAATTGAAAAGTGTTCTTTAAAGCACCATACTGACTGGAAAAAATTGGTGAATGTTACAACAGACGGAGCACCAAACATGACAGGAAAAAATATTGGAGAAATTGAAGCATTGAAGATAAAATTTTCGAAATCGATCCCAATCATAAAATTGTCAACATGTCCTATGCAAAAATGTTTTAAAAATCGATCATGTTACCAAAATAGTTGTAAAATTAGTAAATTTCTTAAGAGCCAAAGGATTAAATCATAGGCAATTCATTGATTTCCTTGAAGAACTTAATACCACATATTCCGATGTAATATACTACTATAAAATCCGTTGGTTGAGCTTGGGAAAGGTATTAAAGCGTGTGTGGGAGCTTCAGGAGGAAATACGAATTTTTTTAGTGCTCAAAGAAAATGAGGAGTTTCCTAAATTAACGGATCCAGATTGGCTTGGTGATTTGGCTTTCTTTCTAGACATCCTCACATATTTAAACGAATTCAACACAAGTTTACAAGGAAAAAAATTATTTGCTTATGATTTAATGCAGAAATTAAAAGCTTTTAAAATGAAACTTCTACTTTTTTCCACAAATCTTGCTGAAAGCAAATTTGATCATTTCCCATCCTTAAAGACCATTTCCGCAATAATTTTAAAAGAAAAAGCTCAAATGTATACTGAAAATATTCTGGCATTACGACTTGATTTTGAAAACATTCGAATGTTTTAACAGAATAGATAAAATATTGTCGATTGTTAGAAATCCATTTACTGCAAATATTGAAGAAGCTTCTCCAGATATTCAATTAGAATTAATTGCATTACAGTGTGACCAATTATTGCATGATAAATATCGAGAAGTGGAAGATAATTTGTGTAATTTTTATAAGCAATTTTATAAGAATTAGTAAAAAATATGTAAATCTAAAAAATCTTGCCAAAAAATATTTAGTAATATTTAGTTCAACTTATATTTGTGAACAGACATTTTCTTTAATGAATCACAATAAAAGTCCTACAAGATCGAGATTAAATGATTTACATTTGGAGGCTGTATTAAAATTAGCCATCACAGAAATTAAACTTGACATTAAAAAGATTATAAACGAGGCAAACCGCCTCAATATTTCTCAATAATTATTATAGTATATTTGTTATTATTAAAATGTTTATTTTTTATTATAATGTTAATTTTATAATTATTATATATTATATATAGGTATTATTTATATTTTCATAATAAAATTTTGTTCATTTTTTGATTAAAATTTTTGTATTTTTTACGCCTGGCCCGCGAAAAAAATTTTTTTTCAATCCGGCCCGTGACAAAAAACTGTTGGCCATGCCTACTTTAGCCGCATAAGATGGTTGATGATTGTCGCGGGTATTTGGAGAATAGACATTGAAGAATTCTGTGTTACGAAAATATCTATACGCGGTTTACTCTATACTGTTACAGATAATTTGCACGTCACCAATAGTTTCATGTACTCTAGATGTACCTTCGTTGCTGAGAACCGATACAGCCGGAGGTAAAAACTATATGGAATAGAAATGAGAAACTTGTACCGCACAGACGTAGAACCCAGTAAATACTTCTCTTTTTTATAAATTTAAGTAGCATGTCACATATTATTTTGGATTCATTTTTTTTCCAATAATTCCAATAGAGGGCGCCGGAATCTTCAGCCATGTTTTTTGAAATACCCTTCATATTGTCGTTATTGCGAGTAACTTCTTCTCAATTATTTGTTGTCATAAGTTTTGTTGATTCGAAAAAAAAGGGAAATTAAAATATTTAATTCATGTATAAAAATTTTCTAGTTCCTACTCCAAAATACCCAATTATGCTTCCATCAAGCGGGCGTGAAGTGTCACTTTACTTAAAAAGTCAGAGTCAATGTCGCAAGTTATTTCGAGCGTTTCCGGCACTTTAGTCA